TTTGTTTTTCGAATTCTAAAATTTACTGTAGCTTCAATGGTAAACTGGGAAAAAGTAGATTTTATTGTGCAATTTTACAACCGTTTTTTTTTTTGAACTCTCCGTGAGGTCTTGAATTACAGGACTTTAGTCCAAAATGGCAGGGTTATGAGGGAAATAATATGGTGTTTACAACGTCAATAGGAGAAATAGGATTTTTGGAGATCTTTTTTACAATTTCAACGAAATAAATTTGTGCAAAAAATATGTTCAGTGGCTCTAAAATTAGTTAAAATTATTTCCGTTTTAATCCGCTTGTTTTTTCGACCGTTTTTTTGGTCGAAACTTCGAATGACAGACCCGATCTAGTGGCAAAAAACGTGCCATTTTGCATCTGGGAAGTATCAAAAATGTGGCAAAATGCTTCCTCTCCAAGTGAAAAAATTTCGTCTTTTGAGATCGGAGTTTTTTCACTTGGAGAGGGAAGCATTTTGCCACATTTTTTATGCTTCCCGGATCCTAAATGATACGCTTTTTGCCACTGGATCAGGTCCCCCACACTGCAATGATGAATTAGCGATGAATTTGAATTCGATGTCAGATTGATTCCATTTTCATATTTCGCCAATTTGTAAATTAATTTCCCCTCCAAAACACACGTATTTTATTTACTTCTCGGCCAATTTCTTCCGTGTTCCCATCAAATGTTTCGCGAACCACCCTGAAATCCCCATGTTTTGATAGGGCTAATCCCGTACGCACTGGAATGCGCCACTATTCCCTGAGGGGATAAGTCGTTGCAAATCTTTCGGGGATAAGTCCCGGCCACACTACAAGCCTCAGCGTACGTAGCTTGATGTTTTTGAAAATACCATTTTTTGTGAATTTTAATACCTTTTAAAAAAGGTTTTTTTTCGTATTTTGAAAAAAAGTTCAAAAACGTCGCTTTCTGAAGGAAAAAAAATATTTTTTTGGAAACGGGATAGTTTGTAATCAAAAAAATATCAATTTTAAGAAAAATCACACTAAAATTTTTACTGTTTTTTAGAAAAAATATCAGTTTTTTGACAAAAAATCAATTATTTCGACACTTCAAAAACATTTTTTTAATAAAAAAAAAACAATTTTTTTCTTCAAAAAACAATTTTTACATCTTTTTTCCTCAAAAAATATTGATTAAAATTCTAAACCCTTTAAAAATTCGCTCTTTTAATTTTCCCTACAGTACCCCAAATTTCCGAGTGCATTTGCAAAAAATTTTAATCTACTTCAAATTAAAGAGATTTTTGAGAATCCGAAATGTTAATTGCCGGCGGGCGCGGAGTTTTTAATTAGAAGCGCGTGGCGGCAATTTTTAGACCTTATTTGGTGTAATAATTGGCATTTTTGAAGTGAATGGGTAGGTAGTTTTTGGTCGGCGAAATGTCTGGAGTACTTTTAAATTTAAATTTGCAAAAAAATTTAGTTTTTTTTTGGTATGTCGGGAAAATAATGAGCAGTGTCGGTGAAATGAAAAGCGATTTAAGTTTGTCGCGACACAATTCATTTTCTCGGCGGCGATGCGATTTTCGATGCGACAGAGTGCTCATTATTTTCCCGACAGACTGATAGGCATTTTTTGCCAAGGCAAATTAAAGAAACATATATTTTTTTTTTTTTTGAATTTTTGGTGGTAAAATCATAGCAAGGCCTGTGAATTTTGTCTTATCGCCGTTTTTAGGGTTGCGACAAACTCTACGCACCGTGCTGTAAAAATTTTATGGCGGAGCCATTATTAAGACATATCAGCGACAAATTTCATCAGTCTGTCGGGAAAATAATGTGGATTGGTCGAGCCTTGGAATTGCCCGTCATCACTTTACGACGGCTGAAAAAAATTGGAGATACAGTGAGGAACCTGATCCAGTGGCAAAAAACGTACCATTTTTCATCCAGGAAGCATCAAAAAATGTGACAAAATACCTCCCTCTCCAAGTGAAAAAACTCGGATTTCTAAAGCCCGCCCGTTCTTTTTGTGATGGAAAGGACTTCAAAGCCAAGTTTTTTCACTTGGAGAGGGAAGCATTTTGCCACATTTTTGATACTTCCCGGATGCAAAATGGTACGTTTTTGGCCACTGGATCAGGTCCCTCACTGTATCTATTCTGCGACGAAGCGAGGCCTTTTCTGCGACAAGTCCACATTATTTTCCCGACAGACTGGTGTATCTGCAAAAAAAATAGACATTCATTTCTACCTTCATCAGCTACAGTACTCCCATTTCCGGGAGCATTCTAAAAATCTCTAAAAAATCTCCCTCCCTTCTCTCATAATTCCCTCCAATTACATTGTTAAAGATCCCGGAGGCAACTTACTACAAAATTAATTAATCTCATCCATCACTCGCCCAAAAAATCTCTTTTCTTCGGGCTTTCATATATCCCTTATATCTCCTTTACAACAAACCGGGTGGTGTTTTAATTGAACAATCCGAACAACGAGACTAATTGGGATTTCCCGTACGAATTCCGAAGATTTTTTGCAATTTTTGAAATTTTTGAGTGGGTAGAGAGAGAGAGAGACTAATTGTCCTAAAGTATTATAACTACCATACACCTGAGAGGTCTGAGAGGTATGCGAGATCTAGAGTATTAGGGTGAATTAGTCAGCAGCAGGATTTGCGGGCTTTCTTTGCTCAAAATGACCGTCGGATAAGCGGCGATTGATAAGGTCAGCGTTAATAAGGAAGGATTTCTTTTGTGAGAGTTGGGATGATGCAGAGTGTCTCTGGAAAATAACGAGCACTCTGTCGCATCGAAAATTGCATCGCCGCCTTAGTAACTCGAATTGGGAGAAATTATGGGATATTAGGACGTTTTAATTGAAGGAAATTAAAACCGGCTAAATTGGGATCTTTCAAGGCGTTGGAAATGGGGAAATAAGCATGAAAAAACAGTGGGGCTCCTGTATTTTTATCTAACGTATAATGAGAAACTCTTATTCAAAAAGTAAAGCTGTACAGCAACAAGATCAAAAAGATACGGCCAAAAAAATTGTTTCTTTTTTTGGTCAACCGTCCCTCCTCATTTTGCCTGTTTCCAAGGATTGCTGAATATCTCGGCCGTTTGTTTAACATGCGAGCAGCGATTTCTAGTGATTGGCACGTGCTCTAGTTATATCAGTCTGTCGGAAAAATAGCGAGCACTCTGCCGCGTCCAACATCGCTAAATGAATAGTATTGCGGCAAAATCAAATTGCTTTTTATTTTATCAACGCTATTGGTGCAGCGACATTGTGCTCATTATTTTCCCGACATACTGATACTTTAGACAATGTATTTTTGCGCTGGCTTGCCGTGAAAAGGCGGCTTGAAGAGATACGTACTTCGCTACTGTGTATATATGATATAAACACCATGTTTCTTTATGACATATATTATGGCCAAAAAAGGACTGTTTTTTTCTTCAATGCCAAGCAAAAAATTTTCTCAATAGAAAATTTTTTTCGAAATTCCGATTTTTTATTTTCTCTGCAAATGCCAGGGACGTGCGTTCCAACGCGAAAACCTTTCCGTTTTCGGGCGTGATGATAAAGAAACAGAGACTTTAAAAGTCTGAACAAAGCTATTCTTGGCAAGGAGTTAAAAACCACCTTGTGTTTACAAATTCGACCTCTTTTCGAAGAAGAGACAACGAGCCCTTTTTTAGAGTCAAATATCCGTTCCGCGAAAGGGATTTGGCTTCGTAACGTGGCCTCTTATCTCGCCAAAACATGTGTGAATTCTAGGTAGCAAGCCCATGGGTGATGTTGGACCTCTGCTGATAGTGTGTCGGGAAAATAATGTGGATTTGTCGCGCTTTGGAATTGCCCATTGTCGCTTCGCGACGGCTGACCGGGGCTGGTGTTTGGAGCGAGTAGGAGATACTATTGTAGTACATGGGTTGCGACAAACTCTTATTATTTTCATGACAGACCAAAAAGGTACCAGTTCGTCGGAAAAATAATGAGCACAATGTCGCTGCGCCGCTCGGAAGTGAAAAGCAACTTGATTTTGCCGCGATACTCTTCATTTAGCCATTTTCGGTGCCGCAGTGTTAAAAATCGCTATTTTTCCGGCAGACTGATGTAACTAGAGCACGTGCCAATCCCTGAAAGTCATTGCTCGCATATTGAACAAACGGCCGAGATATTCAGCAATCTTTGGCAACAGGCAAAATGAGGAGAAACGGTTGACGAAAAAAATGACATTTTTTTTGCCGTATCCTTTCGATCTTGTTGCTGAACAGCCTTGTTTTTGATTAAGAGTTTCTCACTATACGCTAATCAAAAATACAGGAGCCCCACTGTTTTTTCGAGCCCATTCCCCCATTTCCAACGCCTTGAAAGATCCCAATTTAGCCGGTTTTAATTTCCTTCAATTAAAACGTCCTAATATCCTCTAATTTCTCCCAATTTTCCAGTCAACAGGTTCATATTTGCCCTCCGGCGATTACTATCATCTCGTTAGTTCAATTATGAATTTTCGCCACATGCCCTCCTACTGTAGCGAATCCAATTAGGCCGGAAATCTTACGGTAGAATAATCGAAAATTACAATTTTCGAAATGGCCTAATCCGAATGGGCGGGGCCGTAAACAAACGACTTTACACCCCTCTCCCTTTAACATTCATGCCCTCTGGGAGTGTGAATTCAAACGATGGGTGTTGCTGAAGGGAGAACGGGGAGATAAAAGCCCGGGTTCGGGATTATCTTGACGAGAAACTCGTGTGTTTTGGGCCACGTGTGGCCAACGGATATAGAATATTGCTTCCGATTACTTTGAGGGCAGATTTAAGGATGTTTTGGGAAATTTTATCCGGATTCATATCGCTTTTAAACATCGTTGAAACCAGTAAAAACAAGAGTTTTATAAAAGTACCTCGTTTTAGGCGGTGTCCTCAAAAAATCTCGATTTTCGCCTGCATATCGGCACTTTCTCGCGTTGATTTTTATTTATTTTATAAGTCTATGATTCGCACATCTAATCAAAATTATTTTTCAGATGTTTTCCCTCGCGCTTTTCACACTATTAACGCTCAAAGTTCATGCGCTCCCAGTGATCTTCGGATATCACAGTGGCTCCAAATCAGACTACCAAGTCGCCAAACATCCCACGGATGCGGACGACAATGCCCTTTTTGTCGCTGGCTTTAACAAACCGCTGAAACGTAAGTTTTATCTGCGTTTGTGTTGCTAGCAAGCTTTCTTCTCATTTTTCTTCAAAAAATTTTGATTTTTCGCAAATTTCGGGGGAAAATCAACTTGGATAGTGGCTGAAATCCTTTCCTATAGAAAGTACACATCACTGAGCCCACAATAACATAGTCAAGTCGCTATGAAAAGCCTTATTTTTTACTAATTTCCCCAATTTTCAGGCCCAATGTCAGTTCATGGAGATGCGGTCGCGTACAACGTTGACGAGAAAGATCTTCCCAATTTCATCCCGGCGGACGCCAACAAACTCTCCACCACCTCTTCCACCCCCATCGACAAGGACATTCACCCGTCGTATCGTGAGGTTGTGACCCGCTCAACTCGAGGCCATGAGTACCTCGTTGTTGATGAGAAAACGGAGAATTCGGTGGAAGAGTGCTACGGAAACGCAAAGCTGCTGCCACGCAAGACGGTCAGGAAGATGAACAAGAAGCGGAGAAAGCTGGCGCAGGCCATCCGAAGGCTGAACAAGCTGCAGCGCAGCTTCTGTCTGAAGAAGCGTATGCACGAGGACGGCGAGAAGTGCGCTGAATGGCGGACGGAAAAAATGGCTTTATATGTCAAGCTAATGCAGCTAACTCATTGCATCACACCGACTGTTCGGCCCTCTATCTAATTCTCCTTTAGTTTCTGCATAGTCTCCTCAATATTTGAATTTTGTCTTGAGTACAAAAGAAATGATGACTAACCGAGGTTACGGTAGGTTTTGGCCAAAAAATTCTCGATTTCACCAAATTTCCCACTGCCTTGAATCTCAACGCCAAAGAATATTGTGTCTTTACTATGTCGAGTTTGCCTTACTTTACTATATACATACTTATTACTGCTTTATTCGATGCATAGATCTCAGTCGCTTTTTTCGTCTAGATTGGTTGTGATATCGCCAAAATGTTTGGAAAATCTCATTAACGGGTCTCATTTTTCTCTCTCTCTCTGTTTCATCGGACCGATAATAACTTGCAATATAGCACGTGTGATAATAAAGTGAAAACGTTAATTAGTCGTAATTATTGGCCGGAAAAGGGGGGAAGCAATGAAACCAAGGAAAATGGGATTGGCCGTTTGATAACGGCGACTTTATGAAGATAATATGGAGGAGAGACAGTCATATTGCAAGGTTAAAAATAAAATTTCAATATACATAGTAACGCTTCAGGAGATAAAAGCTTTATTTTCCCATAATTTCTCTAGGTTTTGTATTTTCGTATATACAGGGTGATTCAAAAAAAATGGACAAATTTTGAAGTCGGTTTATCCCACCACGAATACCGCAGTCGGTGGAAAGAAAAATAGTCTTATAATTGTCAACGATCCTGCTTCATGACACCCGTTTCAATTTTTGAAATATTTTTGCTGAACGGCTTGTACGAGGCAAAATACTAGGTCAGCCCATATAATGACCACATTTTCCAAGAATTTTGTAGGTCCAAAAAACTTTAACGGCCTGAATTCTTACAGCCAGCTAAAAACTGCGTGTTGAATGTTTATTACGATACTAAGGGGAATCTAGAGAAGGGAAAACGCTGATATTATTATATTAATAACGCCCCAGCAATTCGCAACGTGATCCACAAGAGACCCATCCACATAGTTCTGGATTTTTGGGATGATCGGGTTTCAAAACTTAGCAGGGCGGCCTGGCTTGTGCTATTGACGGCAAAAAGTGATTTCTGTAAGACATCTAACATTGCTTTACATGGGTCAGCAGTTGATTTGATTGTAGCTTGCATTAGCCATGTACTGTGCTTATAAAAGTTTAGCCGGCTATACCCAGAGACGCTGATATTTTTTGACCAGAAAAATTTTACTTTTTTGTTGGCGTTCTTCAACAAGCCGGACAACTACGACAGGCTGCATTTATACGATAGTCATATAAGTCCGTTCTTCAATTTTAAATTGGTCTCCGTTAATTTGAACAAACCTAGCCTTCAGAATCCGCGTACCATTGCGATGACCCATCAAAAGTCAAAAAAAGTCGGAATTTTGTTTGCAGTTTTGCTAATTTATGGGTACGATTGTTAAAAATACGTTTAATATACTCACAATAGAGCAGTAAACGTGGTATAAATGGAATTGGTTCTAAAACTTTTACCACGTTTGGCAGAGCTAAGTTTTTCGAAAAGCGCCCAAATGAGCGTTGATTTTCCCTCGCTAGTTGTCTAACTTTTGGCCTCTGGGTTTTCATTGTCTGGAAGACCTAGATTAAATCCTTAAAAGGTCTTAGAGAATAGGCGTCTATGTTTCGCTCAGACCGATCAGAACGTCTCTGTTACACCCTTCAGATATTTATGAGCGAAAACTTTGTAAATTTCGCCGCGGGAACGGGTGCGCTGACCCGGCAATTTTTAAGCAACCATGTCTCGGCAACTTTTGCAGCTAGTGAACAATTTTTGCAATGAATATGTACACATAACGTAGTAGTTTTATGCCATGTGTACCTTTTTACAAGAAACATTTAAAGCCAAGAAAAATCGAAGAAAGAAAAGTGTCCATTTTTTTGAATCACCCTGTACATACAGCGAATATTACAGATTAACATAGTGTGAGCCATGTGGCGATAGGTTTTAGTCGACATTTTCCAACAAGAAAGCCTTGTCTTGGCTGGGCTTCTTGATCAAGTTCATGCCGAGCTCGGGCTTCAAGTACAGCTTGGTCTGGAAGGATTACGGTTACAGATAAAATATACAGTATATGTTTTAGCAGAAACAACAGGAAAAAACTGTAGCGACATTCTGCGTAATTGCGGAAATTTTTTGGGTGGTTTCGGCGAAAACAAAAGTTTTTTTGCAAGTTCTTGTTTTTGCACCGTGCAATCGGCTTTTTTTGGGCTGTGGTTTTTGCATGGCGAATAAAATTTTTACTCCCCTTTTTTTGTTGTGAATTTACAGGGAACACTAGTCGCATAAAGTCCCGACACATTTGCACCGCACGTCAAACTGAGATAAGCTAAAACAGTCCGGTGAATGGATTGGCAATTTGCCAAAAAAAGACGCGAAAAAACGTTTTGTCGCGGAAGAAATGGGGAATTTTTGGGGCGAGAGAGTACGCTTTTGCGCGTTTTTTTATCTCTTTCTCTGCGAAATCAAGACGAAGTGTAAAAAACCGATAGCGAAGGGTCGATTCCGGTCACCGGACTCCTTAGTTTGACGTGCACCGTGCGTTTCTTTTTTTCCACTCGCCGCGGCGATTCTTACTCAATTTTTTCGCGCGACATCCGCGACAAATGAGTCTGGAGTTTACGGCGCGACTAGTACAGTGCGTCCCAGGTTTTTGGTTCCACCCCATTTTTTGATCATATCTCTGGGGGTTTTTTCTCAAATGCCATGAAGTTTTACACAAGTGTTAACCAACCTTTGCGAATAAGCTATGCGAAGTTTCATCCCAATTGGCTTCAGTACTCTGACGTTATGGCGATTTTTTTAAAATTTTGGGTGTCCCAGGTTTTTGGTTCCACGTGGAAATTTGCGAGTTTTTTCGTCCGGTTTTGAACCAACCTGCTCTTAATACTATTCATCTTGTTCCCTGTAGTATTAGAAAGGGTATTACATTCGTATCTGCCGTACTTTTTCGACGGAGTGGCGCTATGAGCCATCTCCGACCTTGTACATGAGATAAAGATTGGTTCTGCAAAAAATGTCAGTCAGGCTGTTTTTTGGGCATTAAACTTGCCAATGCCGTTAAATTATACAGTGTGCATCTACTTAATGAAAAAAAGTAGCTTGCTCAATGATCTCGAGTATTTTCTTGGCATATCATCTTCAACAAGTAGCTACCGTAACACTTTATACCCCGAATTACCAAGAGGAATCGACGAGAATCACAAAATTTGATATGCAAATTTGAACGCAGCGTGCCTGAAAACGTAATGCTACAATCATTAGCCGTTTCAGAATAAATCGGGTCTGTAAAGTTCGTTCTACAAAAAAGTTCCGAAAAATAGGCCAAAATAGGCTTGCTTTTACCCATTTTTCCTTGAACCAACCACCTGCGGCAGATAGAACATTTAAGCAAGAAATAAGATGCAGATATAGGTTTGTTAACATGCTGAGTTTGATTTTCGGGGCAAAAAGTTCCCATAGATAGTAATTTTCTGTACTTTTAGGACCTCTGAAGGTTACTGTAGAAGGTAAACGGTAGCTTAAATGACTTAAAAGGTCGATTAAATTACTTCAAACAAGTCGGTATCGGTGTAGTTTTACATCTTGCATTTGCTACATTTGCTACAAGTAGTCTAAGTTGTTTCTTGCCGGAAATAAATCACTAATCGGAATTTTTTTTAAAACCAATGTTTACCTGATGTACAAGGTCGGAGATGGCTCGTGGGGCCACTGCGTCGATAAAGTACGGTAGATCCGAGTGTAATACCCTTTCTAATACTACAGAGAACACGAGGAATGGTATTAAGAGCAGGCTGGTTCAAAACCGGACCAAAAACTCGCAAATTTCCAAGTGGAACCAAAAACCTGGGACACCCAAAATTTTAAAAAATCGCCATAACGTCAGAGTACTGAAGTCAAATCGGATGAAACTTTGCATAGCGTATTCTCAAAGGTTGGTTAACACTTGTGTAAAATTTCATGGCATTTGAGAAAAAACCCCCCGAGATATGATCAAAAAATGGGGTGGAACCAAAAACCTGGGACGCACTGTACTGTCAGCCTGCCGGGAAAACAGTGAGTCGCGTCTCGGAAACGCTCATCGTCGCTTTGCGACGGCTTGCCGTAGCTGGAAATTTGGTGCGCGACTAAATCCTGTCTTTGAAGAGGCAGAAATTTTTGCTGCGACAGATCCACATTATTTTCCGGACAGGCGGATATAACAGGAAATTCCTGCAGGAATCATCAGCAAATTCTTACCTGAGTCTTTTCAACCTTTTCATCATCCTCTTCCTTCAGTTTCTTATGCGAATTCGAGGCCTTCTTGGCAACAGCGCATTTGCATTGGCATTTCGGCTTCTTCAGAACTTGCACTACCTAAAAATTCTTTCGTAAAAACATTGGATAGAAATATCAGTCTGTCGGGAAAATAATGAGCAATGCCGCTGAAGAGGAAAGCAATTTGATTTTGCCGCAACACAGTTCATTTTCTCAACGGCGATGCGATTTTCGCTGCGACAGAGTGCTCATTATTTTCCCGACAGACTGATAACAGCTAAAGCATTACAAAATTTTCAAAGAAAAAACAGTAACCCACCTTCTTAACACTGTAGCCAGCGCGTTCCGCATCCTTTCCTTGGGCTCCATTCATTTTGTTCGACAAAACGTCCATCGTAAATTAAAGACCGCGAATGAAACGGCTCTTCGTCCGAAATGGAGGGAATCCAAGGAATAAATAGAGGATATTCTGAAAAGGTCGCCGATTCTCATCATCCCCCCACAAACCCGTTCGTTGCCTCTCCTTCTTTGCCTCTACAAAGAAGCAAAGGAGTAATTGAGGCGATGAGTCATGGAGCAGGATCCTGTTGAAAGTAAAATTTTGGCGGTGGTTCGATCAACTACATCAAGGTTTTTTCAAAAAAAAAGAGGAACGCGAGACCCGAAAATGTCATCCCAAAAGAGTCACCGTTTATCGCGGGATAAATTGAAAGAGCTGACGAAAAAAAACAAGGGTAAAATACGCTGTGACCGCGTTATTGTATGTATCAATTTGTCGGGAAAATAATGAGTGTCGCACGAAAAATTGCAGAGCCGAGAAAATGAGCTGTCGGGAAAATAATGAGCACTCTGTTGCATCGAAAATCGTATCGCCGTCGAGAAAATTAATCGTCCCGCGGGAAAATCAAATGCTTTTCACTTCAGCGACGCGATCGGCGCAGTGACATTGTGCTCATTATTTTTCCGACAGATTGACATAACCAAAGTCGAAATTAGAAAGAAATCCTTTTCTAACAAGGAAAGCAGGCCCTCAGATTTTCTAAAAATTTTGCACACACGCATACTACATATATATTAGTCGTTCCAGAAAGTGCGTAGATTTTTGTCGGCCTTTTTTTCGCACCGCACATGCAAGTGTGCGGTGCAAAAAAGGGGTCTTGTGCACAGTGCGACCTACGACAAAAAATCTACGCACTTTCTGGAAGAATTAGTACGCCTAGGCCACATTAATTCCTGAAAATGTCAGCGCCTGCTTACCACAGTCAAGATGTGTTCGAAAAAAGAGAAGTGCACTGTGCGAAAGAAAAAAGGAAAGCGCACTGTGCGCTGGCGACAAGCGTGGGAAAATGATCAAGATGCACTGTGCGAAATGAGGAAAATGCACAACGCGTTAGCGACAAGCGTGGGAAAAAGTTCAAAATGCACTGTGCGTTGGCGACACACGTCAAAGAAAAAGTGAAAAAACAAGGAACCTCGGATCATTGATTTTTTACGAAATGTCGCTGAATTATCGAGTCACAAAAGAAAACTTTCCCAGAGAATTTCGAGAAAAATGTTTTTTCGAAGAGGAAAATAATTTTTCAAGCTCGATAATTCTGTGGCACTTCGCAAAAAAATCAATGATCCGAGATTCCTTGTTTTTTCAATTTTCTGAAAGAATTGTTTTGACGTGCGACGCGCGTGGGAAAAGGTTCAAAATCCACTGTGCGAAAGGGAAAAAATGTCTATGCACTTAATGAAAACACTAATATCCCAATCAAAACTCACTTTGGCACCCAAATAATCAAGTCACCGAAAGCGAACTCGATTTCTCATGCTTCCGTTCGATGACTCACCACATGTCAAACTGTTTACCACAACTCAAACTTTTTACGGATTCTTATCGCGCTTCCACTTCCGCCGGACCTCAATGGGCTTTCCGCCGCTGATAAGTGGGCGAATTGTTGTTACAAAACAGTGAGCTCTTCCTTTTTTTCTGACGTTTATGACCCAAGGAGAAGGGCAATAAAAGACGATGGGCTTCCCATTCTTCAACAGTTCAGGGTTGGCTTAGATTACATTTCGGGGTTGAGAGTTTTTTCATCGGCTATGGACCTTTGGAGTACTGTGATTTTATGGATGTGAAGGAGATTGTAAAAATTTAGCCTTGGAAGTTTGGGGTTAAAGTAGTTTTTTCAACGTAGTATTTACAAAGATGTAAGTCTGGCGGGGAAATAATGTGCATAATTCGCCGATCGCGTCGCTGAAGTGAAAAGGAATAATTTGATTTTGTCGCGACACAATTCAGTTTCTCGGCGGCTATGCGATTTTTGATGCGACAGAGTGTTCATTATTTTTCCGACACACTAACACGGCTGAAAAGAAATTACGGTCTGGCCAACTCCCCGTATTTTTGGATGCTCTCTCAAAAAGAAGGCTAAATTTCAGTCTGTCGGGAAAATAATGAGCACAATGTCGCTGTGCCGATTGCGTCGCTGAAGAGAAGCAACTTGATTTTACCGCAACACAATTCATTTTTTCGGCAGCGATTCAATTTTTGGTTCATTATTTTCCCGACAGACTGATATTTTTTCATTTCCATCTCCATACAGCCGAAAAAATGGGCTATGTAACATGTAGATATATATATAACATGTTCACTTTTTTGAAGATTTTTTTATCCATCTACCGTACTCTAACCAATAACTATCTAACTATCGTAACACTCAAAAATAACCGCAACACTTATCAAAACCCCTTTCTAGGATGTCCTCACTCCATTATGTCCTCCTTTCAACTCTAGTTATGGGCTTAATGGCCCAACGTTCCGATTACAGTCGATTTGACCGGCCCTACGACAGCCGGGATCGCGCGCAATTCGGCCGCGATGATACTGCAATTGGGTCGGGCGCATCCATCCGATATGGCGAACGATATGAGCCGGGCCGATCCTACGACAGATTCGACGACAGACGTGATCGATATTCGGAGAGAGACCGCTTCGGCAACTTGCCAGTCGACACAGACCGAGGCTACAACCCCAACGGAAGAAGGAATGATGACTTTGGAAGGCGGAGAGGTAAGAGGGGATTTTTTTGAATGGTTCACGCCCTGCTCCGACGTTACTTACTACCAATGTCTAGAGTACTTTTAAATTTTCCTTAACAATATTTTTTTTTCAGTCTGTCGGGAAAATAATGAGCAATGTCGCTGAAGTAAAAATCAGTTTGATTTTGCCGTGACACAATCCAAATTTTCTCGGCAGCGATGCGGTTTTCGATGCAACAGAGTGCTCATTATTTTCCCGACAAACTGATAGAATTTTTTTAAAGTGCGTAGACTTTTCTCCATCTTTTATCGCGAACGCACAGTGCATTTCGCCTTTTTTTATGGCGCACTGTGCACTTTGCTGTTTTTTGCACTGTCAAACTTGAAAAAGTGCAGTTTGAACTGTGCGAAGGATTCGGCAAGACCGCAGTGATGAAAAGTTTGGAAAACCTTACGCCACGGCGCTATTTTGATTCACCGTGCGAAAACAGAAAGCGCACGATGCAAATTGAGGTTTGCACCGTGCATTTTTCCTAGCGACGAAAAGTCTACGCACTCTATGAAAATAGCGGTCTGTCGGGAAAATAATGAGCACAATGTCGCCTCGCTTGGCTGAAGTGAAAATCAATTTTTTTTGCCGCGATACAATCCATTTTCTTGCCGGAAATAATATTTTTCTTTACTGAGTGTTCATTGTTTCCCCGACAGACCTGATGTTTTTGCAAGTTTGACAGTTGCTTATCTCTGGCGAGATCTGCGAACCAAACCCTCGAAAATATAAACTACAAGCTCTTCAGACGACGACTTCTCCCGCAGCCGTGGCTACGACAGCCGTCGCGACGACTATCGCCACCAGCCACGAATTGGCGACGGGTTCGGCGGCCGCAGCCGTCGTGATGTCATCCTTGGCCACGAGCAGCTTCATGAGCCGGGACATATGCAGCACCACGTGAAACACATGCACGAGAGAGCGCCTCGAGACCTGAAGGAGCGGATCAACCGAAGAATCGGGAATGGCGCCAGTATCGGGGTCGGCGACGACTACGTTGACGATAGAAGGCCCGAAACTGACAGCCGAGGCATTGGGAATGGTGGAGGAATCGGTGAGGGAGCTGGAATCGGCAATGGTGGAGAGATCTCACGCGACGACGGAAGCATTGGAACTGGCGCTGGAATTCGAAATGGCGGAGGAAATGGAGGATTTGGCTCACGGTCCAGAAGAACAGTGCATGAAAATGCGGCAAGATACGATATTTACTAGAAAGTTTTGTGTTTTAATATTTTGATTTTTTTGAGGGAAATGTATAATAAAAAACAATTTTTTAAACTGAACGGAGTACCTCAAGTGCCACGCTCAATTTTTTTTAGAATTTGAAAAACGTCGTACATTGGCCACATTTCAATTCCTGAAAGTTTTAGCTCGCGGGTAAAGTGACGGACCCGACCCAGTGACAAAAAACGTATCATTTTGCATCCGGGAAGCATCAAAAATGTGGCAAAATGCTTCACTCTCCAAGTGAAAAAACTTTGTCTTGAAGGGCCGCGCACTTTCTTTCACAAAAAGAGCGGGTGCAGTTTTGAAATCGGAGTTTTTTCACTTGGAAAGGGAGGTACTTTGCCACATTTTTGATACTTCCCGGATGCAAAATGGTACGTTTTTTGCCACTGGGTCAGGTCCCACACTGTAGCTCTGGCGCAGCCGAGATATTCAACAATCTTTGTAGCCGAGAGAGTAGGCGGAACGTGGCCATAGGAAAACACCTTTCGGCCGTATTTTTGTACGTTTGTTGCGGGAGAAATTGATTTTTTGCGGGAAAAAATTGTCAGCTTTTCTTCCAGCTTTTCGTGAATGATGCACATAGAAAAATGTGCTAAAAACACACTATTTATCAGTCCGTCGGAAAAGTAATGAGCACTATGTCGCATCGAAGATCGCATCGCTGCAAAAATTGCTTTTCGCTTCAGCGACGTGATCGGCGCAGCGACATTGTGGTCATTATTTTCCCAACCAACCGATTCCCATATACCGGCGTCCTCAGCCGACTTTGCATGCTTTCTGGTCACCAATGATTGTTGAACACTTCGGCTGCGACTTTAACGCGGATTTTTTTCTTATGCTACAGAGTTGAAAGAAACGTGCGAAAAAATGACGAATGGTTGAGATAGAAATCTCTTGCGTCTCGGCTTGCCGAAACAATCACTTTAGATTGAAGAAAATTGGATAAGCATGAGTCAAGTGTTGAGTAATCTAGTTTATTAATTAAATATCTTCCATCTTTCCCTCAAAAAGAGGGATTCACGGTAGCCGTATTTTTTTATAGTATACGGATAGGAGATGTAGCAAAAAGTGGATAGATTTTTTTCGCCAACATCTCTGGGTGCGATCGCAGAAAAGTGCGTGGCGCTAGTGCAAAAACGGAAAGTTGCAGCGGCGCGGCAAAAAACGCTCCGCGCAAATTCAGGCGGGCCAGAACATCTTGACATACCTACGCAGTGCAGCGCCGTACAAAAACCTTGCCGCAACTCTTCGTACGGCAACGAGTGAAATTCACGGTGCACGTCAATCTGAGATAAGCTAAAACAGTCCGGTGAATGGATTGGCGATTTGCCAAAAAAGACGCGAAAAACGTTTTGTCGGGGAAGAAATGGGGATTTTTTAAGACGAGAGAGTACGTTTTTGCGCGCCTTTTCTCTGTATTCTCTGTGAAATGAAGACGAAGTGCAAAAAACCGATAGCGAAGGGTCTATTCCGGTCATCGGACTCCTCAGTTTGACGTGCGGTGGACTGTGACAGCGCACAGAGCAAAATGAACTTGCTGTAAAGGGGGAGAAAACCTACGTCATGCAAATAAAACTGCACAGTGCGAAACGTTTCACACCCCGCCGAAGCCTTGTCGAGGACATATTGTCGCAACTCCGAATGCATGCGACCGCAGACTACTGCGAAGGCATGTCACGACTTTGGCCTCTTCGGCCTCTTCTTACGGCCATGTCAAAGATTGTCATTCTCGGTAGGGATATGCAAATGGACAGGAATAAAAATTTAGTGGAAAAAAGTTTAGGTCTTTGATTTCAAAAGCAGAGATGCGATAAGAATACCCCAGCATCAGCCTGTCACCGGATGTAGGAAACATAATGAGGTCACGGCCATTGTAAGAGCATTTGATTACGCGTGTGAGCGGTAAACTACTTACCTAGGGGGTAGTGGAATCTATGTGTATTCGACCATCTCCTCGGTCATCTTGCGTTGCGATATTCGGCAGATAAACGAGTTTGCCTCTATTGTTGGAGCTTGAGTGAGCTGGTCTAGAACTGCGTATTTGGAGACCCGGTGTCTGATCGTGTTCATGAAGAAGCGAGGATTTCTATAGTCTTATCATAGAAGTAGCGAAACGTTGCCGGACTGAAGTCTACCACACAAGCTTTGTGAAAACAAAGTTTTGCAAAGTATAGTGGACGACCTGATCCAATGTCAAAAAACGTACCATTTTGCCTCCGGGAACTATCAAAAATGTGGCAAAATGCTTCCTTCTCCAAGTGAAAAAACTTGGCTTTGAAGGCCGCGCCTTTTCCGTCACAAAAAGAGCGGGCGCGCTTTTAAAATCGGAGTTTTTTCACTTGGAGAGGGAAGCATTTTGCCACATTTTTTGATAGTTCCCGGATGCAAGATGGTACGCTTCTTGCCACTGGATCAGGTCCCCCACTGTATCAGTCTGTCGGGAAAATAACGGCGGATCGTCGCGCCTCGGAGTCGCTCATCATCGCTTTGCGACTGCAAGCGGCGGCTTGGGATTTGGTGCGCGATAGCGGCGAGGCGAGACATTTTGCTGCGACGACTCGCCGTTATTTTTCCGACAGACTGATAAATGCTTCCTTTGCCCCGTGAAATAGGCTTTTTTGGCTGTCGCGCGCCCCTGAGTTTTCTTGCACAGTGCAAACGCCAAAAATCTTTCTAGCGGCTACAAACGGACTTGTACATATAATGCTAGCAGGGACTGTGCTGTATTTTGAAAGCAAAGTTTACTGTGATCGAATTCAGCGGCTTCACGTTTGTCATCACACAAAAAAATTGCAAAAAATCGAAGCGTAGAATATTTATCACCGGTTTATTTATTGACTGAGTGTTTCAAATATTGCACACAACATATTATATTACAAAACGCTTAAAAACATACAAAGGTTTAAAAAACAAGTTGCGAAAAACGGCTGAAAGATTTGTGAGTTTGTAACCCGCTCCGGTTACTGAAAGCGCGCTTCGTCGTGCGTCCTCAATGCGGGCTGAGGATTGGTCGGCGGAGGGCGTGTGTCACTAGCGCGGCTAACACACCGACTTGCCGAAGAAAGCGGGAAGTAAATGCTCGGGAGTCAGACGGCGTGTACAAATGCGATGAGCTGTGTGGCCGGGGGCCGCGGTGTGAAGAGGGAGGGGATGGAGCTACTGAAAATGGGAGATGATTATATAGTTTTCAAGATGGGAATCGCAAGTTTTACAAACGGACTAGTATTTTTGTAATTTTCAATAGTTTTTTTTTTTGGTATTTCCCCGAATACCACACATCTCCTTTTAATTCTATTGTTTTCATGTTTTTTGTTGCTTTCCTCGAACCCTCCGACAATCAGAGGCAAAAAAACAAAAACAACAAAAAAAACAGTAGTTTCTGACAATTTCCCAAGCCCCTGATTTTGAATAACTCCGCATCCCCACTCTTTTTTTGACTCCAAGTAGGTCCACCGACCCTGAAGAGAATCGCCTACCACTTTGTGTCTACAGTAACTCGCAAACCTATTTCAAAGATCACTTATTTTTTGGGCAGAAAGTTCAAAAATGCAAGCGGCACCCAAAACAAGCCTATTATCAGTCTGTCGGAAAAATAAGGGCGGATCGTCGCGCCTCGGAATCGCCGATCATCGCTCTGCGACTGCAAGTCGCGGCTTGGGATTTGGAGCGCGATAGCGGCGAGGCGAGACATTTTGATGCGACGATCCGCCGTTATTTTTCCGACAGACTGATAGCATTTTCACAACGTGCCTGGACATTTGCTGCGGTTCGCATCCTGCACAAAAATTCGCGAGTTCTTGCACCGTGCACTCACCTTTTTTTGGTTTTGCACTGTGCATTTGAAATATCGCTGCGACGTAAGCTTTTCTCAACTGCGGGTTTGCTCAAAAATGTGCACAGTGCAATCGGATTTTTTGAGGTTTGCACGGTGCGCAAAGGCAAAAATCTAGAGTGCGTTAGCGACAAAGGTTCAAGATGCACTGTGCAAAAGCGAAAAAAAGAAATTAAAAAAACAGCCTCTTGCATGGTGCAAAAAGCAAGAAATCGCACAGTGCACGTCGCCGAAATGTTTTTTGGCCTTTGCACTGTGCAAAAAAGTCAGGGTGCGAGCGACAGCCCAAAAAAGCCTAATGCACGGTGCAAAAAGCAGCAAATCGCACAGTGCACGTCGCCGAAATGTTTTTTGGCCTTTGCACTGTGCAAAAAAGTCAGGGTGCGAGCGACAGCCCAAAAAAGCCTAATGCACGGTGCAAAAAGCAACAAATCGCACAGTGCAAGGTGCACTTTTGTTTTCGCACAGTGCATGTCACAAAAATCACTTCAGCGACATTGCGAACGGAGTGGTGTGTAGTTTAGTCGCCACACAACGAATCTAATGCAAATCCAAAAAACACTCCACACTCTTCCCGGAATTGTCACCTCTGAATTTTTTATGCAAACTTCCTGGAATGCTTTTGCAAATTCAAGGTTTCTGCGAGAGGCAGCGCGGCGTACGTCAACTAATACCCCGTGGGCAGAGAGAGAGAGAGCGAAAGATTATTTTCATCACAAAAAGATTAAATCTTCGCGTTGCACAAACATTTTTGCTAGATTATTTGCACCTATAAGGAGAGAAGTGCCCGAGTAATGACCTTCGTATCCTCGCACGATTTTCAACACAACTTTGGGTTGTGCTTTACATGTCAAAGGAATATACAACAGCGTTTTGGGGACATTTCTACTATCTTATGCTGCCAAGTAAAGGATTACGGTTTCTCTGCAACGCCCTCAACACTACCGATATCAGTCTGTCGGGAAAATAATGAGCACTTTTGCATCGGAAATCGTATCGCCGGCGAGAAAATGAATTGCGTCGTGGCAAAATCAAATTGTTTTTCACTTCAGCGATGCGATCGGCGCAGCGACAATGTGCTCATTATTTTCCCGACAGACTGAAAATAGGCGGGGCAAACGGTCTTCTCATGGTTTTTGACATTGCGCGGTCGCATGAATTGGGTGTTGCGACGAGGCGCCGTGCGAAAAAAATTTGGTGGGGTGTGAGGAAAGAGCGCACTGTGCTTTTGATTGCCTTTTTCAAAACAATGTTTTTGCACGACGCGGGGTCGCGGTGCACCGTCAACTTTTCTTGTCGCCGCGCGACAAATTTTATGCACCACGGCGCACTGTGCGGACATGGCAAGACTTTTTGGCCCGCCTAGAAGTATTTTCATAAAGTGCATGGACATTTATCGCGGCCCGCACTGTGCACAAAACACACCACATGTTGCACGGTGCATTTTTTATTTTTATTTTTTTGTTTTTTTGCACTGTGCGACGCCTGGAACTTGCACAGTGCGAACGGATTGTTTTGGGATTTGCACTGTGCGAAAAGACAAAATGCACTGTGCGTTGGCGACAAGCGTGGGAAAAGGTTCGAAATGCACTGTGCGTTAGCGACGAGCGTGGGAAGAGGTTCAAAATGCACTGTGCGTTGGCGACAAGCGTGGGAAAAGGTTCGAAATGCACTGTGCGTTCGGGAAAGACCACGAAATGCACTGTGCGTTAGCGACGAGCGTGGGAAAAGGTTCGAAATGCACTGTGCGTTAGCGACGAGCGTGGGAAGAGGTTCAAAATGCACTGTGCGTTGGCGACAAGCGTGGGAAAAGGTTCGAAATGCACTGTGCGTTCGGGAAAGACCACGAAATGCACTGTGCGTTAGCGACGAGCGTGGGAAGAGGTTCAAAATGCACTGTGCAAACGCGGTAATAAAGTGCAAATGTCCATGCACTTTATGAAAATACTAACAGGTCAGTCGTTCGATCGTTTATTAGCGACAATCCGCTAAAGCCAAAAGCCAAAAAAAAATTCGGGAATTTCGAGAATCCTAATCAGTCGCCGACCCAGCCTTGGAAAGTCGCACAAGTTATCCACTTACATTTCGGAGTCCATCGCTGGGCATGAAGCCCGTCGTCCGGTGCTGTTCGGGCAACGTGAACGCCGTTGAGGCGTGCTGCGTGGTGCTGGGTGGCTGCTGGTTTAGGCGGCCGTCCTCTTGGGCCATGCCGAACAGAAGCGAGGATCCGCTGCACGCAAAGGACATTGTGTTGGAGACTGGTGGGGAAAAGAGTGGAGTAGGATCACCTGAAAAGAGGTTCTTTACTCCAGAAAAGTTACAGTAAGACAGAAGGTATATATTTGCCCGCAGGAAACGCCCTCGCACGACATTTATATAATGAGGTGGTGACCTACTGCGGCGTTATATTGAGATAATATCAAGGTCAAGGCAAATATTTAGTGCCGGAGGGTGAAACTTATGCCACACAGAAATTTTTATTTCTTCAGAAGCGGTGAAAATCATTCTGCGACATGCACTGTGCAAAAACAAAAGCTCACTTTGCACTGTGCAATTGTTTGCTTTTTGCACCGTGCAATAGGCTTTTTTGGAATGTCGCTCGCACCTTGACTTTTTTCGCACTGTGCAAACGCCAAAAATGGTTTCTGCGACATGCACTGTGCAAAAACAAAAGCTCACTTTGCACTGTGCAATTGTCGGCTTTTTGCACCGTGCAATAGGCTTTTTTGGGCTGTCGCTCGCACCCTGACTTTTGTCGCACGGTGCAATGGCCAAAGAACTCTTCGGCGACACTGTGAGAAAGCAAAATGCACCTTTTTTGAACTGCGCATTTTTTCTGCTCAGTTCAAACGCCAAAAATGATTTCTGCGACATGCACTGTGCAAAAACAAAAGCTCCCTTTGCACTGTGCAATTTGTTGCTTTTGCACTGTGCAAATGACTTTTTTGGGATGTCGCTCGCACCCTGACCTTTTTCTGCACAGTGCAAACGCCAGAAACATTTCTGCGACAAGCACTGTGCGAAAACTGAAGTTCGCTTTGCACTGTGCAAAAGACTTTTTTGGGACGTCGCTCCAACCTTGACGCCAAAAAATCCCTCCAGCGACATTACCAACGGACTTGTACATAAACTCCGACAAAAGTTACGGAAACTGATGCCTCTCGGAATCTAGCTCATGGGATATCATACTCTCAGGCGCTATATGTCGACATTGCGGACGTTCAGTTTATATACCCCACCATAATCTTATCTATCCGTAGATTTTCATGCGGATAAACCCAAGAAATCTCGAAAGTGGGCTAAACTGACCAGGCAGGACGTGCCTTGAGTCATTTTGCCCTTTTCCGGCGTCAACGCCAAATGGTTGGGCGATTATCCTCAAAGATTATGCTTTATCCGCGCGAATCACTAATATCTCGCATTTTATCTATCAATGAGCTTCATCCAAAATTCGTGGTATGCCGTCACTCGACCTTGCCCACCCGCCGGAAACTTTGGACTCGGAAGTTGTGAAAATAGATCATACGGCGGCTACGCGGCTTGCAAACTGTGCCTCCGCGCGATGGAATCTCGGATGCTAGGGCAACTTGCTTTTTGAGCATCAGGCTGTTGGGAAAACAATGAGCACAATGTCGCTGCAACCAATCACGTCGCTGGGGCGACAAAATCAAAAAGCAATTCGATTTTGTCGCGACACAATTCATTTTCTCGGTGGCGATGCGATTTTCGATGCGACAGAATGCTCATTATTTTCCCGACAGACTCATAGCACTATATATCTCATCAAGGCCCATGCTTGTTTAGGAAACGGAGTAAGACGAGTTTTTTTAGAAATGCGGAGGGTGGGTTATATAATAGTATCAGTCTGTCGGGAAAATAATGTGGATTTATCCACATATGGATAAATCCATATTATTTTCTCGCCTGGCCTGCACAAAAGCTCCAACCGCAGCTACCCCTCGCAAGGCGATGATGGGCGACTTCTGGGCGAGTACACATTATTTTCCCGACAGACTGATAGACAAAAAAACGCTCTTGCGAAATGACACGGCCAAATATTTAGAAAAGTCCGCGCCTTGGATCTTTACTCTATCAGTCTGTCGGGAAAATAATGAGCACAATTTCGCGGTCGAGTCGCTAAAGCGAAAGGCAATTTGATTTTGCCGCGACACAATTCATTTTCTCGACGGCGATGCGATTTGCCATGCGACAGAGTGCTCATTATTTTCCCGACTAATAAATTGCGGTATGCTTCATCAGCCCCGAGGGTGACGGTCATGAAAAAAAACCGTGTAAAAAACAGCTCGCCTCACACCCCGAGTCCGCGTCCCTGGCTCCAAACATGGCCCCCGAAAACCTCCGAAAATCCCCGTTTCTAGTTTCATCCGAAGCCGAATGCTGATAAAACCGACTGCCCACAACACCTCCAACTGCAGCGGCGGTGCTTTTATATTCCGGCCGGATTCGCGGCCGTAGGCGGTTTTCCCAAACGCCTCGAGGATTTGCATTTCCGCAGCGCGCCTAATGGAGCGCCGGCTCGGCGAACGCCGCTAGGCTACAATCCCGGGAAAACCCCGCAGAGATTCCGCGGGCCGCTGCTCGCGTTTGCCTTGCTTGTGCGCCCGATCACGGGGAGGACGCAGGTTCCACGAACCCCGTCCTCGCTCGAAACCATGATTCAAGTTTCCTGGAACTGCAGCTAATCCCCCCGCTTAGCATAAGGTTCAAACCGACGACAATCAGAAACGTGACCGCTTGGGTGCAAAGAATCCGCTCAGCGGATTCGGATCAGAACTTGAACTGTCCGGCTAATTTGGGATGGACAGAGTGCAATGCAGGGTTGCATCTATCGGTCTGCCTGCTTCATTTTTGACAATGTGCGAGATTTTTGCTCAGAAAAATGTACGAATTTGAAGCCAGGCTATAGATGTACCTCCTACCAGTCTGTCGGGAAAATAATGACCGCTCTGTCGCATCGAAAATAGCCGCCGAGAAAATGAATTGTATCGCGGCAAAATTGAGTTGCTTTTCACTTCAGCGACACGATTGGCGCAGCGATATTGTCCTTATTATTTTCCCCACAGGCTAATATGGGGGTCGTATCAGTCTGCCGGGAAAATAATGTGGATTGTCGCAGCAAAATTTATCGCGTACCAAATCTCCAATGGCGGCTAGCCGTCGCACAGCTGACGGGTGATTCCAAGACGCGATGAATCCACATTATTTTCCCAACAGACTGATATGCCAAAACGATGAAGAGAAGCCAATGATCGGAGTGCTGTAAAGGTAGGTTTTTTATGATTATTTCTGGGTTTGATATGTGAATTAGAATTGAAATCTGCAAATATGTCAAGACTTTGTGGCCCGCCTAGTACAACTCTTGGGCTAAACAGCTGCGCTACCCCCATTTTCTGCAAACGACCCATATTATTCCCCGACAGAATGATAGTATCAGTCTGTCGGGAAAATAATGAGCACGCTGTCGCATCGAAAATCGTATCGCCGCCGAGCAAATGAATTGTGTCGCGGCAAAATCAAATTGCGTTTCACTTCAGCGACACCATCGGCGCACCCAAATTTTGCTCATTATTTTCCCGACAGGCTGATACTTGTCCGTTTGTCGTTGCAGTGATTTTTGCGATGTGCAAAAACAAAAGTTCACCTTGAACTGTGCAATTTCTTTCCGTTTTCAATAGTTTTTTTCCGCTCGCACCGCTGCGCACCCGGCGTTTCTTGGACATTGCATGCCGCTGAAATCACTCCAAAGCAATGAACGGACTTGTAACCCGAATTCTCGGATGCAAACAGTTGTCAATTTCTGGCTAAACCCTTCTGGAAACTTGCTGCCTTTCTGTTACATAGAACGTGTGAAATCGCAAAAAAAATTTTGATGCGTCCAAACTTTGTTTAAACCTTACTATCAAAGATCTCGCAAACTGAAGGGTTTCAACTGTTACAAGGGATTATGGAAGTGTGATAGGGTGTTACTTTGGTGTGGTAAAGCGAAGGAGAACTGACCTTCAAATGATGAAGTCACTGAATCTGGCTTTTGCGGGCAATAGGTCTGCCAAAAACTCTTGACATGTTTTCGGACAGCGTGGCGTCGTTTTTCGGACAGCGTGGCGTCCTGATCCAGTGGCCAAAAACGTACCACTTTGCTTTCGGGAAGTATCAAAAATGCAGCAAAAATACCTCCCTCTCCCAAGTGAAAAAACTCCGATTTCAAAAGCGCGCCCGCTCTTTTTGTGAGGGAAAGGGCGCGCAGTTCAAAACGTAGTTTTTTTTAGTTGGAGGGGGAGGCATTTTGCCACATTTTTGATACTTCCCGGAAGCAAAAGGATACATTTTTTGCCATTGGATCAGATTCGTCACTGTAAAAAATGACCGTTTTTCTAACTCCTGGTAAGCCTAGTTTTCTTGACCTCGAGCTAGTGTAACATAGAAAACATCAAAAGTTGCTCCAAAAAACAATTATCCGTACTTTTATCTGGTTATTCTTGGAGTAATACATGCAAAATACCTGAAAATAAGCTGATAAACCCGCCTACGACCTAATGAATCTTAGCTTTTTATCGCGCGATACCTCTCGCAACGTTGCATTCATGCGCTCGCACTGTGCAGGTCGACCCGAAAAGTCGTGGCGCCTTTTTAGAATAAACTTCTCTACTTCCTCTTCCTGATAAGCCCCAAGTCACAACCTCTACGCTCTCGAACTTGAATGTCCCTCGGAAAGTCTGCAAAAGCTTCCAAAATACGTGGGTTTTTGTTGCGTAACGTTTATGTACTTTCCGAGAAACCGTGTTCAGTGAGACTTTATGCTATCCGATACAACCGGGAGTCGCTTTCTCTTAAAACAAATTTTTCTAAACTTGCACTAGGTTTCATCAAAATCCGAGCTTTGCACTTGCAGTACTTTCACTGTAAAATGAACTGTCATCCCCGGTTTTTATCGCCCAAAAATTTTGATTTCCTTTTAGGGAAAAGAGTTCGTTCGCACGGTGCGAGGTTGGTCCCTTTTATAACACTCAAATCAACTGTTAAGACTTTAAAAAAGTCGAGTCTAAGATGCTTTTAGTTAGCGATTACGATCACTAAAGAATGTGAGACAGTATGCCAAACGGTGAGAACACAAAAAAAAATAAAAAATTACCCCGACATCAAGCAAAAAATACCCTAAAGGAAGATCTAAAGAAGGAATTGCAATGATCGCCACATCAATTTTTAAGCCGTTTACGACTGATAATATCATTATACAAAGGTTTGACTGCAAGAAGAGGTCAAATTTTAGACTGTCGGGAAAATAATGAGCACAGTGTCCCTGGAAAAGCAATTCTATTTTGTCGCGAAAAAATCATTTTCTCGGCGGCGATGCGATTTTCGATGCCATAGAGTCCTCATTATTTTCCCGACAGACTGATATGTGGGTCTCGACACGAAAACGTATTTTCACGAAAAGTTTTCTTCCACGCAAAAAGTGGATGTTGATTAGCCGCTTCGGAGCCTTGACGTCCCTCACGCAGCAAAAAAACGAGCACGGAATTGGCAAGGCAACAGTGGAACGGACCGCATCTATTGACCCATACACGACTATTTTTCCGAGGAATTGACCTTCTAAACTCAGATCTAATTGAAGAATCTCACGTCTAAGATGTTTCAGCGGCTAATGGAGCCGTTTGCTTTAATTTACTTGGCAAAAACTGATCAAACTGTGCCGCTAGGACCAAATCTTTACATTACACTAGACATCAGATCTATGACAACATTTTTTCGCCCGAAAACCCCCGATTTTAGCCGTTAAACGGGTCTCCGATAAAAGTACAGCCTCTAGAGTTCCCGGGGAACAAACTAGCATCCTGAGTTTCCCGAAATTATGCTGCCAATTGTGATCAGCCACGAATTTCGCCGCCCCCAAACCACCCCAAATCCCATACACGAATAAACTATTGAATTTGGGCGTTTATCGGCACAAAATCTAGCATACTTTTCGTGGAGAATTGAAGAGATTCAAAAATAGTTATCTCGCAAAGAATAAATTGCAAATTTTCGGGTTTTCTGACGCAAAACCTTCGGGAAGGAAAACGGTTTTTTGTCGATAATTTTGAGCCGAAAGTCGGTCGATTTCTTCATAGTTTCCGGGCATGGCAAAGTCGCAGCTGTCCGGACTGGATCAAAGTGCATTTTCAAGTCTGGCTGAGTGGGTTTTATCGATTTTATTGATTTTTTTTTGATTTTAGGGATGTTGGTACCTAGATTTTGCGTTTTGATGGGTTCTTGGGGAACTTTTCGGTTTGTCGGGTTCCAAATTCTTTTATAGGTGATAAGACCTCTGTTTTATGCAATCGGTACTTGCTCGGCAAATGTTTGGAATTTTTTTCGTCCATCTAGTTGACCAAGTACAAGGTCAGCTGGAAATCGTAAATTCAACTCAAATCCTGCAAATTTGCTGTTGCAATAGCTTAAAATTCCTTTGATAATTTTTCCTAGGAAATTTTTAGACGTCTTTGTTGTTGTATTTTTCCCTTTTTTCCATGCAGTAGACCAAGTACAATATCGGCTGAAAATTATAAACTGAATGCCAAATTTCTCGATTTTGTTTTTGATAAAGCTTCCTTGTCCCATTTTCATGCTTTATTGAAGTTTTTCTCCCTGTTTCTGTACTTTTTTGCAGCTTGATTTACCTAGTATAATATAATTCATGTTGGCTACATCTTGAAACTTCACGAATCTGCCTTTTTCGTTTATGCGCTTTTGGGCCGGTTATCGTGTCGCACGGCATTTTTTCAGATTACATCAATGCGGAGGCGATTGTTCTCGGGCGCTGCCGATGTTGAGTTAGGTCATTTATACGTCATAATTAGGATAGATTCGCATAGATCGCCTCCGAGATAGTTAAACGTCCACGTTCTCGCTTTGTTTTTCAAGCGTTCTGTTTGGGAATAAATTTCAGTTTCTGATGAATTGTAGTTTTATTTAACCAGGAGAAGGCAGATTTCCGACGAGATGGAGATAATTCATTTTATCTGCGGCGGAAGTGCGGAGGCTACGGGCTTTTCCGAAATCCGCTGATCTCGAGATTGATTGCGAAGTTTTTCCCAAGATTTGAATCCGTTAAAAGAGTTTCTAGATGCCTACTATAATATAAATTTAATTCCAGTGATTGGCGTTCCCCGACCTTGTTCAAATGCTGCCTGTCGGTCTTCTTCGTGATCCATTTCATTCTCAGCCTGATGTTGAGCCCGGGATTTCCCGTTTCCCCCTCCATTCATCCGTATTTGGCCTTGTTTGCGGCTGAAGCCGGAGTTACCGCGTTGGGCATGAGAGGGATCTTCAAACAGGACCGGTCCTTCATCAAGTTCTTCATTTTGGCCATGATTTACCTGGTTTTGTTGCAATGGACCGTATCGGCGTTGTGTTTTGTCGACGGATCGATATTCTTTGGTGTTTTCTTGGTGGTCTACAGTGTGGTTGAGGTGGGTTGATGTTTTGGTGTCTTTTGGAAATTTTAGGAGACTGTTTGGAATTTGAAATGAGGGCTTCATAGATACTCAAAGAGTGAAATTGGACAGAGTATCGTAATCGGACTGGGGGAAACTGGTCAGATGGAATCTCGACAGATTTTTTTTTGGACTTTTCGGAACTTATGTAATATTTTTTGAGGTGACAGGCTGCGACCAGAACCATATTCTAAAATGGGTAACTGAATACTCGGGTGTGCACATTAGGACGAATTCGGATGAGCCCTTTGGGGCGATCGTTTATTCGGGTGATGCGTTTTCGGGTGGCACATTTTCAGGTGATGCGTTTTCGGGGTGGGTGAATTCTCTGGTGATGAAGTAAACTCTGTACTAATGGCTTCTAAATACGACATAACACTGTAAATATTTTGATTTTTTTTGCAATTTTATTCATTTTGGGGTTTCGCCGATGAAGATTTTATTTTTACATTCCTGATGGTCGAAACCCCTAGAAATGAGTAAGGTTGCAAAAAATGTCTAAATTTTTACAATGTTATGTCGTATTTAGTAGTCATGAGTACAATATAATATTTGCTTGATTACCGTTCACCCACCCCCAAAAATCCATTACCCGAATATGCGCGACCCCAAAAATGCATGACCCGAATGGGCGATCGTCCCAAAGGGCTCATCCGAATTCGGCCGAATGTGCACACCCGAGTATTCAGTTACCCATTTAGGAAATGGTTCCGGGCGCAGTCTGTCACCTCAAAAAATATTACAGAAGTTCCGAAAAGTCCAAAAAATCTGTTGAGATTCCATCTGATTAGTTTCCCTCTGTCCATTTACCATACTCTGCCCAATTTCACTCCGTCGAGTATCTATGAAGTCCTCATTTCAAATACCAAACAGTCTCCGAATATTCTCGACGCCTTCTAAAACGACTAGAAAATTAGACCAGGGCACGTCAAACTGAGATAAGCTAAAAGAGGCTGGTGAATGGATTGGCAACTTGCCAAAAAAAAGGTGTGAAAAAACGTTTTGTCGGGGAAGAAATGGGGAATTTTTGGGGCGAGAGAGTACGCTTTTGCGTGTTTTTTTTCTCTCTTTCTCTGTGAAATCAAGGCGAAGTGTTAAAAACCGATAGCGAAGAGTCTATTCCGGTCACCGGACTCCCCAGTTTGACGTGCAGGGTTCCCTTCTACTGCTTTACTGATGACTTTTCAAGTTATGATCTCTTGAGTTTTAGTTGGCTTTGCTGGTCGTTCTCCTGGTCTTCAAATCAGAACCGGCTCCGAAGTGGATGCTCTATGCATGGCCATTCAATGAAGCTGGGATCAGAGAAGGCCCTCTAACTGGTGGAGTCTACGATGAGGAAGCCGTCACAACGGCATTTGGATCGGCCCCATCGAAACCATTCGTACCAACCGAGAGTCTGGAAAGTGCGCCCGAAAAAGAAGTGAAGTAGGTGAATGTTTTCGAAGTTTTCTGCTGATTTAGATAGCTTTCGGAGATTTTGCGGATAACGTTTCATTTTCTGAGGCGGATAGTTGGAAACTATAAATGCAATTGGAGTCGTATTTTATGTTTTGAGAATATTGATTTACCCTCCTTGGAGACGTTGACGTTTCGGTTTCAGAAAGCCGGAAATTTCGGCTGAGACCGTTTCGCTGACCAACAATTCGGCCGCAACGATCAGCAACCCGGTGTCGAGAGTCCCGTCGGTCAATTGTCTCGATACGCCGTCCGAAAAACACAGCAAGGCCAGCACGAGCACCTGCAGTTGCGCCGACTGCAAAGCAAATTGCGCCCATTGCCAGGAACTGGAGAAAGGAGAATATAAGGATAAGGAGACTCGGCAATTTACCCCGACTGAGAGCCGGACCGTCCCATCGGCGGGTGCGTTGAAAACAGAGGAAAGTGTGTTGAAGGTGGAAGAAGAACCGGATCTGCAGGAAATCCCAGTAATCCGGCACGTAAAAACTCCACTGAAGAGAAGCGGACATTTGGTAAGCGATTTTTTGCAGGAAAAATGGAGTTTGATGGATTTTTTTGATATTGTAGTAGGTCTAGTGTAATATAATTTTCACTTCTCGGCACTTTTCGGTTGCCGTTTTTTGAGTAAAATTAGTCTAAGCAGTCTTGATAAGTAGGAAACGAGGATTTTAATGATTTTTTCTGATATTGTAGTAGGTCAATCTAGTGTAATATAATTTTTCTTTTTAGATTGAGGTTTTTTGAGTAAAATTGGTCTGAATAGACTTAATAAGTGATTTTTATGCAGTTTGAAATGACTCTGAAGTGATTTTTTTTGTCATGCTTGACCTTTTAGAAGTCAAGTCCGAGGCTCGAGCTGGATCCTGAAACTCCGACCGATAATCAGACTATGAAGCCTTAGAACAAACGACGAGTAATATGGCGAAGGCTTATTTGTTTAGTATTTGTCTTATATGATGCGAAATAAAAGACTTGCAAGCGAATTTTTGAATTTTTCTTTGATGGTTGTATGGTTTGAACCCTTTGATATTGATTAACTTGGGAGTGCGGATTGGATCGTGAATTTAATGGTTATCGTAAAGTTTAAATGTCGTGTACACGGTAGATTTCATAATATTTATATTATTTATGTTGTGATTCGCGCGCGACTCACAGCAAAAATCCTATGCACGTTCTGGAACGACCAGAGCGCGACATTTAGACACAAGAAGCTGTTGCCCGTAGTTTTAAATTACTTTTTCACAGATTTTTCTTTTTTTCCTTTTTTTATAACTGTATACTTCCCTATTTTATCAAAATAACGCAGCCTGAGAGGCTTCGTTGATTTTCATGGGCTTCTGGCGGCTAATCCTATAGAGTCGTTTCTCCCGCAGGTATTCAAGAATGTAGATTGTGGGATCTCGTATGTATTCTCTCAATACGCAAAATCTATTCTAAGGGACGGTTTCGAAGTAGTGTTTCATTGAGGAAATCGAAATTTATGAGGTAAATAAAGGAAATACAGTGGGGGACCCGATTCAGTAGCAAAAAACGTACCATTTTGCATCCGGGAAGAATCAAAAATGTGGCAAAATGCTTCCCTCTCCAAGTGAAAAAACTCCGATTTCAAAAGCGCGCCCGCTGTTTTTGTGCTCAAAACGATTTTTTCACTTGGAGATGGAAGCATTTTGCCACATTTTTCATTTTTAATACTTCCCGCATGTAAAGTGGTACGTTTTTTGCCACTGGATCAGGTCCCCACTGTATTATAATAACAGTATTGCTAGCCTGTGACGGAAGAAATTCTGTCGGCTATGCCTGAAAGTCCTCTACTTCGCTGGCCGGAACCAGCCAGTAGGTGCGCATGACGTCATGGTTCTGAAAAGCGAAAGAATTATCATTAGGGACAAAAAGCCCTGATAATTTGCGCAGTGCGGTTTTGGCGCGTCGCTGCGAAAATCGCGAAAAAAGTGGACTGCACAGTTCATTTGACCCAAACACACCATTTGCACAGTGCATTTTCGTTTTTTCCCTTGCATCGTCCGCGATTCCCATTTTTCGTAGTGAAAAATAAATTTTTCTGAGTGCGACAGAATTCGGGGGCGCGACAAATTATCAGGACTATGGATTTCTCGAAGCAGAATGTCGAGCAAAAAGTCCTGAGCAGTTGTCGCGGCCCCGAATCCCGCCACACTCTGAAAAAATGATTTTTTGCAGCGATAAATGGGAATCGCGCGCGATGTACGGCAAAAAACGAAGTTGCACTGAGCATATGGTGTTTTTGGGTCAAATGCACTGTGCAAAGCACTTTTTTCGCGATTTTCGCAGCGACGCGCGAAGACCGCGCTGTGCAAATCCTCAGAATCCACAGAACCTGGTGTGTACCTTTATGTGTATTTCTCCCCGCTCCACCAAATGAAAACGTGTGCGAAAGAACTGATCGATCAATTCTTTGGATGTTGGGCTTACGTGGATCCGACCTGCTGAAAGGGACAACGTTAAGTTTGCATGCACACGATTGCACTCCTACCCAGTTTTATGTTAGAAAGTTAGAAGCTATAAAATGAAGCTTGGCACAAATTTACTTACGTTTACTCGAACTCTCCATTTTGGCCGCTAAGCTCACTGTATTTCCGAAAACACAGTATCTTGGGGCCGTGATTCCAACAATCCCAGTAACACAGGGTCCTGAATGAATTCCAAACCGCATCTGGATCTTTTCGTTTGGCAAGTGAGGCAGGTACAGCAGTTTGACTGACTTCTGCAGCGCTAACGCCATGTCCGCTATCTCTCTGACGTGATTGTTCTCATTCCGTGTCGGAATTCCCGACACGCAATGCAATCCATCGCCGATTGTCTCCACTTTATACACATCATGCTGGTCGATAATGTCATCGGTCATGGTGTAGACCTGATTCAGGAAACTGATGATTTGAAGCGGGGAGCTTTTCGAGGAAAGCACCGTAAACCCAACGATATCCGAGAAGAAGACCGTAGCCATGTCGTAGAGCTCGGGCTTCACGCTCTCTCCCCGCCGCAGCACGTCCACCGCCGAGGCGGGCATCATGCGGTACAGAAGGAGGTTGGCTTTGCGTTGCTCGTCCAACAACTCGGCCGTTTGCGATTGAACCTGCTGCTCGAGGTCCATTGCGCGATCCTCCATCAACGCGAACATGTAGTCCATCAAGTTGCTGCTCTTCTTGTTGTCCAGGCTCTTCACCACACTCTTGACATGCTGAATTTCGGGCCGATTCTCCGGCCTCTCCTCCATGCAATTCTGAATCATAATTTGGAGGCGCGTATCGATATAGACGTTGTTGTCGTGCTCCAGTGACGGCCTCTCCAAAGGCTCCGTCTTCTTGATGACGCGGCGGCAAACCTCCTCAATATTCAGATTTCTCTCCTTGATGCTCCAGACAGAATGCCGAGTGACGATTTGTGCGAGGAGAATGGATAGAGAGTAGATATCGCCGGGTTTGGTGCCGCTTAGGCAGATAATCGGTAGACGCAGCAGTTCGGGGGCAATATAGAGGACCTCTGCAAGCGGTATGAGTTGGATATACACTGCTCGACAAAATTATAAATGCACTTTTAAAATCGCTGTAACTTTTTTGGTTTTCAATAAAACTGTGCCATATTTGGCCCCAATGTGTACCAGTGTACTATAAATCTTGTGCCAAAAAATTATTGTGGAAAGTTTCCACAATTTGGAAAAAAGTTGAAAAAACCGAAATTTTGGTAATTTTCTTTGCGACAAAATTATAAATTCGCGCAATGTTTTGCCATTTTCTTGCCGTTGGTGCTGAAGCAAAGTAAGTTATTTGGCTTAGTGGTTTCCTTAGGGGTCCTTCTGGCATGCTACGACGAAAAACAGTGACAGAATTTGAAAAAGGCGAAATTACGACCCTGAAACCGCAAAGACCTCGGGTTTGGCAGATTTTGGCTCAGGTAGGCCGTTCAGCCGGAGTTGTGAAGAACTACTTGGCTCATCCGGAAGTCTTCAACACGTCTAAACCTTCTGGCAAAAAAGGTTTACCACCGCGGCAGAATTAAGGCAGAGAAATCCGTTGAGCTTCTAACTACACCATCTCTGGGTCTCATATAGAGCAAGAAAAAGGTCTCAATTGTAGCAGGATAGCTATGCTGAGGGCCTAACAAGGAAATGGTTTGAACTGTCCGTGAGCTTTCAACATGAAACCCACAAATTCTGAAAGAGCGTACAAAATTTAGTAAGAATCCGCTTTCTGTTTTTGCCGAATGGTCTTGGGACGGTCGATTTTTATCGACCGGTTTTAATGTACTTATGTTACAGTAATCTTAGAAACTTGATTTTCAAAAAATTGAATGCTCAATCAGCAAAAACGTATATATCCAGAATTTCGGGTCATTACCTCTTTCTATGATGCCGTGAGGCATAAAATTCAAGAAAGGACAAATTTATGCAAATTTCTACCTTCATGGCAGAATTCGGGAAAAATATTTTGGGCTTTTGTTAAATACATGTTTACAGTCATTTTAAACCAAAAGATTCAAAATCGACTTTTTCGTAAATATTCACGCGGTCCATTATACGCTGACGCAGGGATCCAAAAATAATCTTTTCAACTTTTTTTGCAAAATTTTGAGGAAAGGTGAAAAGTTGGCAACATTCTTTTCTGGAATCCCGAAAAAATCTGCAAGATCATGGAACACCTCCTGGAATGGTCCAAAAACATCTTTAACATACCAGAAGATTGACAAATGGCATCATCGAAAACTCAAAAATGTTGCCAAATTGTCAAGTTTTCTCGAAATTTTGCAAAGAAATCTGTAAAACACCTGAATAAACTTTAAAAAATTTTTTACATAGCTATAGAATACAGTAACTGATATTTACGTTCAAGCCGAGGATATCCGTTTCGGTTGGACTCGAACCTCCAAGACCTCCCTCTGCCAAAAGATTTGCGCGTGGAACTTTTTCCACGAGACTATTTGGTAACGCTTTCTTGGGCCTTTCGGTTTATCTTTTCTCTCTTTCATTTCCTTTAGTCGGATATTTCTGTCGATATTTCTCGTCTCTCAAGACCATTCGGCAAAAATAGAAAACGGATTCCTACTAAATTTTGTACGCTCTTTCAGAATTTGGGGGTCTCATGTCGAAAGCTCACGGACAGTTCAAACCATTCCCTTGTAAGACACAGAGATGTCATCACTGGACGTCATGTAAAGTCGTGCCCCCAGCTGGCCTAGGTTCGGTTAGCCCGCGACCGAAATTGGCCAAGATGACCTTGACAAAACAGGTTGAATAGTCAAGGGTCAGTTTCCCAGCGTTGCAGAACCGAATTCCTTACAAGGGAAGTCACTTTTTTCGCAGACGGATTTCGGAACGGGACCTAGTAGGTCTCAAATGTGAAGCGTCTGCGATCATAAAACTGATTTCCAAAAGTGTTTACGGGGCTTCTCGGCCGAGAAAATCGACCGCAAAGTTTAGCCGAAATGAGCGAATAGCCTCCTGAAAAGAAACAGCTTATTTCATCTGCAGTGGTGGCCGAGTGGTCAGCGCGCTCGCTTTTTGCGCCAGAAGAGGCGGGTTCGATCCTCTGCGCAGTTTATTTTCTTTTTTGGTTCGTAAATATTGATTTAGTATGTAAACATAAAATGTATACACTTTTGTAATTTTTTACAGTAATTTAAACATAAATTCAAAGCTGAATGTTCATGAATATTGTAAAGTCAAAACAGGGCTGGGTTAATGAAGATATAGTTCCTAAATTTGTGTTTTATTAAAAATTGCTAATAATTAGCATATGTGATGTTAACGGCATCTCTCTATTTGATTCAATGGCCAAAAGAAATGCATCCGCAGACGACCGAAGTCGAACTCACGTCTTCTGGCGCAAAAAGCGAGCGCGCTGACCACTCGGCCACCACTGCAGATGAAATAAGCTGTTTCTTTTGAGGAGGCTATTCGCTCATTTCGGCTAAACTTTGCGGTCGATTTTCTCGGCCGAGAAGCCCCGTAAACACTTTTGGAAATCAGTTGTATGATCGCAGACGCTTCAGGTTTGAAACCTACTAGGTCCCGTTCCGAAGTCCGTCTGCGAAAAAAGTGACTTCCCTTGTTAGAGATTGCATGGTCAGACGATGACCCCGACGGTTTCCCACATAGGACATATCACTGTCATTACATCAGAAGAGAACCGCGTTACTTCTTGTGCCGTAATGTTGGAGGACCTGTTTTGTCAAAATCACCTTGGCCAATTTCGGTCGCGCGCTAACCGAACCTAGGCCAGCTGGGGGCACGACTTTACATGACGTCCAGTGATGACATCTCTGTGTCTTAGGCCCTCAGCATAGCTATCCTGCTACAATTGAGACCTTTTTCTTGCTCTATATGAGACCCAGAGATGGTGTAGTTAGAAGCTCAACGGATTTCTCTGCCTTAATTCTGCCGCGGTGGTAAACCTTTTTTGCCAGAAGGTTTAGACGTGTTGAAGACTTCCGGATGAGCCAAGTAGTTCTTCACAACTCCGGCTGAACGGCCTACCTGAGCCAAAATCTGCCAAACCCGAGGTCTTTGCGGTTTCAGGGTCGTAATTTCGCCTTTTTCAAATTCTGTCACTGTTTTTCGTCGTAGCATGCCAGAAGGACCCCTAAGGAAACCACTAAGCCAAATAACTTACTTTGCTTCAGCGCCAACGGCAAGAAAATGGCAAAACATTGCGCGAATTTATAATTTTGTCGCAAAGAAAATCACCAAAATTTCGGTTTTTTTACCTTTTGCCAAATTGTGGAAAGTTTTCAAAATAATTTTTTGGCACACGATTTGTAGTACACTGGTACACATTTGGGCCAAATATGGGACAGTTTTACTGAAAACCAAAAAAGTTACAGCGATTTTAGAAGTGCATTTATAATTTTGTCGAGCAGTGTACATACAGTGGGGAACCCGATCCAGATTCTGCATCCAGGAAGCATCAAAAATGTGGCAAAATGCCTCCTTCTGAAGGGCGCGCCCTTTCCCTCACGAAAAGAGCGGAGTTCTTTCACTTGGAGAGGGAAGTATTTTGCCACATTTTTGATACTTCCCGGGTGGAACTGGTACGTTTTTTGCCATTGGATCACGCCCCCACTGTATGTGGAAAGAGTGACTCACTTTTATTAGTCAAAGCGACTTTGGTGTTCTGCTTGATCACATCCATGCCGTAGTATTGCAGCTTCACTTGAAATCTGTCGTCCACTAGGCAAGACTCGGCGTTCAGACAGCCCAACGCGCCATAAGGTGAGCTGTGGATGTATGACAAGCCCTGAAATCCGATATTATTAGTATCAGTCTGTCGGGAAAATAGTGAGTGCGAAGTCGCATCGAAAATCGCAAAAAAATGAGTTGTGTCGCGACAAAATCAAATCGCCTTTCACTTCAGCGACGAGGACAATGTCGCTGTGCCAGACGAGTCGCTGAAGTGAAAAGAAGTTTGATTTTGCCGCGGCACAATTCATTTTCTCGCCGGCGATGTGATTTTCGACGCAACAATGTGCTCATTATTTTCCCGACAACCTGATAAAACAGGCAGCGTTCTGATTCACCTCAACGACGTTCATGATCATGCTGTTCACGATCCTGTCGTCAATCCGGTCCTTGTACTCGTCTATGACGTTCTCAATAGTCCCTCTCTCGCAATACCGATACAGTTGATAACCGATTTGTCCGTTATAAGTGAGCCCAAGGAATCGATTCAACTGTGGGTGGTCTAAAAGTCGTATTTCCCGCAACTCGGCTTCAATTGCGGTGTTTAGATTGAAAATCTGGAACTTCCGTCCGACCACAAGCTCGTATTGATAGTAGAACAGTTGAATGTTGTCGTAGCTTCCGTTCTCCGGGTTTGTGAACGAAAAACTGTTGCTGATTGAGCGTTGGCTTTTCGCACCAAGCTGAAATGTCCTGCTTGAGGATGAATCCCATAGAAAAAGTTTAGCTTCTTTTTTAACCAAAGAAAGCCAACAAAATCACCCACCATTCGGTCCGGTTTCATCAGCATCGCATAGTCTACTTGCCATAAAGCATTCAGCCTTTGTCGTTGCCGCCGCTGAAACCACAAAACGCACCCGCTGAGCAACAGCAGCAGCGTGATAAAGAGGATAACGCTGGCGCCGCTGATGACAACGTAGGTCCACGCCGGCGCTGCGCATTCATTGCCTTCGTAGCCGCATTCCGGCTCGTTTAAGGGTCGATGACCGCCACGAACCGCCCAAATGGAGTCCGAACCGGACGTGTAGTTGGGCATGAAGGAGTCTAGGTTCTGAAAGCGAAAAATTACAGTAGCAACGGAAGGCTACAGTGAAGGACCTGATCCAGTGGCAAAAAAACATGCCATTTTGCATTCGGGAAGTATCAAAAATGTGGCAAAATACTTCCCTCTTCAAGTGAAAAAACTCCGTTTTGAAGGGCGCGCCCTTTCCCTCGCAAAAAGAGCGGGCGCGCTTTTGAAATCGGAGCTTTTCCACGTGGAGAGGGAAGCATTTTGCCACATTTTTAAATGCTTCCCGGATGCAAAATGCTACGTTTTTTGCCACTGGATCATGTCCCCCACTGTAGGTGCCGTCCTTGGGATGATGATAACCTCACGGTAGAAATACGTAGGCATGAAACTTTTCAGTCCAAAATTTGTTAGGATGTGACTTACAAAGATTGAGCTATTGTTGGAACTGGTAATGGTCGCCCATATATTTTGTGAGCCTCCAGTATCTAAACCGTAGAGCGCATTGATTACCCCTCTTATTCTGCCGTTGAAGATGAGCACGTTGTCTCCTTCTACGCCTGAAATTGTCGTGGAATTAGACACTCCTTGGCGCTTTGAAACTTTTCATAGCTGCCAGTCTTACTTGGCATTTGCACAGGCATATTTGGCAGGACATACGAGGAGTTGCGCAGAATTGCTTGAAGATTGAGATCGGTCTGGTATTGCTGGATGGTACGATTGATCGCAGCGATATATATAAGCACAGCGTCTCCCAAGTAGTAGCTTAGACTTGAGGCCTTGAGAAATTGAATTGTATCATCGATAAAGGGCCTTTTTTTCAGTCTGTCGGGAAAATAATGAGCACAATGTCGCATCGAAAATTGCATCGACGCCGAGAAAATGAATTGTGTCGCGACAAAATCGAGTTGCTTTTCACTTCTGCGACGCAGTCAGAGCAACGACATTGTGCTCATTATTTTCACGACAGACTGATAACCTACATTTCCTGTAGCAGTTGAGCAGTTATCGCAATACCAAGGGTACTCCTTGACCAGTTCCGTTACCCGTTCGTTATAGTCGGCTGACAAAATCGCAGTCGGTTTGTCGATCTGGGATTTGAGAATTAATTCAGATAGCAATAACTTACAATTAAAGTGGACATGAAGGCGGTTTTGGCCTCGTCATCTCGCCCATCATCGCCATCCCACAGCGGAGGTGTCCCTGAAATCAAGTTGTGTTCCTGGCTGATCTACTAGTCCGCTCGCAAAGTCCGATCTTTGCGGCCGAGAGAGTACACGAAGCGCGGAGAGCGATCAGAATGAAAACTTTTTTTGACCGTACCTTTCTAGGTTTACGCGGACAAAAAAATTTTTTTTTGTGGGAACGATAGTCTCTACGGTAGAACTAGGTATGAAAATTTCCGTTTCGAAGTTCAAAAAAGTGCCGAATCTTTCCAACTTTTGGCCTGAAAATCTCAGTTAATTTTTGCAAAGCGCGAACTAGGAATCTGGCATATCTCTTAGAAAAAATTGATTCAAACTTGTGTCAAGTGAAACGCCACGCTTCAGTCGCTTCCCCCGTTAGTTAACCAAGGCATTCTTACTGTAGGCGGATCCATCGCTTTGCATGAACAGATACAGATAGTCCCCACCGATCATGCGCAGCTCGCTTGCGGCCAGCATCAGCTGACGTTTCTCGTAGTCATTGTCAAAGCACACAACGGTTACTAAAATTGATTTTGCAAGTCTTCTTGTTGACGCCACTTACTCCTCGCGACCTTGTCAATACTGCTCAAGATTCGCTTGTAATTGGTGAGGGTTCGATTGGTGATCTCTCTTTTGTATGCAATTGTAATGTTCTTGCTGTATTTGTTGAGAGCGTCCTGGAAAAAAGGAAAATTTTAAATTTCCGCCTGTCGGGAAAATAATGAGCACTCTGTCGCATCGAAAATCGCGTCACCATCGAGAAAATGAATTGTGTTGCGGCAAAATCAAATTTCTTTTCACTTCAGCGCCCGACAGCGACATTGTGCTCATTATTTTCCCAACAGACAGGTAACACCCGCTGTCGCCACTTACATCAATTGTACTGGCCACTGACCCACAATAAGGCAGATATTCCTCAGGGTTGTCGGGCTGCATAAAAAGGAAGGCCAGTGTGGACCATTGATACTTATCGCACACATGGATCATCGATACTACACTCCTGAAGAAATGGGGGGTTTGGAATTTTATTCATAATTCTTTTATACTATCAAACTGTCTGGAAAATAATGTGGATTTGTCGCAAAAAAATCATCGCAGTCTCTGACTGAATCTTCGGCCGCGGCGAGACGTCGCAAAACGATAATAGGCGATTCCAAGGCGCGACAAGTCCACATTATTTTCCCGACAGACTTTTAGGCACAGGCATATTACGATTTTTCAAAAGTGCGCCGACTTTTTGCACTTTTGAAAAATCGTAATATCAAAAAATTATCTGTCTGTCGGGAAAATAATGAGAGCAATGTCGCTGCGCTAATCGCGTCGCTGAGTGAAAAGCAATTTGATTTTGCCGCGACACAATGATTTTTTTCTTCAGCGATGCGATTTTCGATGCGACAGAGTCATTATTTTCCCGACGGACAGATATATAGTCCGCCTAACTTATTTGCTTATTTGCGCTTACCCCAAGGCGGTTCCACTCATAGCCACGGTGGAATTGAATGTGTCAGGGTCCTCTTTGAAGCTGTACGGACAAGGTTTGCCCCAAATGAAATGTGGAACGTAATTGTACGAGGCCAACGCATTGACTGGCACTTGTTCCGTGGACTTGACTGGCCCAAAAATTGCATGCACCCGCGAACCATAGAGCATTTGTGTCGCATACCCTGCGGCACTGGAGTCTTCTCCATCCGAAAATCTCCATTCAAACCTGTAACTTTGAAGTAAAATTTTATGTCAGTCTGTCGGGAAAATAATGAGCAAAATGTCGTTGAGTCGATCGCGTCGCTGAAGTGAAAGGAAATTTGACTTTGCCTTGATACAATTCACTTTTTTAGCAGCGGTGCGATTTTCTATGCTCATTATTTTCCCGACAGATTACTAGTAAATAAAAGAAATCTAAAAAAGGCAATCTTACGTAAGATTAATGTTGTTCAGAAGGCCCTGTTCTCTGGCGAACTCAACGGCCAGACTAACCGCACCAGCCGAGCCAGCAAATCCCACTTCGGACTCGATCATTTTCCCTGTCGTGAAGATAAAGCCAAGCTTCAAATTGTACAATGGCAGTGTGAGTGGCAGTAGCTAAAATAAAAAACTTTACCGGTTTGTCCGGAAAGTGCTGATTTTTCGCGCTTGCACAGTGCAAAAAGTCAGGGTGCAGCGACAGCCCGAAAAAGCCTATTGAACAATGCAAAGAGTGAGAAATTGCACAGTGCAAAGAAAAGTTCTTGTTTTCTCACAGTGCATGTCGCAGAAGTCACTCCAATGCCCGCGGAAAAGTGCATGTCGCTAGTGCAAAAACGGGGAATTGCCGCGACTCACGTCAAAACAATTCTTTCAGAAAATTGAAAAAACAAGGAATCTCGGATCATTGATTTTTTGCGAAGTGCCACAGAATTATCGAGCTTGAAAAATTATTTTCCTCTTCGAAAAAAACATTTTTCTCGAAATTCTCTGGGAAAGTTTTCTTTTGTGACTCGATAATTCAGCGACATTTCGTCAAAAATCAATGATCCGAGGTTCTTTGTTTTTTCACTTTTTCTTTGACGTGCGACTGCTGCCAAAGAAAAAGAAAGACGCACTACGCAAAAGTGTCGGATTTTACAGTGGAGGACCTGATCCAGTGGCAAAAGACGTACTATTTTGCATCCGGGAAGGATCAAAAATGTGGCAAAATGCATCCCTATCCAAGTGAAAAAACTTCATTTTGAAGGCCGCGCCATTTCGCTCACAAAAAGAGCGGGCGCCCTTTTGAAATCGGAGTTTTTTCACTTGGAGACGGAAGCATTTTGCCACATTTTTGATGCTTCCCGGATGCAAAATGGGACGTTTTTTGCCACTGGATCAGGTCCCCCACTGTATGTCGCGACTAGTACACATTGCGTTAGGGACATTTCCCTTGTTAATTTCTCCCTGCGCCGCTGAAATGTTCAGCGGCATTTGAATCTTGGATTATTTCAAATCATGAGCTAAAAACCTCGATTCTTTTTGAGCATTACTCCCAGCATTTGCATCGACCTTAGAAAATGCCGCTCAAAAATTCTTACAATATGTTTCTTCAAACCATCAGCCCGTCGGGAAAATAATCAGCACAATGTCGTTGCGCAAACCGCGTCGCTAAAGTGGAAAGCAATTTGATTTTGCCGCGACACAATTCATTTTCACAATGCGATTTTTGCTCATTATTTTCCCGACAGACTGTTGTGATCGTCATAACTCTCTCCTCTCCAAATTAAAAAAACTTTTTTCAAGCAAACTTCAACGCGATACCTACCTGAGAATTGGCCTTAACAACGAGAATTAAGGCCAAAGATAGCCGCCACATCAAACAGTACGCCGAATGTCACAAGCAGTCGGAGGGATATTTGTTAATCAGCCAAGGGTTTCCCATGTCCTCAGGGCTTTTGAAATCAATTACAACAGGGAGATTAGAAAAGCTAGGAATGGTTCGGAGTCATGCGAAACCTTGGTGAGCAAACGGCGCTTTTGGGGATTCGCGGATTCCGTGCGCACAAAACGACTTCCTCCTTTCGTTGGAGAGTGTTATTTTTGTAGTCGAGAGTTCTTGGTATGCACAAATTTACTACGGAAAGAGATTGAGTGCATTAGGAATACTATAATACAGGGGAAGTCACCCAAGTTAGATAGATACGGGCCGAGGGCAGGCGGACGCCCCAAAATGGTTGTAGGAAGTGCCTACGAGGCCATTGGATGGTCGGTGGACGCCCCGGCAAAAGACAGAATTCGTTGATCGAAAGGGCTTCTGATTTCGTCCGGGAGGCATTCTGAATATCACTAAATGCCTCGAAGAACTCTATTTTGGGTCAGAGAAAGAGGCATTTAGTGATACAGTGGCAAAAAACGTACCATTTTGCGTCCGGGAAGTATCAAAAATGTGGCAAAGTGCTTCCCTCTCCAAGTGAAAAAAACTTCGTTTAGAAGGGCGCGCCCTTTTTCCTCACAAAAAGAGCGGGCGCGCTTTTAAAATTTGAGTTTTTTTTCACTTGGAGAGGGAGGTATTTTGCCACATTTTTTGATGCTTCCTAGATGCAAAATGGTACGTTTTTTGCCACTGGATCAGGTCTCATACTGTATAAAATCAGTCTGTCAGGAAAGTAATGCGGATTCGTCGCACCTCAAAATCGCCCGTCATCACTTTGCGAGGGACTAGCCACGCGGATGTGGATTTAGTGCGCCACCGCGACAAGGCGAGACATTTTGCCACTTCATAAACATTATTTTCCCGACAGACTGATATTAAGATTAGGATGTAGTCACATAGCAAATCCACAGCTGTGGTTTGCCTACGCGCTGCGACGATGGGCGATTCCAAAGCGCGACAACCCGCCACTGTTTTCCCGACAGACTTATGAACAGCCGAATTGAAAACTACTGTTATAAATATTACCCTTTATTCAGCAAAACAACAACTATAAATGCTACGAGCAATTCCCCGGCTTATCCGAGTACCTCTCCTTCATTTTGGCGCCTTTGTGCAGCGTGACCGTCGTCTTGAACAACGGCTTCAAATGCTCTCCCAATCTGAGCTCGACCTCGTTGACAATGTCATCCGTCAGCTGTTTGTACGGTGTCGTAAATCCCATGGTAACAGCGTGCTGGGATTGGCCAAACAGATCGTCGAGGTAAATCAAATTCCAGAACGCCTGGTCGTAGCGATGGCAATCCGCGTACTTTCGCGGCGCTTTGCGCAGCCTGTGAATGGGACAGTCGACGGTTGAGCCCTCGGGCGAGATGCACGCGGAAGTCATTGCGCAGAGGTACCACCTGAAAGGAAATCGGGTAAAAATTGACCCTAGGACATAGAGAAAAGCATATGGCCAGGGGATAGCTAGGAAACGAAAGATTTTTTCGTTATAGAAGGATTTGTTGTGTGGAGGTTCATGATGTAAGTTTCATGCCTATTTCTACCGGAGAGTGTAATCTTTCCACAAAAAAATTTTCTTTTCATGCAAGGCTAGTAAAGCTACCGCCAAAAAGTGGTCTTTTCTCTGACCGCTCTCCACGTTTTGCGTACTCTCTCGGCCGCAAAGATAGTTCAATATCTCGGCAATGCCAGCAAAGCGCGAGCTAAAATTTTTAGGGATTGATAAGTGGCCCATGACTGACGTGTGTGCAAACTTTTGAAAAAATCCGAGCATCGCACTTGGACTACTTCCCTTGGTAATCAAAAACATGTTTCACCGTATAAAATGTCCCCTAACGGATATTTTATACGTTACAAACTATATAAAATGTCTTTTTCAAAATGTCTTTTCATCACTCACCACTTCATCACATTCCGCGTGTACGGCGAGTCCACCACAAGCATCGCGGTGCTCACTCGCTCCATCATCCTTGTCGCCTCCATTGCAACCGGCAGGTACTCGTACATTCCCGGATGAGTTGTAGCGCCAACACTGTGAAATGTATAGGGGAAGGTGGCAAAGCTCTGAAGCGCACCAAACTTTACGGCTTCGAGGAGGTCTTCGTGCGCCTGCGACTTGAACGCCACACTCGTGTCCGTGTAGAAGAAGGCGTTCAGGGTTTGTAGGGCATCCTGAAAGACGGAAATATACATATGTGCAATGAGGATTTGTTAAGGGCTTGAAAGGCTTCATTTTGGACGATTTACGAGTTTTTTTGGTCAGAAAAATGTACCCATTGAAGCCAAAGTAAGGATGCGAATGTACGTACTACAGTGGAGGGCCTGATCCAGTGGCAAAAAACGTACCATTTTGCGTCCAGGAAGTATCAGAAAATGTGGCAAAATATCTCCCTCTCCAAGCGAAAAAACTTCGTTTTCCCTCACAAAAAGAGCGGGCGTACTTTTGAAATCGGAGATTTTTCACTTGGAGAGGGAGGCATTTTGCCACATTTTTTGATACTTCCAGGATTCAAAACGGTACGTTTTTTGTCATGCCATTGCCCTATGTACAAGTTGATCGATAAATATCAGTCTGTCGGGAAAATAATTTATTGCGCCTTGAAATGCTATCGCAAAGCGTGGCAAAATACCTCCCTCTCCAAGTGAAAAAACTCAGATTTCAAAAGCGCGCCCTTTGTGAGAAAAAGGGCGCGCGCTCTTCAAAACGAAGTTTTTGCACTTAGAGAGGGAAGCATTTTGCCACATTTTTGATACTTCCCGGATGCAAAACGATACGTTTTTTGCCAATGGATCAGGTCCCCCACTGTATATCAGTCTGTCGGGAAAATAATGAGCACTCTGTCGCATCGAAAATCGCATCGCCGCAGAGAAAATGAATTGTGTCGCAGCAAAATCAAATTTTTTTCATTTCAGCGACATTGCTCTCATTATTTTCCCGACAGACTGATAGATGGTCTAAAGTCTTTTCGATTTTCTAAAACCGCTTTTTTTTTGCTTCGTAAACCTTACAATTATGATCATTTTAAAAGCGTAGGTTTGAAGATTCGCCACATGCTCGGGGTAAACAGAAAAATTGAAGGTTTTGAGCTCAACATTGCACCATGATTTGACTTCTGAGATCTGAAAAAAATTTATTATTTACATCAGATATAACCTCAACCCGCCACTTACTTCATCGTTTTCCAGCCCCAGATCGTAGACAATCACTTGGTTTTTGGTGTAGATCCGGCGCAATCGATCGATGAATGTCCGCAGCTCCTCGAAATGATTGGACGAAGCGCCGGTCACAAAGACCGGCTCCCAGAAGCCATTCGTAATGTCCGCATTATCGTCAGCTGTGTCAATATCCTCTTGCAGCAGATGGTTGGAGCGAAGGCCGTCCAGCAGATCGCAGGAGAACTTTTTCCCAAACACCAAAGTGGAGTTTGTGGAAAAGCCGGGAAAGCAGAACTAAACGGGGCATTATGACGCTTAATTTTGGATCTTGTTCATGACAGTGGAATTTCAGAATGTCGGGAAAATAATGTGGATTCGTCGCGGCGTGGAATCGCCCATCATCGCTTTACTAACCACAGCTGAAAATTTGTTGCGCTACTGCGAACAAGCGAGGTATTTTGCAGCGACAAATCCACAATATTTTCCCGACAGACTGATAGTATAATATTATCAACCTAAACACCTCCGAAATGAAGAAATTTAGTCTCATTTTTAATAAGGGAAGTCCCAAGTGCGACACTCAAATTCTCTTTGACGTGTACAGTGGCGGACCTGATCCAGTGGCAAAACACGTGCCATTTTACATCCGGGAAGTATCAAAAATGTGGCAAAATGCTTCCCTCTCCAAGTGGACTCCGATTCCCAAAGCGCCCGCTCTTTTTGTCAGGATCATGCAACCTGCACTTCTGAGTTGCAGAATTTTTAAAAATGAAATTTTTTCAATTGTCATCGGGAAGTTTATGCTGCGGGGTTCCTTACAATATTTATATTTTCTGAAAGCCAGCTCTTTACTCTACCGCCATGCCAAATTTCAGCCCTCTGGCGCAAACGGCTAGCGAGATATTGAAAGAAAAAGCAAGCGCATTCCGAAAAAAATTGAAAAAGTCGCGGAGATCGGTTGTGTCCCAAAAGTACAGAATGCCGTGCGCCCGGTCTTTTCGTAAGGGAAACCTTTCAAAACGGAGATTTTTTATACTCCGCGTACAATGTTTTGACCCCCCTCCTAACTCGGCCCAAAGTGTACTAATCCGGACCAAATTTGGTATATAGTCTACTCACAGGCTTGTAACAAAAAATAACATAGCAGGACATACCTTATAGTTGAATTGCAAAATCCAGGAGCAATTTTCAAAAATCACCCTAAAAAATCGAGGAAAAAGTTTTGACCCCCCTTAAATAAAGTTAGATATCGCCAGCGGATATCACCCAAACCTATCGTAATCGACGTCTCATACCTGAATACAGGTTAATAAATGGTTTTCCGTTGAATCCTTCGTTGCATTTGAGGATTCAACGCGTTAAACCGTTTTGGATGTAGAGCTGCCCAAAATGGTAAAAATCTAGCCCTAGAGCTTTCCAATAGCTCTAAATTGGATTTTTATTACGTGATTTAGACCTGTATTTACCTTCTCCTTTAGATGAATGTGCATAGTGACCTGGCGGTGTAGATTCGGCCGATATCCAATTGTCATGTCCAGCCTTGGCGACCCATTTCCTCTCTGAGTAAAGGGCTAGGTGTGGCCGTTAGGTCCTCAATGTAATCCTGAGACTTCTGTTTACACTCAGTAATGTAAAATGCTTCGATTTGACACGTTTTGTAATGGGTTTCATTCACCTTAATCTTAAGTTTGCCGTTACTGTAGATGCCCCCGAGGACGATCACATCCCCGCAGGCGATTTGGCGTTCGATACGTCTCAGACGTGTACGCCGGGTGCCGTAGCTTCTTAAATTACGTGGGCCATCTAATGCAAGCCATTTTTCGTCGGTAAAAATCCATTTGAAAAGCTCGGTTTTCTGGTTAAGGTGCAGATCGGCAAAGTTGCGCCTGCAAACCATATGAGATCGTGTCAGTGGGAGTTTATTCTTTGTTTGAGAGTAAGTAGGAGTCTCAGGATTACATTCAGAACCTAACGACCATATCTAGCCCCTCGGTCAGAGAGCTAATGGGTCGACAAGGCTGGACATGACAATTGGATATCGGCCGAATCTACACCGCCAGGTCACTATGCGCATTCATCGGAAGGAGAAGGTAAATACAGGCCTAAATCACGTAATAAAAATCCAATTTAGAGCTATTGGAAAGCTCTAGGGCTAGATTTTTACCATTTTGGGCAGGAATACATCAAAAACGCTTTAACGCGTTGAATCCTCAAATGCAACGAAGGATTCAACGGAAAACCATTTATTAACCTGTATTCAGGTATGAGACGTCGATTACGATAGGTTTGGGCGATATCCGCTGGCGATATCTAACTTTATTTAAGGGGGGTCAAAACTTTTTCCTCGATTTTTTAGGGTGATTTTTGAAAATTGCTCCTAGATTTTGCAATTCAACTATAATGTATGTCCTGCTACGTTATTTTTTGTTACTAGCCTGTGAGTAGACTATATACCAAATTTGGTCCGGATTAGTACACTTTGGGCCGAGTTAGGAGGGGGGTCAAAACATTGTACGCGGAGTATAGTTGGAGAGGGAGGTATTTTGCTACATTTTTGGGTAAAAGTTCCTTATTTTGGCCACAACTTATAACTTTGCGGAAACTGGTCGGAGTTAGCCCAAATTTAGCGTGCACGCTCAATTCATCGTCGTCAATGCTGGATTTAGTTAGCGAGGTACCTTCTTTTTTACCTACCACCTTATCCTTCAAAAACGGCTGCAGCCTGTGATTTTACACTTTATACGATGAAACATGTCCGGAACTAAACTTATTGCCTCCGTATGGAATTAAATGAGTCGTCGTAGCCTTTTTAGGTACCCTTAAAACTATAGAGCTATTATAGTAATCCAGTGCCAGCTAGGTCGAAGCGTTTTTTCCTAACTTTAGCGCCCAAGCTTGGGCGCAGTTCGCGGAGTACCGTTGTTGTGGCCAGAATAAGGAACTTTTTCCGAAACCTTACAAAACGGAGATTTTTTAGTTGAAGAGGGAGGCATTTTGCCACATTTTTGATGCTTCCCCGATACCAAATGATACGTTTTTTGCCACTTCAACAGGTCCGTCACTCTATGCTAAAATTTGCCGAAAATCTGAGCGTCGCACTTGGCCGGCCTCCCTCGTCCCATAGAAGCCCCCAAAAAATTCAACTTACATTTTCCCCATCGCAAAGACATCTCTCCGGCACATCCTTCAATTTTTTGCTTTTCCGATAGGCTTTTGTTTTGGGGCCGATAATCTCCACCAAATCCTCGTAGTAAACGAACATCATACATAACAAAAAAAGCACTCCCAGTGAGTGGAGAATACGTATTCGGAACATATCAGAGTGAAAAAATAAGACCGCACCGTTCGTTTCGAAGGAAAATTTGATAGTAAAATATTTTGAATTATTTTGTGAAAAAACCCCAAAAATTTGAATAGAAAGACAATTTTGATTTATTTTATTATACTTCAATATGTAAAAGTTGGGCGGAAAATTGCGATGAGATCACTTCATGAACCCACTCACACTCTTTCCAGGGATTTGAAACATTTTCGGTCAGACTTTTTTACAGTTGAGATGCGAAAACAACGAAAAAAGAGAGACGGCTTCAGTTGCTAGGGGCGCTCGAAGCGAGGGATTCCAAAATTGATGAGATTCGGGGTGATGCGGGATGATTGCATTTGGTCTCAATCTCATTTGAATACAGCAATGACTTGTCGAATGCATAAACAATACGTGTTTTGGAGTTTGAGAGCGATGAGAATCTCGACTATCGGTCTGTCGGGAAAATAATGTGGATTTGCCGCGCTTGGAATCCCATCATCGCTTTGCGACGGCTAGCCGCGGCTAGAGACTTGATGTGACGAGGCAACATATTTCGCTGCGACAAGTCCACATTATTTTCCCGACAGACTGATCTTCCATTTTCCGTACAAAATTCAAAATTAAGCTTCATAATGTCTCGACTGACAGATAAACCTGCAAAAAAATCTGTCGGGAAAATAATGTGGATTTTTCACGTCTGGAATCGCCCATTATCGCTTTGCGATGGCTAGCCGCGGCTAGAGACTCGGTGCGCGACGGTTACAAGGCGAGAATTTTCGCTGCGACAAGTCCACATTATTTACCCGACAAACATATCTTCCATTGTCACGTACAAAATTCAAAATTAAGCTTCATAATGTCTCAACTGACAGGTAAACCTGCAAAAAAATTCTGTCGGGAAAATAATGTGGATTCGTCGGCTTTTTGTTGAGCTGTCGCTTCTTCTGCATAGTGCAAACGCCAAAAACCACCCGTTGGATTCACCCATAATCGCTTTGCGACGGTTAGCTGGAGATTTTTTCGACATTTCGTTATGACAAATCCACATTATTTCCCCGACAGATAAACTTGCAAAACTTCAATTTTGGCTAAAATGATACCTGTTGTGGCATTTATCATTAAAATCTGAATGTCAAAATTTCACATCGTTTTTAAAAAAATTCAAAAATCTTAATGGCCTTTTATCGGTCTGTCCGAAAAATAATGAGCTCTCTGTCGCATCAAAAATCGCATCGCCGCCGAGAAACCGAATCGTGTCGCGACAAAATCAAAATGCTTTTCACTTCAGCGACGGGACTGGCTCAGAAAGACTGAGCTCATTACTTTTTTCCCGACAACCTTTTAGCACGACAGGCTTTTTTGTGAGTTTGCACTTTGTACAGCCAGAAATGACCAGATATATAATACATAATGTAATAGTAAAACAAAAAACAAGGAAGCACGAAATAGCCATGTTTAGTTGTCCAGTTGGGTAAACAATCTGTTTTTATTGGTCCTATAAAAGAACGTTGCTGTTGACCATTAGCTAACTCGTTCAGTTCAATTCTTAGACATGAGTCCTAAAACTTTTATAGTACTCTCGTTGGTCATAGCTTTTACGGCTTACGGTAGGTTTTTGTTGAAAATCTGTGAGAGTTTTTGTCTAGGAAAAAGTCATCATCCTAGTCCTAGTCCCCATGGGAGCAGTGGAAATCATCATGGACAAAATCATGGTAAAGAACATGACCATGGTCATGCTAAAGCTCATGACAAGGAGCATGGCAAAAGTCATGGTCAAAGTCATCAAAATTCCCAAGGCCATGAGCATCCTCATGATCACGGCCATGATACCAACCATGCCTATGGACATCAACAAAGTCATCAGCAAGGCCACGAACATCCCCAGGACCACGGTCACAACGGCTACGGCCATAAAGGCAAGTCGCATGGCCACGACGCCAACGACAATGGCCATCACGAAGGCAACGAAAACATGCATCTGGACAAGGACGGCAACTTCATCAACCCACAAACCCAACAAGTTCTGAAAGAACTCAGCGAGCTGCACTTTGTGAAACCAATGGAGACCGAAAACGTCCCATGCGAGCATTTGTTGCGCCCTCAAATCGACAAGAACCCCTTTGCCAAGAAGTACAGACTCACGTACAAGGACCCCGATTTTGAGGAGGATCTGGCCACGGACTGTGAGTCCATTTGGCTGCGAAACAACTTTTACACAAAGCCCCTGAGCAGAGAGGAAGAGGACTTCCCATTGGCCTTCGCCAGGAACGTTTATAAGGTAAGGAAAACATCGTTCGATTTCAACGGAAATCCTGTCAATTTATTCAAATTTTTCGGTCTGTCGGAAAAATAATCAGCATTCTGTCGCATCGAAAATCGCATCGAAGAAATGAATTGTGTTGCGGCAACATGAAGTTGCTTTTCACTTTAGCGACGCGATCGGCACAAACAATTTGCTCATTATTTTCCCGACAAAAAGAACTCGATTTTTAGCGACACAATTAATTTTTTCGGCGGTGATTTTCGATGCGACGTAGTGCTCACAATTTTCCCGACAGACTAACAGAAACATGTTTCAGGACTACCGTTTCATTGAAATGGAGCTCTCGACAACCTACGCTCCCCAAAATCTGTATTGCTTCGGCATTGACGGAAAATCGGATGCACTCTTCCAGCTGCGGATGAGAAACCTTTCTCAGTGCTTCAACAACGTCTTCCTGACCGAACACCGCTACACCATGGACAGCAAAGGTCATAACACAAACTTGTATCACATTGAATGCATGAAGGTTTTGCGGGAAACGCAGAAACCCTACAAATACTTGTTTTTGCTGCAGGCAAGTGAACACCATCGGGTCTTGTAAGCAAAAAATACTCTTTTTAGAATCATGATGTGTCCTTGCACACGAACGAAGAGTTGGTTCACATTTTGACAACCTTCCACGGAACCAATGACATCTCCACGGTGCCAACCAGACCAGCGAAGAAAATCAAATGGGATTTCGAGAATATGAGGGTCTTCAAGAATAGTAAGCCCAAAATTTATTGTTGAGAGTCCGGTGACAAAAAATGCATCTCATAGGAGAAGTACGCCAAATGCCACGCTTAGATTTTGATGAAACTTGGCACAAATTTAGCGACTTTTTCTAAGACCTAAAGGGGGGGGACCTGATCCAGTGGCAAAAAACGTACCATTTTGCATCCAGGAAGTATCAAAAATGTGGCAAAATACCTCCCTCTCCAAGTGAAAAAACTACGACTTCAAAAGCGCTCCCATTCTTTTTGTGAGGAAAAAGAATGGGCGCACCCTTCAAAACGAAGCTTTTTCACGTGGAGAGGGAAGCATTTTGCCACATTTTTGATACTTCCCGGATGAAAAATGGTACGTTTTTTGCCATTGGATCAGGCCCCTCGTAAATGACCTTCAACGATTCCCCTAAATACCTCATTTCCAGTTGCCCGAAATCGCCAAGTCCACAACAATTTTGAGCCGAAACTCGTCCCAACCCGAGGATTCGTTCAATCGACCCTATCCAAAGACGCAATTGACTTCATTCTGGATGAACTGACCTTGGACGTCAGTATCGCCTGGTTCAGTCTGTATCCCAAAAGCAAAGACGAATATCTCTTCAGCACTATCAACAACAACGACAATATTGGGCTGCCAGGAGGATTTACGAGCAAGTGTACCAAAAATAATGGAACCACTACGGGAGTTACGAGGTAGGAGAGAAAAAACGATAATCTACTGACTTTTTCAACTGTTCAGATACAATATTTGGCAGCGGAATGCAACTCTATGCGAGAGTAAACTGTTTCGCCATGGGCTGTGCGTTTTTGGCCTTGAGGATTTGATCCCCAAGCTGGGAGAGTCCCCCTTCTTCTTTGCCAACAAAATGATGCCAGAGAAGGACTTTAGCGCCATCGCTTGTTGGCATGAGATCCTGTTTAATCGGACCTATCATCAACGAGGACTGCATCGAGTTCAGGAAAACTATTATTGGAAACTACCGACGATTAGATTTAGGTCTGATCGAGAAATGATGGGAGACAAATTCGACTCGGATACCTTTAACTGTACTGCCTATGATTGGGAGAAAATTGGGACCAATATTCAGCCCGATGGACTGAGAGTAAGTGGCAACCAAGCGGATCCAGTCAAATTCAAAATTGAAAAGTATTCTCAATCCAAAAACGACAGTATTTTTTGGATAGGATATCTTTTGATATCAAATTCGGACCCAATTTGGCTGTCTTTTCGATATTCATTTTGGCACAAGATCCAGTCACCAAAAAAGTGTAATTTTGTTTCCAGGAGGGAATAAAATTACCCAAAAATACCTGCCTTCTCCAACCAAAAACAGCTTTGAAGACCGTGCTCTTTCATTCATATGTCTGTCGGGAAAATAATGTGGATTTGTCGCAGCAAAGTGTCTCGCTTCGTCGCACACCAAATCTCAAGCCGCGGCTAGCCGTCGGTGATGATTGGCGATTCCAAGGCGCGACAAGTCCACATTATTCCCCCGGCAGACTGATAAACAGAGCGCAAATTCAAGCAGTTTTTTGGTAAGAAAAGAGAGGTACTCCGCGGGAATTTTACTGCCTCCTGGGAACAAAATTGCACATTTTTAGTGACTGGATCATGTGCCAAAATGAATATCAAAAAGATGGCCAAATTGAGTCCGAATTTGATATAAAAAGATATCCCTATCCAAAAAATACTGTCGTTGTTGGATTGAGGACATTTTTCGAAGCAACTTTTGGCTCACATTAACTTCTTTTTCGACACTGCCGCCGACCAAAAACATAATTTTTCGTTTATCTTCAGCTAATTGAATCTTGATGACCCCGAAGAATCCTTGCCTATTAGATCGCATGACGTATTTTACATCACTTTGGTAACGAATTTTTTGTAAATATTGAAAATAAATAAACTTTGTCCAGCAATTTTTGGTTTGATTTCAAAGTACAACCCGAGGATTAACCAGTAACAAACGCGAGACGGTAAGCAAATAATGTTTTATGTTTGCTATATGACAAACATTTTGACCCGCAGGCTTGCTTAAAACGCCCCCTGCAATCTTGCCAGCAATTTTCAAGCTTCTGTTTATTTTTTTGTAAAATTTGGACTCATTTTTGTTCCTTGATTTTTACTTTCATTTATTCGGCAAAATCAAGACTTTCCTATGTTTTTCTGCCCACTGAACCGAAAGACTAACATGTATAACAAACCAGCCGTTCCCTATTGCTCAACCTTGAAATTTGACGCAAAAAAAATGAAAATTTCCACCTCAAATCCGTCTACAAAAAAGGAAGAGAGCGAAAGTTAACTCAACTAAATCCGCGCGTGTTCAACTTTAGCCTCATCATTTTTACTTTACTATCTGTATTTTAGACATCATAAAAAATGAAGCTCCTTTTACTAACCGCATTTCTGATGCCTTGTATTAGTGCGGTGTCCGGTTGTAAGTGTAAAAATACAACGAATGAGGAGGCGTATTGCGAGGCCAAGTGGAGTAAGTCTACATCGACGTGTGCTCGCCTTTTGTATCAATTTTATTCCATTTTTATTTTCAGTATCTCATCTAAAAGTACTCGAAAAGAAGCAGAGCCATGATCGTCTAACAACGATTTACACCGTAGAACATATCGACATATTTAAAGTAAATATTTTTGAATTGTGATATGCAATTTTTTATGATTATTGCGTTTGCTTGGGAATTTTACGAGGTATAAAACAATGTATTTTATAGGTATCAGTCTTTCTGAAAAGTCATGTAGATTCGTCGCACCAAGAAATCGCTCATCATCGCTTTGCGATGGCTGGAGATCTGGTGCTCGACTGCGACGATTTCGCTGCGACGGACCCACATTATTTTCCTGGCAGACTGACAAAAATATGTCAAGTTTGGTCGTCAAATTGTGGGAAAGAGGATCATTGAGAAAACTTCTCACTAATAATAAGACATGTGCACTTTAGGAACAGATACAATGGACACAACAGTCAAAAATTTGATCAAAATGAGCTACCGTTTGAAGTCAAAAAGTGCAGGAAAGACATAAAAAGAATCAGCTTTGAAGAGAAGATACCTGAACATCATTCCTCCACTTCAAAACCAAAATTCTTTTTACGTATTTGCTTCACTTTTTTGACAACAAACGATAGCTCACTTTGATCAAATTTTCGATTGTTTTGTCCATTTTATCTGATCCTAAACTGCATCATGCCTCATTATTAGTGAGACGTAATCTCAATGATCCTCTTTCCCACAATTTGTCAACCAAATTCTACTTACAGTGGCCGGGTCTCATGGGAAAAAAGTACCATTCTGCATTCGGGAAGTATCAAAAATGTAGCAAAATGACTCCCTATCCAAGTGAAAAAACTGCGATTTCAAAAGCGCGCCTGCTCTTTATGTGGGAAAAGGGCGCGAACGTCAAACTGAGATAAGCTAAAACAGTCCGGTGAATGGATTGGCAATTTGCCAAAAAAAGACGCGACAAAACGTTTTGTCGGGGAAGAAATGGGGAATTTTTGGGGCGAGAGAGTAGGCTTTTGCGTGTCTTTTTTCTCTCTTTCTCTGGAAATCAAGACGAAATGTAAAAAAACCGATAGCGAAGAGTCTATTCCGGTCACCGGACTCCTCAGTTTGACGTGCGCGCTAAACGGAGTTTTTTAGTACAAAAGGGAGGCATTTTGCTGCGTTTTTGATACTTCCCGGATGCAACACGGTAAGTTTTTCGTCGCTGGATCAGGTCCTTCACTACACCCCGTAAAATTCACGAACAAAAACTACCACAATTTTTCAGAAGCCAGACGGAGATTTGCCCACCGAATTCATCTCGCCTTCCTTCTCCGGATCCTGTGGAATCTCAGCACTCAAACCGGGAGAGGAATACCTTCTCACAGGTAATTTTTTGAGAGTTCTTTCAGTCTGTCGGGAAAATAATGAGCGTCGCATCAAAAATCGCACCGCCGGTGAAAAAATCAATTGCAAAATCAAACTGTTTTTCACTTCAGCGACGCGATTTTCGATGGACATTGTGCTCATTATTTTCCCTGCAGACTGAGACATAGTATTTTCAATAAATTAAGATATCCATTTTTCATTTAGGCACCATTGCAAATGGTTTTGAACTGCGCGCAGTTTCTTGTTTATTCTTCAACGTTGAAGGGAGTAATTTACTCGGTGCCGTGGAATGGAAGGCCGTCCCAGCCAGCATAAAAGACCTGCTCAGTAAGAACAAACCGGCTTGTTCTCTTGGCCGAGAGAGCGCTTGATTTATTATCAATTCATATTTTGGTTTTAATGAACATTTATTCGAGACCAACTCATGGGATTATTAATTTAGTAATTTTTTTTGGACTTACTGTCTTCTGGGATAACAAACAGAGTAAGAATAGTTAATCGGCATCTTTAGGGGCTCGATGAGGTTTAATAGCGACGGTCGCTGAAAAATGGTAAAATTTTGTTCAAAACATCCATTACAAGAGCTTTCTGACTAACAAGGAAAGTACTTCTTGGGGAATGGAGTTACAGGTCGAGACATACATCAAAAAATCGCAATTTTTTTTTGATTCAGGATATGTAAAAGTTAGCTGCCTAATTTTGGTCTGTAAGGGTGAAAAAACGCCCATAACTTTTCACGGAACACCATGTAAATGCCCCTTTTTTATATTAGAACTACTAATTAAGGTGTAGTATTAATGAAATTTGATATTGTAAGGCTTGTCAAGATATCAGGGTTTACTGCAGCTCGAAACAAAGCTTCTGATTTTGCAAAAACTTGGTCAAAAAGGCATTTGCGTAAACCCTGGTATCTTGACAAGCCCTACAATATCAAATTCGATTAATACTACACCTTAATTAGAAGTTCCAATATAAAGAATGGGCATTTGCATGGTGTTGCGAGAAAAGTTCTAAAGATTTTTTCACCCTTACAAACCAAAATTAGGCAGCTAACTTTTACATATTCAGAATCAAAAAAAGTTTGCAATTTTTTTGATGTATGTCTCGACCTGTAACTCCATACCCCATAGAAGCACTTTCTTTTTAAATCAAGACAAAAATTATACAAAATATCACTTTCAAACTTCACCCTACCGACTGTGACGATCTCCACGGTCTCCTCGACGATCTCTATCACTTCCATGACGATCCTTATCCCTCGACCTGGACCGATGTCTTGATCCCGATCTATAACCATTATCGCGATCCCTGGAGCCGCGACGATCATCGAACCGGATCCTGTCCTCAAACCCGCCGCCAATCCGCTTCTCCCTGGTCCTTCTCGTATCCCCTTTACCGCCGCCCAATCGTCTCGGCAACCAGGTCTTTTGGGTGCGGCCGCGCTCGTAGTCGACCACGATTCTCCGGCCGTCCACCTTCATCCCATCCGCTTTTTTGTAAGCCGCTGAAAAGTTACGAGAATTGCATCAAACTCTACCTTCGCGTCGGCAATCAACCAACCTTGCGTTCGAAACGAGACTTCCGGTACGGACAAAAATTATGTTATTTTAGGTGAAGCAGACCAAAAATTTTACCGTATTTTAGGTTCAAACTCAACCAAGACTCTAATATTACCTTCCACAGACTGTTTGTGACATCGCTGTCGGATGAACGCTTGTTTCATCAAAAAATTTAAAAGTAATCTTACCGGGCGAAACTTACAAGATTACCGGAATTCCGAATTTTGCAGCTGGTTTGTCCCCTTACCTGAACGGCTGGAAACTTACCCTCAAAATAGCCGCCATCTTAGCTCAACCTACTTTATTTTTGCCCAAAACTGCACTTATTTTTGATCGAAACCAATATTTCTCACCTATGCTAAAAGAACTCGAATTATTTTACCTTGGAATTGCTGGAAACAAACCTATGGCAGACTTGGAGGTGTCATTCAGCCAAATACTCGGCTAAAAATAACCGGAAATGTAGTAAACTAACAATTCAGAGGGCGTGTGGACAGAAAACTATATTCACATAGAGGCCAGAATGAGAGCTGCGCAAAAATTGATGGTCTCCCAAAAAAATAAGGGAAGAAATGTCTAAAATTTCCCCGTGAATAAGAATGGGCTCCAAACTAACTAATAAACCTCAGAAACAGCAATAATATTGGCCTAGCTTGTCTACAGGACGATTCTCCCCGAGCGCATCCATCAACTAATGCCTAGTTCAATATCGCGTCGTCTCTTATCTAAACCCGGAAAAACAAGAAAAGAAAACTCCCTTACCAGACATATCGTTTTTGTGCTCATATTCGATAAACGCATAACCTCGAGGTTTGCCCTCTTTGTTGTGTACCAAGACGATATTTTTTATCGGTCCAAATCTCTCAAATTCCCGTTTCAATTTTGACTCCGACGTTTCGTACGAGATTCTGGCAACAAATAATGTCTTGTAGGGGTCCTCTGTAGCATCCGGATTCTCTGCTGGTGCCCCTGAATAAGAAAATGTCAATTTAGGTACAGCGAGAAATGAGATCTTGGAAAAACAAAAAAGGGCATCTGGCATCAAGTATAATATTCGGGATTTGTCAAATTTACAACAAATAAGCCTTCTCCAACAGAAAGAAGGCAAAATTGTCTTCATTCTACACCTAAAAGACTAAAACAAAGTAAGGAAAAACTTACATGTAGCAATTCCTTGTTCAATCTTATAGGCCAACAACTCTTGCTTCTCCTTTCGTCGCCGCTCTTTTATCTCAGCTTTGGTTTCAACCTTTCGCTTTGGTGGAGTATCATCCGGGTCTTCGAACAGTCCGACATACTGCGACAATCCCTAAACATCAAAAATTATAAATTTCCTTCATGGAGACGAGAGCCCCAAAAAATATTCAAAGTCTCATACCTGTATTTGAGGTCGATGTCGATCGATGAGCAGTGGATCTGGAGGCGGTTTGAACTCCAACGGAGGTCGTGGCGCGAACAAGGCCAACAAATTCTCGGGCAGAAATTGAGTCATGACCTAGTGTAAGATCTCGAAAATTTTCTAGCTCTCTAAAACGCGAAGCACACAGCTTTTCCACGAGGCAATTTGTTTCGTATTGGAATTTATGGAAACACGCCAGAAATTGGAATGAAAGCCAGAAATTTTCTCGCTCCTTCCGAAAAGAGGCGAAACGCCAAAAGGTCCCGCAGAGAACTTGATCTGCCTGATTTCCCGCGATAAAAAGCGGCTCAAAAAGTCGGAAAAATAAATATTTTTCGTTTTTTCGTTGTCGTGGTAACGGAAATTTTGTGATATTTCGTGGATGTGCCTAATAAAAAACGAGATTTGAAAATTGTGCGGCATGTGTAATATAAATTGTTTTTTTGAGTATAAAATGGCTTGAAAACGAGTTGTTCTGTTATAATTTCCACTTCATTTGGCTTTTGCTTTCAGGTTGAAATGGCGTTGAATGTCGGCGAGGACTGGAAAACATGCAGGAAGATGTTAAGTATGTTACACTAGACATCTCTCCATTTTTCTAATTTTTAAAAAATTTTTCTCTGACTTTTTTTGGTTTTAGTTGAAGAAGTTTATGGGAAAGCTGAAGGGCCAGTTCAAGAGTTTGAAATCGGTGTAAATAAGGTGTTCTCCAAGGTAAAACATCGAATTCTTTCTTGATTGTTGTTTAGGACAAGTACGAGACTAAACAATTGAAAGCAGATGAGTTAGAACGACGGACATTCCTGGATTTTATTCAGGCTATGAAGGTAAGTATTTTATCTTGGTGTCATCTGCGTTTAGGCTAAATATGGGTGAAGCTGGATAGTTTTATGGCCCGATCTTACACTTGCTACCAAATTTTAGGTAGCTTGGAAAATTTTTGGTTATTGAAGCCGAAGCTCTTTAAAAAAAGTGTCGCTAGGAATATCTTAGAGACTGTAACCTAACTTGAGCGCCTTCTGCAACCTGAACGATGTTGTTTTTGCCATTAAAAATACATTTTTTCTTTTGTCAATAACTAATCCAAGTGTAAGATACAAAATCCAGGATGCGCAATCCCAATATGCTTAGGCGCATGTATAAACATTTTCTTAGGGCTTTTCAACAGTTACTTTCGAATGCCACCGGATACGATCAGAAGAAACGGGAGAAATTTCATTTGTCTGGTCGCTAAACGACATCTACAAGAAGAAAGTCAAAGACTTCCTCAATCTCGCGCTTACTATTGTAAATCAATTTACGGAGATCCGACAATGTCTGCATGGTTCGTTTTACCTATTTTTTGTTTGTTTTTTTGGCGAATTTTTATAACCGATACCTAGTGTAATATAAATTTTCTTCCAGAAATCAAAAACGCATATCAAATATCGGGGAAAATGGTGCTAGCTCTCGCAAAACAGACCGAAAAGTCTGTTTTTACCGATATTGACCAAGTAATCGACAAATTTACTAACAACAGGCAGAGCTATACAATTGGAGGCGTTATACGACTTTGCCAAGACCTGGAAAGTCCTCTAAAATTGCTGTTGGAGCTTCTTCAAGACGTTATTGACGTAAGCCCATTTTTATTTTTTTTTTTTTGTTTTTAGGAAAAAATCTTAGCCTACTCCAACATGTTATACTAGGTGAAAGAAGTTGTAAAACTACTATCAAATCTTGTCAAAAATTACCTCGTATTTTAGAGCGGTTGGACTGGCGGTCAATTTTTCGACATCCTCCATCAAAAACAACAGGAATTAGTGGGAGATGACGACTTATATCATCATATTATACATGCCACATACAAGGATTGTAACGAAATAATGGACGCTTTTATACGCGAATGGGTCCGATTTACCAGCACGGATTCGGATCCGTATTTCGAGTTTTTTATCTGGGATTTGTGCAAAATGAGTCTAGTCAAGGACGGAGAAAAAATTGATAAGGAGAATCCGTGAGTAATTTTTTTTTGTTGCTTGAATTTTAGGATACAGTACACAATGAACGATAAGATGACGTTATGAGTTTTCAGGCCTTACCTGAATTCCGTGAACATCCAAAAACTTGGTCATAACAAACGATCTCACGAACTTTTCGCTAAAAGATTTGTAATAGCCGAAGGCTTATGCCCGCAAAAGTACAAAAGCATCGTTAAAACACTGGTCAACATTGGGAAGTACAAATACTATCAGGAAAAATATTTTGATTGTCAGTTTTTATATTGTACTAGGCAGAAATTGAAGTTTTTTGAAAAAATTTGTTCAAATGGATGAGACTGATACCTTAATGTTCGGAACCTTTCATTTGGAGCAGATTTCATTTGGAAAAGATCGGAAATTGGCCGAATATGTATAGCCAATGTTGCAAAATTGTTTGCCCAGCCAATGAGTTGAAATCACAACTAATTTTTTAATGGCTAGCCAAAATCCCGGATCGGCTGGCCAAAGTGTCAGAATGGCTTTGAAATCTCGAAAAAAAACTAGGCAAAAGGTTGGAATAGGTGTGAAAATAGGCATAATAAAAAAGGTTTTTTAATGGACAGCCAAAAAACTGGATCGGCTACCCAAAGTGTTAAAATATTTGCAGAAAATAGTATTTTAACACTTTGGTTAGCCGATCCAAGTTTTTGGCGGGTCATTAAAAAATTTATTATGCCTATTTTTACACCTATTCCAACATTTTGCCTAGTTTTTTCGAGATTTCAAGGCCATTCTGACACTTTGACCAGCCGATCCAGGTTTTTGGCTAGCCATTAAAAAATTTGGTTGTGATTTCAACTCACTGGCTGGAAAGAATTTTGCAACATTGGCTTTACATATTTGGGCCAATACTAGATCTGCTCCAAATGAAATCTACCCCAAATGAAAGGTTCCGAACATTAGGGGATCAGCCCCATCCATCTGAACAAATTTTTTCAAAAAACTTCAAATTCCGCAGAGTACCCGATCTGCCCCAAATGAAGGGTAGCCCTAATGAAGGATGGTCATAATGTCAAGTAAAAAAATTGAATTTTAGCCAAGCAGACTGAAGAAGAAGACGAATTGGCGGGCCTAGGGACGATGGAAATGGTTGAACGAAGTTATACTCGAAATGGCCATGCAATTCTCAAATTGGCCAATGCTAAATTTGGATTGTGGAATTTAGTGGAGTAAGATGATTTTTGACATTTAAATTTTTTTTTATTTTTCCGTGCGAAATGCAGATTTTTGACAGTGGCAGGCTGCGCCCTGACTTTAAGTCAAAGTCGCCGCAAATCGTGAGATTTTGAATGGGAATCACCAGGAACGGACGATCCGACGTATTTTACAATATTTTTTATATTTTACAGTATTCTCTAGGTGTATTTATGTCAAATATTCAAATTTTTATGCAAAATTTTTTGGGGGTTTTTTTGATTTTGTCCAGATTTTGAGGGATTTTCATATTTTAGGCTTATTTTTACCCTGTTCTTACCCAATTTTCGTTCCAGAGCCCTTCCATCTTACTTCTGGGGAGTGGAGAAGAACTGGATCGAACGGTTCATCCACCTAACCGAAGACGAAGACTCCTTTGAATGCATGGAAATCCCCACTGGAAGACTGGGCCAAAACCAACTCAAAGCCATCTTCAAAGACGCCATATCCCACTCTCACATCGCCGACAATGAATTCATCAAGAATTTCACACTAACCATTCCAGTCGTGGACATCCACGACTTTTGGCATCGACCCTCCAATGATTTGCAACGCCAAAAGATTGTTGAAATGGAACTGGACTACGCGACCAGCCCAGCCTTTAACTTGGTTTATCCTCCGAGCGTAATTGAGATTTACAGAGGACTTTTCAGACTGTCCCATGCCTTAAGGCGATGTATTTTTGTTTTGTTGAGGTAAGTTGGGAAGGTCGGAAAAAATGGTCGATAATTCGGTCGGTGTAGATAGTAGATGGAAGATATTTGGGATTTAGAGAGCTCATGGTGCCTAATATGGTGGGTAAAAATATCAAAAGGATTGATTGTCTTGTTATTGAGTTATAGCCTTATTAATTTATATGACTTTAGGCTAAAAGCTGCCTATCGATGGAGCGCAATGCCTGAACCGATGCCTCGAACAGCCGCCAAATTCCCTAGAATAGAAGACAGGACGGTCTCGGCCTTTAAACATCGGCTTCATCATTACGAGGAAGAAAATATGGCACTTGTGTCAGTCATCAGATTCCTGGAGAACTTTTATGACTTTGTCTTTGAATACGTGGTCAAAAAAGAGACGTATGAACTGGTTGAGAGGATAAGACAGGTGAGCGGTGGTTGTGGGAATGCTTTTGGTTAGATTGGAAGTGATTTAGAGAGGTTTTGGCGAAAATCATGTTTTCGTGGTGGGACACAAAATTTTGAATTTTTGCTTTTCTGATGTTAGGATGAATAAAAATAACCCTTAGAAGGTTAGAAATTAATTTTTTACCTGGGTTTGTCAGATTTTTCAAAATTTTGTGTCCCACCACGAAAACTTGATTTTTCGGATTTTGTATGGTAATCGTAAAATATCAACCTGTATGACTTCCAGGCCAAGCATATAGAAGAATTCGTCAAATACCAACAGTATTACGTCGACCGAATCCGCCAAAAATCCTGCACGAACGACGGGAACAGCAAAGTCGTGCAAAAAATTTGGTATTTCATCCGATACGCCAACGCCTTCGGAAGACAAGAGATTGATTTTGAGAAGGCACTAAAATTGATACTGAGAACAGTGAAAAGCCTCAAAAATTGGATCAATGCGAGGAGTAGTGATGAAAATTTGAATCAATTAGGAATTTGGTGAGATTTTTTTGGATTTTTTTGTTTTTATTAGAGGATTTTTGGCCGGATTGATGTGTGAAAAGGAGAAATAGGAAATTTACGGTAGTCATAGGAATGCATTACCCAATTTTTACCCAAAATTTGATTTTTTTTGAAATTTTTTGTAAAAAATTGGGGGTTTTGATCGAAATTCGGCTTTTATCGCTGTATTCTGGAGGTTTTTTGAGTTGATTTGGATGTCTGAAGGACTGTAAATAATCGTGCTGTAATTTGGCATAGAAAAAAGGTCATATTTCTGATGAAAAATTGATAATTTTAAAATTTTTTCGTAAAAAATGACCAATTTTGACGAAAAATTTTATTTTTTGAATTTTTAGGCTGTTTGGAACCAATTTAACCATCCATTCTGGCGCTGACAATCTCACTGATCTCATAAACAACCTCCGAATTGACGATTTACCACGAAGCAACACCTCATTCAGCTCGAATTTCTCATCAGAATCGATGAAAAGCGAAACGAAAGCGAAAAGATCCATCCTAGTGGATGTAAAACAGGGTTCGTAATATAAATGTAACTTATATTGAATATCAAACACTTTCGTTAATGTTAATTTGGCATTATCGAGTCTTTTTTATATAAATTTAACCATTTTAATGGGTAAATTTTTAATTTATGGATTTTCAAAACATTTTTCTAGGGTTTCAAAGCGTATCAAGGGGTGTAAAATCAGATTTATTAGTTAAAAATCACTTTTTACCGATGTAAAATCCTCTCCCGGTCGAGTGAAAACCTCCGCCGCCGTAAGGACCATCTCCATAGTCGTATCGGCCGTATTGATAGCGAGTAAACGGAATTCCGAGCACTTCCAAGGTTTTGTAGCGCATCCCACCATCCTCTCCACCATAGCCATAGCCGCCGTACCCGTAGGGAGCTGAAAAATTCGAGATTTTTTTGATGGTTTATGTTAATTTAGATGAATTGCTAAAAAGTGGCGAAAAAGTTTGATAAAAAATTTTTTTTGAGGCTTTAGTATCCTAAAATATTCTATAGGACATTGTTGTTCTGTGAGTGAAAAGATTCGGTGGTCAAATCTTATCTTTCATCAAAATTTGGCTCTAATTTATATTGCACTTGACATTTGATGGCCAGAAGTCAAAAAAACTGAAAAATTGTTGTCTAAAATAGGTAAATATTTGCTGAGGAGCTCACTGATGAGAATTAGGCAGCCAGCGGCTGTGATTTCGAAGATAAAAAATTTGAATTTTGAATTTCCCGCGCATTTGCCAAAATTTTTGGCATTATGCATCAAGACTCAAAAAGGGCAAACTTGAGACTTATATCGATTTTTTATACTTTTTTTGCATAAGTTTACGACATTTTAAAACTGTTTTAACTGTCTAACTTACCTCCATAGTCATTAAACCGATATCCACCTTGGTAACCGCATAGTATACAGGGCGCGGCGTTTAGTAAACCAACAACTAGTATGGCAAGAACTACAAGACTAGAAAGGAAACTCATTTCCAGGATTCTCCCGCAAAAAAATCTGTAGAATAGTTCAAATTGAAACCATTTTTTACACAAAATTTCGTTTATATTTATATGGCTATACAAACATTTTTTGTCGGGAAGAATTCGCCAAATTTAAATTGCCAATTTTGCGTGTTATATAGCTATGACCTTCGCGAGAAGTTTACCTTAAACCCCCTCAAATCGCATGAGAAATGAGTCATCCAAAGGTTTTTGTCAATGTTTGCGCAAGGAAAATGAAATTAGAATCCTAGCCGGGTTGGAGAGGCAATTACTGTAAAAAGGGGGAAATTGCAAGTAGTAAAAGAGAAGGAAACTGCTTGTGGTAAATATCAGTCTGTCGGGAAAATAATGAGGACTCTGTCGCATCGCCGCCGAGAATGGTCCGTTCAGGCGCTATCATTACTCTCTACAGCAGAAATAATCATGAAATTTTTCATGGCAAAACTTGCAAAAAAGTCCCAAGCTTTTACCAACCTTTGGACTAAAAACTGCTAAATATCTTCGTTGTTTCCATCAAGAACCTTGCTGAGTAAGACGAAAAGTAACGATGCTGAGTCGTCTCATATCAGTCTGTCGGGAAAATAATGAGAACAATGTCGCTGTGCCCATCACGCCGCTGAAGTGAAAAAAACAATTTTGTTTGATTTTCTCAGCGGCGATGCGATTTTCGATGCCACAGTGTGCTCATTACTTTCCCGACAGACTGATATGGGTCTACTCGGCATGGTTAATAATATTTGTCTAACTCACGAGCAGGAAGGTTCTCGATGGAAAAAATGAAGATATTTAGCAGTTTTTAGTCCAAAGGTGTTGGTAAAAGTTTGGGACTTTTTTGCAAATTTTGCCATGAAAAGTGTCATGATTATTTCTACTGTAGAGGGTAATGTTTCTCGAAAAAATTCCATATTTTCCGCGCGAAACTGGCAAAGATATGGCCAAGAAGCGTTTATTTCTCTAACCGCTCTCCGCATTTCGCGCGTTCTCTCGTCGGCTAAGGTCGTCAAACGAGGGGTAGAAGTTTCAATAACTAAAATTTGAATGTATGGCAATTTCTGCAGTCGGAGTGGCTGAAGCGATAACGATGATATTATACCAGAAAATAATGAGCACTTTGTCGCATCGAAACTCGCATCGCTGACGGGAAAATGATTTGTGTCGCTGCGAAATCAAATTGCTTTTCGCTTCAGCGGCACGGTCGGTGGCAGCGACATTGTGCTCATTATTTTCCCGACAGACTGGTATAATATTATCGTTGCCGCTTCAGCCATTCCGACTACAGAGTTTGCCAAACATGCACTTCTAATTTTAAAAAACGCCGCCCAAGCAAGTGCTCAAAGATCTCCATTGTAAAAGTATTCCTTCCCTGCTCTACAGTAACCTTTCTCTTTTTTATTCCCCGAACCAAAAAAAGCCAAAAACAGCTGTAAGAAGTTTCTCAACCCGAAAGAGAAGCGGGTGAGCAATAAAAAATTGCTTGACATTTCATTGGTCTACGTCGAAAATTGCGAACAAAAAAATGAAAGCAAGGGTTCACAAACAAAAAGTATAAGGAATTGGTCGAATCCTCGTTGATTTGGCGAAGGATTTGCACTTTGCAGCAATAACAGGACTGTCGGCAATATAAAGCATCGCATTTTTGGGGAGACAGGACTGTGTAAAATACAGTTTTTACAATATTAGTCTGTCGGGAAAATAATGAGCACAATGCCGCTGTCGCGTCGCTGAAGTATAAGGTAATTTCATTTTGTCGCGACACAATTCATTTTCTTGGCGGCAATGCGATTTGCGATGCGGCAGAGTGCTCATTATTTTCCCGACAGACTGATATTGTTAAAATTTGATTGATTTTTTTTGAGAAGATACCGAAAATGAGCGCTTCGAAAAATCCCATCTCGATGTTGCTGGTTTGTATGTTGCTGATCTGCATGATGGACAGTACTAGCGCGAAGCCTTGTTGGTCGTGTGGCTGCCCCATGTGTGGCGGGTATGGCGGCTACGGCGGGTATGGTGGCTACGGCGGCTATGGTGGATATGGAGGTAATACAGTGTGGAAACTGATCCAGTGGCAAAAAAAATACCATTTTGCATCCGGGAAGTATCAAAAATGTGGCAAAATGCTTCCCTCTTCAAGTGAAAAATAACTTCGTTTTGAAGGGCGCGTTTTTGAAATCTGAGTTTTTTCACTTGGAGAGGGAGGCATTTTGCCACATTTTTTGATACTTCCTGGATGCAAAATGGTACGTTTTTTGCCACTGGATCAGGTTGTACTTTGTGAATTTTCGCCTTGCGAATTTTCGCTTTTAAAATTCCACTCACGACACTTCCCTAGCCCTCCTTTTCTAGGTTATCCCTATGGTGGTTATGGTTTCGCTCCGTACGGCGGCTACCGTTACGGTGGCGGCGGTTTCGGCTTTGGCCCATACGGCTTCGGCGCTGGCTACCGATACGGCAGTGGCTTCTACGGCAAGAAGAAGTGATGCTTTCACAAAATTTAGTTCCTTTTTTGGCTACAAATTTCTTTCTTCGAAAGTTTTTTTTTCAGTAAAAATGTCTTTTTTCACAAAATAATTCGCACTATTAGCTATTTCATAAAGTGCATGGACATTTTCTCCCTTTGCATTTAGAATTTTGAACTTTTTCCCACGCTTGTCGCCAACGCACAGCGCATTTTCTACATTTTCGCACAGTGCAAACCCCAAAAAAGCGGTTCGCACCGTGCACAAAGAACCTCAACCCCATCTTGCACCGTGCATTTCATCTTTTTTTTTGGTTTTTGCACCGTGCGGTGAAATATCGCTGTGAACGAAAAGGCGGGCGCACACTTGCGGGCAACCACTTTGCGGGCAACCAGTTTGCGGGCAAATTTTTTGCGGGCAGCCAGTTTGCGGGCAGCCGACATTTGCGGCCAGCACCGGCATTTGCGGGCAGCCTGGGACATTTGCGGGCAGGGTCGACAGTTGCGGGCAGCCTGAAAGATTTGCGGGCAGCCGACATTTGCGGGCAACCGACACCTGATTGTAAGGGTAACAGGGTGGACGTGGAAAAATTACTATGATATGTTGGAAATTTGCCGACATTTGCGGGCAGCCGACGTTTGCGGGCAACCGGCACTTGATGATAACAAGGTAGAGGTGGAAAAATTACTTCGATATTTTGGAAGTTTTCCGACATTTGCGGGCAGGCAATACTTGCGGGAAGCCGACATTTGCGGGCAACAGTTCCAAAAGTTCCTATACAGTCTGTGTGATTGTTTTTTCCTGTTGCCCGCAAATGTCGGCTGCCCGCAAGTGTCGGCTGCCCGCAAATGTCGGCAAATTTCCAAAATATCGCAGTAATATTTCCACCTCCACCCTGTAACCCTCAGGTGCCGGTTGCCCGCAAATGTCGGCTGCCCGCAAGTGTCTCAGCTGCCCGCAAATGTTTCAGCTGCCCGCAAATGTGACCCCCCAAATTTTGCCCGCAAAGTGGTTGCCCGCAAAAAGTTTGCCCGCAAACTGGTTGCCCGCAAAGTGGTTGCCCGCAAGTGTCGCGACGCCAACGAAAAGCAAGTTTCGAATTTTGTCGCTGCGAACTTTGAACCTTGCACAGTGCAAACGGCTTTTTTGAGAGTTGCACGGTGCAAAAAGAGAAAAACGCACTGTGCGCTTGCGACAAGCGTGGGAAAAGGTTCAAAATGCACTGTGCGAAAGAAATGGGGAAAAGTGCACTGTGCGAAAATAATGAGAAAAACGCACTGTGCGCCGGCGACAAGCATGGGAAAAGGTTCCAAAATGCACTGTGCGCTGGCGACAAGCGTGGGAAAAAGTTCAAAATGCACTGTGCGAAAACGAAAAAAATGTCCATGCACTTTGTGAAAATACTATGTTGTAAATAAACTTTATTGCTGACTACGTTTCTTCTGAACGTTTTTTTGCGGCAAAACAATTATTGTAGCTACGAACTAAGCGTGCATTAACCAACATGTACGCCACAAAGGCTTCAAAAAACGCCCCAGGGCATCTTTGACGGATATACTTTGTGTTTCTCAAAAATTTCCGCCTCACAAACCTAATAATTACTCTGTAGAGAGCGGCTAAATACGGGGCTCCATTGCCGAGTTCACCTGATAAAACATGCGAAATTTTCATTAATTATTCATGCTGCCAACTTGTCATACCTGTTTCACGATTTTCTAACTCTATTTTGCTCTATGAGGAAATGGCTGACAGTTTGTGCCTGAGGGCAGAGACTTATCAGAATGAGTGGTCGACCCCGCTGAACAGCGGCGGAAATGTCTTTTCCTGTTGTGTTGCGGTAATTTTACTGGTTTATGTGGTTATCACGAGGAAGAAAAAAGTGTCAGCGATGCATTTCAATTTCAAGGTAAGGACGGGGGACGGAAAAACTTCCGGAAAGCGGCCCACTCTCAAAAAAGAAAATTTTTCCGCACTAGCAGCTTGCGCCCTGGTTTCCCTGCAGACTGCGAACAAAATAGGAAACAGCCTAAGCCTGAGGCTAAGCCTAACCTGCCTAAGCCTGAGGCGCAGCCTAAGCCTGATATTCCTTGCAACCTGAATTGTTCGGGCGCAAGCTGCGAAGGCGATTTTCGAGAATGGGCCGCTTTGCGGAAGTTATACCCGGGGGACTTGTTTTTTGATGCAAAAAATGGGGTGAGCAGTGGGGAATTACTATTGGCATTTTCACAAAGTGCCTGGACATTTTTTCACAGTGCAAAACCAAAAAAAGGCGAGTGCACGGTGCAAAAACTCGCAAATTTTCGTGCACGCTGCGGACCGCGACAAATGTCCAGGCACTTTGTGAAAATGCTATTTAATAAACTTTGCATTTCATATTTACAAATTTTTGGCGTTTGCTCTGCGCAGGAAAGGAGCAATTTTGTTTTCTCACAGTGCACGAAATCATCCAGCGGCTTTTTGAATAGAGTGGTACTAGTCGCGCCATAAAGTCCTGACACATTTGTCAAACATTGGAGTGAGCTCGCGCAACAGTGCGTGTCGCTAGTGCAAAGACGGGCAATGGCCGCGACGGGCCCGAAGGGAAAACAAAAACGCACTGTGCAAATGTGTCAGGACTTTATGGCGCAACTAGTACTAGTCGCGGAAAAAAGTCCTTGGAATTTTTCGGGGCACCCAAATCTCGTCGCACCCCGAAATGTTGATTTGTCGCGGGAATGGCGCGCGACAATAAGGCAAAAACAAGAAAATTGCACTGTGCAAAAGCACTTTTCGGGTTCATGCACAGTGCGGAGTCCCAGAAAATTCCAAGGACTTTTTGCCGCGACTTGTATCAGCCTGTCGGGAAAATAATAAGCAAAATGTCGCTTCGCCGATCGCATTGCTGAAGCGAAAAGCAATTTGATTTTGCCGCGACGAAATTCATCTTCTAAACGGCGGTGCGATTTTCGATGCGACAGAGAGCTCATTATTTTCCCGACAGACTGATAATGCCATTTGATATTTGACCAGCAAAACTTTTTCAGTCTTGACTCTATAAATTTCATTAAAAAAATTTTTGAATCGACTGCTGAAATATATATGTATTTTTGAAATCGTTGGTTTGCAATTCGCAACACCGCCGAGATATTACGCGGTTTTTTATGACTGTAGTGCCAATATTTTTTATTATTTTTTTACTCATCACCGTGAGCTTTGTCACGATGAAGATTTTTTATCGAAACATTTCGAAATTTTGAAGACCCTGTTTTTTGTATGTGTATGCTCCAAAAAGTTTGTTTTTTACAACTCATCAAAAGTTTACCCTCCAAAACAATTGTTATTCGCATTCCGTGCCCGTTCCAGATAATAGTCTACAATATTTGGTGGATTGTCTTCTTCTACCTCACTTCTACAATCATTGCGTATTGCTATGACCTGTATCTTCAACATACCTCAAGCCCATGCCAAAACACTTACATTGTTTGGCAGTGTCTGGCATTTCGCTGGCCAATCGCGTTGGGGAGTTGTTCCATGAACTTTTTTCATTTCGCTGTTTTCTTTGAGCGAACCGCGGCCACCAGACTCTTCAGGCAATACGAAATGGGGTGCAAGTTGTTGGGAGTCATCGTTCTGATCGTTACGGTAGGCTCAAAGGCTGTTTTTTATGCATGGCTCGGGACTTGTATTTACAGTCCCGAGCCTGTACAGAAAACTAAAATTGTAGGTCTTATACGGCCATTATCAACCAAAAAATGATTCTTCTTGCTCGGCGGAGAGTTTTGTCATCATAATTTTTTAAATGGCTTAATTTTTTCTCCGCCGAACGGCCGTTTTTTCATCTGCCAGTCGGCCGAAGAGATAATAAGCCGTATTTAGGCTCCATGCCACCAAGCATACCATATCTTTCGGCTTTAGTCAGTTTTGACCCTCTAAAGTCGAAGACAAATCGTCCGCCAAGGTTAAAGAATGTCTCCGCCAAATTATAAAAATTTGAGACAAATCTCATTTTATATCTTCTGCATTTTTCCGTCCATTTTCTTTACACTTACAAAAATTTACAGCTTCATTTGTGAAAAAAAGACACTCCGCCGAATTCAAGGCGGATTACGGAAGTCTCCGCCGATAAAAGAAACAAAAAGTTTTTTTTTTTGACTCTAGAAACTCCAAGGTTTTTCTGCAAAATGCAAAAAAAAATTGGATTGGACCGCCGAGCACAAAGTTACAGTGAGGGACCTGATCCAGTGGCAAAAAACGTGCCATTTTGCATCCGGGAAGCATAAAAAATGTGGCAAAATGCTTCCTTCTCCAAGTGAAAAAAACGTCGTTTTGAAGGTCGCGCCCTTTCCCTCACGGAAAGAGCGGGCGCGCTTTTGAAATCCGAGTTTTTTCACTTGGAGATGGAGGCATCTTGCCACATTTTTGATACTTCCCGGATGCAAAACGCTACGTTTTTTTGCCACTGGATCAGGTCCCCCACTGTATTAATGAGTAGTTTTTTTTTCTATAATTCTTGAAACTCCTGTATTTTTATATCCACTTGGGGTACTTCCCCTGTCAGTAAATCAGGGGTTCCGCTACTTTTTCCATTTTTCAGTGGCTCACCGTCCTCACAATCTTCTTCTACGTCTACCGACAGGACGACTACTCTGCAGTCTTGCCTGTCTGCTCCGTAACGCAAGCAGTGAACGAGCGGCGAATCCAAAACATGGCGTATTTTATGTTGACGGTCAATTTGTTGGTCGCGGCTGGCGAAATTTATTTGTGGAAAGTGAATCGGTGCAAGGTGAAGACACGGTAATTTCTCGCGCTTGAAAATCCATTAGTCTGTCGGGAAAATAATTTATTTTAATATGTAGCAAATTTCTTCAAAATCTGAACATTGCGCCTCAGGCAATTTTCCTGAAACTCCACGATCAGTTTGTCGGGAAAATAATGAGCACTCTGTCGCAGCGAAAATCGCATCGCCGCCGAGAAAACGAATTGTGTCGCGACAAAATCAAATTGCTTTTCATTTTAGCGATGCGATTTACACATTGACATTGGGCTCATTATTTTCCCGACAACTGAAACTAGATAATTCGAAGGATGATTTCTCTCTATTCTAGGATCAACAATCATTATTCCCTCGCAATTTCCTATCAAAAAACGGAGAATTATTTGACCAGCGTTCTGGTCCTGCCCATCTCCATAACCCACTCCATTCTCTACATGTCCTACTTGACCACCGCGCAAGTTATCCGGTATTTTGTTAGTGCGGAAGAAACCCCCGTCCTTCATGTTACCCTGCTTACGTTGGCGCATCAAGTAAGGCGTAAAAAAAGTATTCTTTAGGAGTAAAAAACGGTTTTTTGACGCCCAAACTTCCAGATCATTTACATCGACATTGTGGTTTGCTTACTGCTCTACATATACATCTCAAGGCGCGTGGAAGAGGAGAGAAAAGTGAGGGAGATCAGGATGAAGCATGGCTTTCGAACCGAGATGTATTTTGATATGTTGCGGCGGCAGTTGCAATGACAATAAAATTAGGAACAAGACTTTTTTTTTTGAGTTTTTTTTATCAAAAAAGCTGTCTGTCTGTCGAGAAAATAATGTGGATTTGTCGATGAGAAAAATGTCTCATCGACCTTGTCATCTCCATCGCAAGAGGTGTCCTTTTTGGTCAAAGCAATTTTTTTGGCTTCGTAAATATGATATCAGTCTGTCGGGAAAATAACGTGGATTTGATATCTCAGCTATGCCTGTAATGCGCGAGCTAAAATTTTCAGAAATTCATTTATTATCTAACAGGGGAAGTACTCCAAGTGCGACGCTCAGATTTTGATGAAACTTGGCACAAATTTAGAATAATTTTTTCTAAAATATATGCGAGAATCCTGGCTTGCGCTTTGCAGAAACAACCGAGATTTTAGATAGAAAGTCGACCAAAATTTAGGACTTTTTGCCGAATTTCGGCACGAAAAGTTCCATGCCTATTTCAACCGTAAAGGATAATGTTTCTACAAAAAATCAAACTTTTCCGCACGAAACTGCCAAAGTTATGGCCAAAAAGCGTTTTTCTCTCTGACCGCTCTCCACGTTTAGCGTGCTCTCTCGGCGGCAAAAATCGTTCGATATCTCGGCGGCGCCCGCAAAGCGCGAACTAAAACTTCCAGGAATTGATATTTAGTCCATAACCGACGTGTGTGCAAAATTGAAGGAAAATCTGAGCGTCGCACTTGGGCTATTTCCGTTCTAATTTCTTTTGCCCTGTGGCAAATGCCAACATGCATTTCGCGGCCGGAAATTCTCCGTTTCTGTAATAACTGTTTGCCTTTGGTATTTTATGGTATTTGCGATGCACTTTGTCATCCCTAATAACACACTTTTGAGTCCAAGGTTGCGATAAACATGTAGTTAATCATTGGGTTCTTGAAGAACTAATTCATGTTTTGGGCAAACTTTGCACTTGCTATTAATTACATGGGAAGTAAAAAGTGATGTTAAACGAGCTGACATAAGCCGTTTATTGCTAAAATCTACGAAAAATTCTGTACAATAAATTCATTTTGGAGACGAAAACTTGTGAAATTGTGGGCAACTCGGGTTATAAAAAACTTGATAAAAGGCGTGTAAAACGATGATTATTGAGTAATAAATCGCTGAAACCAACAGTCTTATGCTTTGGGAGCCTCTGTGGTTTCGGCGGATTCCTTGGATTCACCGGATTCGGAGCTCTTGACGGCTTCTTGGACCTTAACTCCCGCCTCCTCCAACTTCTTGCCCAAAGCGTCGCCGGCGGCCGCCGCAGCATGTCTCACGTTCTCGGCCGTGTCCACAACGGCCTGTTTCACTTTTCCGGCGGCATTGCTGATGCCCTGGCCCACGTCCGAGGCCTTCTCCTTCACCGCGTCCTTCGCATTCACAGCCGCCTGTCCCATGGTGCTGGCGGCGTCGGAAGCGGCGGTCTTGGCGCCCTCGCCAATCTCTGTGGCCTTAGTCGCGACGGCCTGTCCGATCTCCTTGGCCTTCTCCTTGGCTTCGCCGACTTTTTGGCCAACCGCATCGGTCAGCTCGTTGGCTTGGTCCACGGCGCCGGCCGCCACTTTTTTCGCGCCTTCGCCGATTTCGGCGGCTTTGTTCGAGATTCCTTGCCCAACTTCCTTGGCTTTCTCCTTGGCCTCGCTGGCTTTGTCCCCAACAGCTTGGCCAATATCCGAAGCAGTCTTTTTCAGGTCTTGCCCGATCTGTCCGACTTTGTCTTCAGCCGCATCTTCGGCTTTTTTGGCGCCTTCTCCAATCTCAGTGGCCTCTTTTTTGATTCCTTGGCCAACTTCAGCTCCTTTGTTTTCAATTCCTTGGCCAACTTCAGATCCCTTCTTCTCGATTCCTTGCCCGACTTCAGAGGCTTTGTCCTTGATTCCCTGACCGATTTCTCCAGCGGCATCCTCGGCTTTGGTGGCGCCTTCGCCAATCTTGTCGCCGGCCTTGCTCGCGCCGTCGCCGATCTTGTCCGCGGCTTTGCTGGCGCCTTCTCCAATGCCGGAACCAACTTTTGCGGCGCCCTCCTCTACCTTGTCGATTCCTTGGCCTGAAAATGCAAAGGTTGTTTAACTTTTTCAGCTAAAAGTTGTTTTTTTAAAAAATACGACAAATTTTGAGAGGCTTATTGTTCGAGCCTGTTATGAAAAGATATCCCTGGATTCCCTGATGTATATTTACCGGTCTAAAGTCGCTAGAGTGATTTTGGCGGCATGCACTGTGAGAAAACAAAGGTTCGTTTTGGCACTGTGCAATTTATGTTTTTTGCACCATACAATAGACTTTATTGGACTGTCGTTCGCCATCTGATATTTTTTGCATGCAAACGACTAAAATCACACCAGATACTCTATCAGAGCACCGCCATTCTGTCAGGAAAATATCAGTCTGTCGGGAAAATAACGGCGGATCGTCGCAGCGAAATTTGTCGCCCCGTTGAAGAAAAGATGAAAAAAAGGATGCAGTCGGGCAGCAGCGGCTTGCCGCCGCATAGCGGAGATGGTAGGCATGGCTCCGGGCCGGGCTTTGCAAAAATTTCCGGCCCGGGCCGGGCCGACTAATTTCTCGGCCCGGCTCCGGGCTTCGATTTTCAGGCCCGGGCCGGGCCGGCCCGGTTTTTTTGAAATTTGAATTTTGCCCGGAAAAAAGGAAAAAATAAGCTTTTACGATAGGATTTTTCATTTTTTCGAACACAATGCTTATAGCGAACGTAAAGTGAGCTTATGTACCTAGGTTTTGCTAAATTTTTCTATACATCTTGCGAAAATTTGCCATCATTTTCTTTTCGTTTCCCGCTTTCTTTCTGTCCAACCTAGTATAAAATTTTCCGGGCCGAACCGGGCCGGGCTTTCCAAACTTCCCAAGCCCGGGCCCGGGCCGGGTTTGGAGATTTAAGCCCGGGCCTGCGGCCCGCGCCGGGCCGGGCCGGGTTGGCCCGGTTTGCAGCCATGCTTAGGAGATGGGCGATTCCAAGGCACGACAACCCGCTGTGATTCTCCCGACAGACTGATAATGTGGATTTGTCGCGCCTTGGAATCGCCCATCATCGCTTTGCGACAGCCGCTGCGATTTGCATTTAGCTGCGAAAAAGCATTCCCAACAGAATGATGCGTGGCTCGACAAGTTAGTAAAGTAATAAAAATTGAAGTCTTTGCTATGAATTCCGCAGAGAAAAAAAATTTCCTCGCATGTTTTCAAATCTCAACAGAATAAGTGAATTTTTGGCCACCGACATTTCGCATTTTCCTAAACACTCCAACAACTGTACTATCCGGTATAGTATAGACCTAGGTACGCAAAACGGCCGCTGACAACTTTTTTAGCCTGATCAGCCGCGCTGAAGATTTTTACGCAAACATTTCGACTATACACTTACGGGAAAACATTTTCGAGACCTCTAGTTCAAACTGACAACCCAAACTGATCGCATTGTTATCAATTTTCTCGTTGAATATGGCTTTTCATATAACGTGACTTTTGTCTGGAGACAAGCCAATTCAAAGAACTTTTCAGAAAGAGTTGCATCACCTTTTCGAATGTGAAATTTACAATAGGAAGAGTAGAAAAAATGAAGGGAGCGTAACAAAAATAATTTCCCTTGGTGGTTTCTTCGGCAACACTTCTGCTGCGCCGGTCGCGATTTGATTTTTTTAGGAAAAAGGCAACTGGATTTTGCCGCGATTTCACAGGGGAAGTACTCCAAGTGCGACGCTCAGATTTTCTTCAAAATTTGCACACACGTCGGGTATGGACTAAATATCAATTCCTGGAAGTTTTAGCTCGCGCTTTGCGGGCGTCGCCGAGATATCGAACGATTTCGACCGCCGAGAGAGAACGCTAAACGTGGAGAGCGGTCAGAGAGAAAAACGCTTTTTGGCTATAACTTTGGCAGCTTCGTGCGGAAAAATTTGATTTTTTGTAGAAACATTATCCTTTACGGTAGAAATAGGCATGAAACTTTTCGTGCCAAAATTCGTCAAAAAGTCCTAAATTTTGGCAGACTTTCGATCTAAAAATCTCGGTTGTTTCTGCAAAGCGCGAGCTAGAATTCTCGCATATATCTTAGAAAAAATTGTTCTAAATTTGTGCCAAGTTTCATCAAAATCTGAACGTCGCACTTGGGGTACTTCCCCTGTCAGATTCCTCGACTTTCATTGCGACATTGTGCCCATTATTTACCCGACAGACTGATAAAATACATATATATAGAGTCAGCTTTCTTAGCACGCCCTATCCGAAGCCAGATTTTATATTTTTCGCCCAAAAGAAAATGTTTTTTTTTGCAAAAAAAATATTTTTTTTAAAGGCCCTACCAACTTCTTCATCTCTCTTCACTCGGTGCTGAGTTGGTGCGCCTTGAGGTTTCAGCTCCTCAACTTCCTTATGTCTGACCAAAATATCGGCCGGTGGGTCCTTGGCGGAGCGGTGGGCTCGAATGTGGTATCTTTCGGCATTCTAAAAAAATGTAAAAAATGTGAAAAACCGAAATTTTTTATTTTTTTATTTTTTGATATTTTTTAATTTTTTGTAAAAAAAAACAAAAAAAATATAAAAATATGCAATTTTTTTCTTCGAAAAATGACGCAGAAATCGCCACATCGACTTTGCAAACGGATTGGTACTTACAATTGTTCCGATCGTCAACGCAATCAACAGTAGCACTCCAATTTTTTGACTTGTCATTTTCGCCCAAAAAATCAAAAAATCTGAAAAAATTTTTTGTTACTAGACTTTAATTTATCATATGTTTATAGGCCTGTAGAAAATAAAAATGATAAATTCGCGATAAACAACGAGAAAAAACGACGGGAATGACCGATTTGTTTATAATCGACCACTTTATACCGGGCTTTATTTATTTTGGAAGACCTTGAAAGCAGTTTGATCCAGCCAATTCGGAAGCTTAACGAGTAGAGAACGCAAAAAACGATTGAAAGGTAATGAGTCAGCAAGAAAAATGACTTTTATTTGGAGTTGGAGAAACTATAAAGAAAAGGTCACAGTTTGGGGTTATTTTTGGAGGGGAGATGCTCAATGTGCGACGCGCAGATTTGAATAAAGCTTGGCACAAATTTAAAACAATTTTTTCTAAGGCATATGCGAGACTTCTAGCAAGCGTTTTGCAGAAACAACCGAGACTTTGAGGACAAAAGTTGACAAAAATTTCATATTTGTTTGCAAATTGAGGCCTCTAAGTGTGTATCTAATCTAGAGTAATAGTTCCACACAAAAAAATAATTTTTTCCGCGGAAAGTTTGCAGAGATGCCAAAAACAGTTTTTCTCTCTGACCGCTCTCCGCATTTCGCGTACTCTCTCACTGGAAAAGGTTGTTTGAAAATCTTGGCTGCCCTTGCAAATTTACTTGTTAAATCTGACAGCCGATTTACCAAACCGCAGGCAAAAATCTCGCAGTGTCCCATGAAATTTTTTGTTTTGGCTTGGCCGAAGTCTCACAATCAGTGGTCAAAATTGATTGAGCCCGAACTCTCCCCCTTTTTGAACTCTCCCCCTCGTTTTGAAGATCGAAAAAATTGGGTGTGACATGTTATACGGTGACATTTTTTTTAAATTGAGACAAATGAGGTGTGACATGTTATACGATGGAAAATTCTAACAACATGTCACACTTAATTTTTTTCAATTTGAAAAAGTTTTCCATCATATAACATGATTTTTTTCAATTTTCAAAATGGAGTGTTCAAAAAAAAGGAGAGCTGGATTTTTTTTTGAAAATCGAAAAAAGAAGGTAGTTCGGATTGGGGGAGAGTTCTGCTACGGTTAAAATTAGGCCACAAGCCGCTGTTAGCGCCGTCGGTTTTCTAAGCTAACAAAAACTTCCTATCAGTCTGTCGGGGAAATAATGAGCCCTCTGTCGCATTGAAAATGTCATCGAAACCGTCAAAATGAATTGTAGCGAAAAAATCAAGTTGCTTTTCACTTCAGCGAGCGGCGAAGCGACATTGCGCTCAGAATTTTACAAAAAATAACGATTTCTATCAGTCTGTCGGGAAAATATGGTGGATTCATCACGCCATCATCATTTTCCTAGCCGCAGCTGGAGATTTGATACGACGAGGTAAGACATTTCACTGCGACTCCACATTATTTTCCCCTGTTGTAACTTATGACATTTCAAAATTTCCAATATGCCCTCCGAATCCCGAATACGGCTATTTCAGCCAACTTATCGTTATATATATATCTTCGAAAACGTATGCGAACCTCAACAAAAGCCACGAGCGCCACTTCCCCACCGAAATCCGTCCTCAAAAAGCCGTTGAAAAAGCAATATATCCGAAAAGAGCCCCCCATTCAAGAATGACGCCCAAAACGACGCTTCCCGGGACAAAAGGCCGAGAAACGGCACGGTGAGAAAAACGGGGGAAAATCGCCCGAAAGTAAACACGGAACTCGAACAGACCAATTGTTTTCATTGCCGTTTTATTGATCAGCCAAGTCAAGGTGGGTTGAATCATTACTCAACTGGTGAGTAATGAAGGGATGGGATCAGCGAATCAGACGAAATATGAAAGTTATGTGGCGTAAATACGGAAAAACAAGGAAATGAGCAAGTATCAGGCATTTCCTTGTCTGTCGGGAAGATAACGAGCACTGTGTCGCAACGAAAATCGGATAGCCGCCGAGAAAATGAATTGCGTCAAATTGCTTTTTAGTTCGGCAACGCGATTGGCGCAGCGACATTATGCTCATTATTTTCCCGACAAACTGGTAATAGAATCTTTCATTTCGCAACGGCTAGCTGCTGCTGGAAATTTGATGCGCGACAACACTCTTTTTTTTGACAAGACGAAACATTTTGCTGCGACGAGCCTCCACTATTTTCCCGACAGGCTGATAATACTGTAGGGGATCTGATCCAGTGTCAAAAACGTACCATTTTGCATCCGGGAAGTATCAAAAAATGTGGCAAAATGCCTCCCTCTCCAAGTGAAAAAACTCCGATCTCAAAAGGGCGCCCGCTCTTTTTGTGAGGGAAAGGCCTCACTTGGAGAGGGAAGCATTTTGCCACATTTTTGATGCTTCCCGGATGCAAAACGGTTTCAAGTTTGCTTCGGCCCGGCATGAAATGTCGATCTATGAACAACGATGGAAGTACACAGTGACGGGCCTGATCGGGTGGCAAAAAACGCACCATTTTGCGTTCGAGAAGTATCAAAACATATAATACTTCGTCTGCCTCTTCAACTAAAGGAACTCGGCTTTGAAGAGCGCGGAATTTGACTTTAAGTCAACTTGCGATTGATTTTTCATCCCTAAAAACCTAAAATGGGCAGTTAATATTTACATATCCTTGATCTGCGTGATTACACGGTTTTTTTGAGGTATGTCCCGTCCAAAAGTAGGAGCCCCCATAAAAGTACTTTCCTTGTGAAAACTTCTCCTTGTAAACCCATCAAAATAGCCGTCAGTCAGGCGCGTCGCAAAGCAATTTTATACCACAGTTTCACCTTGAGACTCTCCATTGACTCGGTCTTTCAATTGTCCACAAGATCGAATTATTATTCGGAATATTATAAGTTCAAAAAAAAAAAAAAAAATGAAAGCTAACTCAACCTGACATCAAAAGAGGTTCGAAAACAAACAGAAGTTTAGGGAGTCTCCTCTGACCTTGTCGTTGTCATTTCACGGTGTTTTTTTTGGTGAAAAAAAAACTTTTTTCTTTTTGGAAAATCGTCATCAGTCTGTCGGGAAAATAATGTGGATTTGTCGCAGCAAACTGTCTCTACTAGTAACAGTAGTCCAGAAAGTCTCCAACTAGCGTTTTCTCTTAAAAATGGGCCTTGGTGGTCTTCAAAACTTCATCTTTATGTTATATTTTCGATTTATTTACATATTAGCATTATGAAATTTTCAAAATTGTCAAAGTGCAGTGAAAAAGGGCAGTATGTACAACGGGATTTTGAGGGTTCACTGTCCGACTCTGATGAAAGTTTTCTTCGTCGTTTGAAATTTATTTTCCATATCCATAACCGCCGTAGCCACCATAGCCACCGTATCCGCCGCCATAGCCCCAGCCATGATGATGGTGGTGATGATGATGCCAAGGTCGGTAGCCTGAAAAAAGTTATTTTTATGATAATATTCCAAACCATAATTAGCTTAATTTTTGAGGCCGAAAAGCTTGAATTTTTGGTGTTAAAACAGAATGCCAAGTTTGGCGGGAAGTGGGGAATTCAAATTTTCTTCTGTTTAATGGTAAGGAAAATTAGAAATAGACGTTCAGAAGCAATATAAGCACTGTAAGATGCATTTTTATGGCATAAAACACAATGCCAAGCTAATGCCAATTTTGGCGGGAAAATGAAAATTTAAAATTTTTTGGCCGGAAAATGCAGTACAGCTATCGTAGTGGTTCTTAAAGTTAATAAAAACAAATCTTAAATACTTTATATTGCCTAAATTACCACCGTAACTTACCGTATCCTCCACCATAACCTCCGTATCCGTAGCCACCATATCCTCCGCCATAGCCGCCATACCCACCGTATCCCCCGCCATAGCCTCCGTAGCCACCATAGCCACCATAGCCTCCATAGCCGCCACAACTATAGCACGGAGCCGCTTCCAGTATCGTGAATCCAAGACATAGTACTGCCAAAGCAAGCAGTAAACATTTTGATGACAGCATTTTCAACAGTATAGATTATACGGAATTGATGAGAATTGCAAAACGTTTCGAACCTTATATAGATGGCTTAATTGCCTTTGGCATTCGGAAAAATACGAGAGAAAATTCGCTGAATAAATTTGGCGAAAAGCAAAAACCTACCGTGTCATCCGGGAAGTCAGCCTGTAACCGTCTCCCCTCGAGTTTGTAGTGGGCGGAGCTGCAAGTCTGTTCGGGAAACGTTGAAAAATGGTGTTGTCAATTTATTGACAGGGAACCTACTGTATGATGAGTGGCACGAGAAGCAAGAGATTTGTTGTCGAAAGAAAGAAATTGAAGGGGTCAAGAGATCAAGGGACTTGCTTTACAGAGAAGACGTTTTGACGAAGCTTGGCACAAATTTAGAATAATTTTTTTTAAGATATAGGCGAGAATTCTAGCTCGCGCTTTGCAGAAACAACCGAGATTTTTAGATCAAAAGTCGGCCAGAATTTAGGACTTTTGCCGAATTTCGGCTTGAAAAGTTTCATGCCTATTTCAACCGTAAAGGATAATGTTTCGACAAAAAATCAAATTTTTCCGCACGAAACTGCCAAAGTTATGGCCAAAAAGGTGTTTTCTCTCTGACCGCCCTCCACGTTTAGCGTGCTCTCTCGGCGGCAAAAATCGTTCGATATCTCGGCGGCGCCCGCAAAGCGCGAGCTAAAACTTTCAGGAATTGAAATTTAGTCCATACTCGAACAAGTGCGACGCTCAGAGTGGAAATCTGAGCGTCGCACTTGGAGTACTTCCCCTGTGAGTTGTATCAGTCTGTCGAAAAAAATATAGTGTGGATTTGTCGTGCCTTGGAATCCCATATTTTTGCTTTGCGACGGCTAGCCGCGGCTGCGCGACTGAATCCTTTTTTTCATCTTTTTTTGAGGCGAGACAAAAAAAATTTATTTTTTTCGGCGACGATGCGATTTTCGATGCGACAGAGTGCTCGCTATTTTCCTTACAGACTGATAGTACATTTTTTCTCCCCGAGAAAGCTGTTGAAACTTCGCCTTGCGATTTCTCAATTTTACCCACATGCTTGGTTCATCGGTTCGAACGAACGCCTACGTAAACCGCCAAAGAAGAGCCACTTTACAACGGCTCAGCGTCTTTTCCGACCTCGCGGAAGCAATTTTCAAAAAACCCCCCGTAAAACCGTTGCCGTTCGACGAACGGCTTCCAGAGAGCGAAGATTGCATGACAATTTATCGAATCACCTCAGGTGCTTCTATTTTTGACCTCAAGGGATTCTTAGCGAGTTTGACGAAGCTTTTGGAGAATAGGTCAACTATTGGATTGTTGAAATTTTGAGAATTTACGGACCGATTGATCATCTTGATGTAGCTTCTTAGCCGCATGACTATTTGCACTATGCAATTCAGCGAAGCCACAATAAATTTTACTCATTTTCATGGAATTACAGTAAATCGAGGTCATGTAGTAAAGACAGTTTGTGTCCGTTTCAATTCGTGGGCGCCATGTACAGTGTGTGTTTCTTAATGCAACTCCTGCCCATAGAGGCCTCGAAAGTAATGCCCGACTTATCGCAGCAAATGACAGGCGATCCCAACGACGAATCCACATTATTTTCCCGACATATGGTTAAACTTACATTAGGCTGGATGACAAGTTATGACCATTTTATCGCAAAATTTTGAATTCAATTCAATTTATTCACTAATTGCATGTATAAAAAGCATGGAGTGAATCGTTTGGTTTCCATTGTCTGGTCAGTATAAGATCCCTGCATCGTGGGCCATGGTGTTTTCGAAAGTCGTCGGTCCATCTCGTCCGTGGGCGGCCAAGTTGTCTTGTATATGGAGGTGCCCATTCCAGCAGTCTTTGGTTCCATCTTCGTCCGTCTTTTCTAAGCTCCATCTTTGTCATCGATTATTTTCTATCTTAGATACCTCCTTGGTTCAACATACATATAAACGTGGTCACAGAAGTTCTTGCATTCGATCTTCGCCGATGAGGCGTAAACCACTGCAAAAATCGATGTGCAGTGATTTGGAAAACCCAGTGCAGGGTTAATTTTGGGTCGGAAATGATTTTTAAAATTCAGTGCATTTTTTTTAAGTCAGTAATGATTTTTCAAATTCAGTGCATTTTTAATAAGTCAGTAATGATTTTTCAAATTCAGTGCATTTTTTTAAGTCAGTAATGATTTTTGAAATTCAGTGCATTTTTAATAAGTCAGTAATGATTTTTCAAATTCAGTGCATTTTTAATAAGTCGGCACTGATTTTCGAAATTCAGTGCTGACTTAGACCCGAGCTCCGCCCCCTTTTTCTGGAGCCAATCAGGTAACAGCTCTCAAAATGAACGCAAAAGGCGTTAGAAAAACGCCGTTTTTTCGCGGATTTCACTCCGCGCTCCGTTGTAGCCACTAATGAGGTTTATGAAGCACCTTATACTTTCAAATAAAACAGAATCCAGATTTTTTGACAACTTCCATCCTTGGAAGGAGAATCAACAAAAGTGAAACTGGAAGCAAGATGATTTCTATGTTTTCCTTACTGGAATCATGACCAGTTGCTAATGTAAAAAATAAACCCGTATCCTATAGAAAGTTTATCTTCGAGACATAATACAAGATGTTTTACGGTTTCCATCGTTCTTTCTCCTCATCAAACACATCGTCTTCCCTTTGGGGTTGAGTCGTTGGCCGTTGGCGATGTCCCGACGTGGATGGACGATCGGTTTCCAATGGTCGGCTTCCTCCAAACATTGGATTGGAGGATTGGAACCGAGGACGCTCTCCAAACTGGTTTCTGCTTCCAAGTCCACTGTTGGAAGATTGCGGTGTGGGTCGTTGACTGGTTCCAAAATTGGAGTCTGCTAAAATACGACATCTTTATGCAAAAACTGAACCTAATAATAAAATGGAAATTAATGACTTACTTTATTCACTTCTCCGATTGTGGCTTCCTCAAGAAGGTTTCAGCACTCCATTCCACTGAATAAAATTCTGCCGGCATTGCATTCGATTCTCGATGATCTAAAGGCGGAATCAAAAATTTCAAACCCAACTTACCACCGAAACACCTTCGAAGGCGAACATCACAGTGCCGAAGAACAGTGGCAAATCCCGCAATTCTCCTCATTTCGTCAGCTCATCCGTCGATTTCAGGTTGCTGGAGAAGAAATATACCACAATCGCCACTGCGCCCAAGTAAATCACGTTGGCTGCGGTGGCGAATGGCCCCAATTTCGAGAGCTTTCGAATGGAACAGAAGCCCAGCACCGGAATGCCGATGAAAACCATCCAGACGGACTTTGGAAGGACGATACCAACATTCTCCCGGAAGAAATCCTCCAAATTGTCCGCCATGAAGACGAAATACACACAACAGAAACCGAGTTGAGCGATGAAAACATTGCAGTTGACGAGTTGTTTGAAGAATTATCCGCGATGTCTGATCCACGACGGGCCCGCTTCGAACGCACCTCGCATAATATTTCCATAATCGATTGCATCTCGTCCGTTTCTGGAAAGCAAATATTTTAGGTGTCTGCCGACCAAAAAATATTTTTTCTGCTAAATTTATCGTTAGTTTTCCTCGAAGAAGCCTAAAAACAGAAGAAAAATTCAAATACTTACCTTGAACAGACAAAATGGGGCGCAAATATTCATCTGTCGCATGCAGTAAAAGCAGACGGAGCAAATCAACACCAATAAAAATCATTCCCAGCTGAAAATAATACCCAAATCAAGGACCCAAAGCGACAAAACTTCGCGAAAAAAGATAAAAAAGCCAGCAAAAGAAAAGAGTCTGAGTCAAACAAATCCTGTAATTTCCCTGCGAGACACAAAACACGGATCAAGTCCTTGCGGATCATTTCGTAATTTTTAGGCCCAAAACTTGTATTTTTTTACGACTTTCGTGGCAAATTTTGCCACAATATAACTTTTTGGCTCTTATTTTTTAGGTAGCTGATGGAACAAGCAGAGTATTTTTTTACGACTTTCGTGGCAAATTTTGCCACAATATAACTTTTTAGCTCTTATTTTTTAGGTAGCTGATGGAACAAGCAGAGTATTTTTTTACGACTTTCGTGGCAAATTTTGCCACAATATAACTTTTTAGCTCTTATTTTTTAGGTAGCTGATGGAACAACCCAGTTGACCCTGTGGAATCCGACGAGATCCTGCGCACGGAATACGACACATCAGATTTTGAGGACCAAATTGAAGCGAGTTTGAACGTTGAGTTGGGTTTCAGCGACGATCAGGTATGTTTTTCTTGTTGTTCTTGAAATTTAGGTATGAAAATTGAAAAAGAGGTAGAAAAGTTTGTTGATGCTCAACTTTTGGGCTCTTATTTTTTAGGTAGCTGATGGAACAACCCAGTTGACCCTGTGGAATCCGACGAGATCCTGCGCACGGAAGACGACACATCAGATTTTGAGGACCAAATTGGCGAGTTTGAACGTTGAGTTGGGTTTCAGCGACGATCAGGTATGTTTTTCTTGTTGTTCTTGAAATTTAGGTATGAAAATTGAAAAAGAAGTAGAAAAGTTTGTTGATGCTCAACTTTTCGGCTCTTATTTTTTAGGTAGCTGATGGAACAACCCAGTTGACCCTGTGGAATCCGACGAGATCCTGCGCACGGAAGACGACACATCAGATTTTGAGGACCAAATTGAAGCGAGTTTGAACGTTGAGTTGGGTTTCAGCGACGATCAGGTATGTTTTTCTTGTTGTTCTTGAAATTTAGGTATGAAAATTGAAAAAGAAGTAGAAAAGTTTGTTGATGCCCTAGTATAAGGCGTGAAATTGAAGCCTTGAGCTTTTGAAGTTTAATAAAAGTGAAAATCAGCCATTAGTGACCTAGAAATTACTGGATTTGGCAATAAATCTCAATTTTTTTAGGAAAATCCGTCGGAAGAAGCCGAAGAACCCAGCTCATCTCTTGAAAATGATGTGAACAAACTTATCAGGAACCAGCCAAAAGACACAGCCAGCCCCGAACATCCGATGGTACCCGTACGTCAGCTGCCCCTTCAACCAGTCGTTCCATTTAATATTATTTAGAAGATCTCTTAAGTAGAATTCAATTCTGGTAGAACTTTTAGTGTAGTTGCTTCTTTTTATAGCGTTAAATTATTTATTATTTGTTTTTGGGAACTCGTTATATATTTTTGAAATCGTTTTTTGATTGTTGTTGTTTAGAAGGATAAAATTATATATTTACCATGTTGAATATCTGAAAACCCCAAAAAAAACGACTAATTTAACCTCAAAATTGAATGGTGCAAGGCCTAGTTCAAGAAGGCGGAGACAATTTTCTAGAGCTGCCTCCTGATTGGCTGCAGAAAGGGGGGCGGAGCTTCTCTAAACTCAGCACTGAATTTTGAAAATCAGTGCCGACTTATTAAAAATGCACTGAATTTGAAAAATCATTACTGACTTATTAAAAATGCACTGAATTTCAAAAATCATTACTGACTTATTAAAAATGCACTGAATTTAGAAAATCATTACTGACTTATTAAAAATGCACTGAATTCTGAAAATCAGTGCAGGGCTATTAAGTCCGCACTGATTTTTCTCAGATTCGCAAGTTTGTTGACACTGGGTTTTCCAAATCGCTGCACATCGATTTTTGCAGTGGTTTACGCCTCATCGGCAAAGATCGAATGCAAGAACTTCTGTGACCACGTTTATATAGACTAATAAAGGGGTTGTCGAAGTTTCATCTAGGGTCTATTTCTAAGCCTTACGGCATAGCCGAGATTTTCTATTGCCAAAAACATGGAAATGCCCCGATTTTGGCAGGTTACGAACCAACTCAAGTCACGTCCCTTTGCCAGCCGCTGCTGGTCTCGAATTGTTGTTATTATAATCTTAAAACAGGGTTCGCGAGAGACTCGAGAACCCCTTGGCACATTTTTACCAAGTTGGTCCTACAAGGCTGAAATTCAACTCAGTAAGTACACTAGCAAAACAAAATTTTTTGGCATTTCTATTTTTTCGAGATTCGGCTTACTGTAGGCGTACTGTATTTTTACCGCAAATTTTGTATCACAAAAACTGGACATCCCAGAGAGTCGGGAGTGGTTCGGGTGGATTGGTATGGTAATTCTAAGCAAATTACTTATTGGCAACTTTCTTCTGAAGTTTTGCCTAAGGTCAGAAAAAATTGATTTTTTGGATCCAAAGTTACAGTAACCCAGATTTCTCAAAATTTTTCCATAGTGCGGCAAATTGTGAAGCCTTTGTTTAGAAGTGCTTTTTATTGCCGTTCGAATGAGCCTATGAACACGCCTGTAGAGTGTCTCCTGGGGCAGAACCAGCCGTTTAAAGTTTGCATTTACAGAAAATGTGTCATCATGACGTAGTGTACATTTTGTCAAACCGAATGTATTATTGCATAAAATGGAGGCTGATGGTCCTCTAGACGTAGTCCGACCGTCTTTCGTGCCGATTTACCTATCTGACTGCCATAATTCGTCGGGATGACATATTTCCTGGAATCCACCGTGGTGGCAAGCTTTAAATCTTCGTATCTTGAGCGGGAGACCCTACAGAGACATGGTTATAGGCGTGTTACAACCGCAATAAACAGCAGTTTTTTCTTGTGTCAGTTAAGAACTTTTTTTGATATGTAAAGTTTTGGAAAAACTAAGTTACTGTAACAATATTTTCCTAAAGCTATGCGTTTTCAAACCCAAAGGGATTTTTAAGTTTCTTTTTGCATCAGACGTGCTCAATATGATTTCTAGAATCTAATAAAAGCAGTCCCAATTCTCAAAACATACTTACAACTGCTTTACAGAATTTGCGGTAAAATTACAGTACGACTACAGTAAGCCAGATTTCGAAAAAATAAAAGCTCCAAAAATTTTTATTTTGCTAGTATACCCAGTATGCGAAATTTGAGCCCCGTAGGAGCAACTTGGTAAAAATGTGTTTCCCTTATCCTGCGGTTGCTCGGCTTTCTCGCCTTTGTTAGGTTTCACGGCGTCCAGAAAATATGTCATCCCGACGAATTATGGCAGTCAGATAGGTATATCGGCACGAAAGACGGTCGGACTACGTCTAGAGGACCATCAGCCTCCATTTTATGCAATAATACATTCGGTTCGACAAAATGTACACTATGTCATGATGACACATTTTCTGTAATTGCAAACTTTAAACGGCTGGTTATGCCCCAGGAGACACTCTACAGGCGTGTTCATAGGCTCATTCGAACGGCAATGGAAGGCACTTCTAAATAAAAGCTTCAAAATTTGCCGCACTATGAAAAAATTTTGAGGAATCTAGGTTACTGTAACTTTTGATCCAAAGAATCAACTTTTTCTTGCCTTAGGCAAAACTTTAGAAAAACGTTGTCAACAGGTAACTAGCTCAGAATAATGATACCAATCCATCCGAACCACCCCCGACTCTCTGGCATGTCTAGTTTTTGTGATACAAAATTTGCGGTAAAAGTACAGTACGCCCACAGTAAGTCCAATCTCAAAAAAATAGAAGTGCCAAAAATTTTTGTTTTGTTAGTGTACTAACTGGGTTGAATTTCGGCCCTGTAGGACCAACTTGGTAAAAATGTGCCACCCCTGTTTTGCGGTTGCTCGAGTCTCTCGCGAACCCTGTTTTAAAGGGTCGTAGAAGGCGTTGACCCAGCATCGTTGCTAAATCCAACCTAATAATATAGCTTTGAAAAGTTTTCTGGCTTTTACACCGCAGTGTATCTAAGAATAATCAACAAATGTCTGAATTCAAAAAAAGACCATTGGATTATAGCAACAGAAAATCAAAAGGATTTGAATACAAATTTGGGTCGGCAACAAGGGTTTTAAACTTGTAAACTGACCCGAATTCATTTCAAATATCAGTTTGAAAATGTTGAGAAAAGCAGTTGTCTTGTTGTTTTTATTTGTGCTGATTGGTGGTAAGAGTCCTAACAGCTAGAGCCACTACAGTTTCTACCTTGCTTAAAATCTTTATTCAACCAGAAAATTCCAGCTCTGGCCGCTCCCACATCCAACTCACAATCAGAATCGGTTGAATCTCCCGAGTCGGTTGAGTCACTCGAATCCCAGGAAGTCTACGCCCCTCGAAGCGCTTCCCAGCAACAAGACGGCGGATTCTTCGGCAGTGTCAAGAAGTACATCTACGATATCTTCAATGTTCGATATTAATCGCGCTTTTGCGATTTCCTACCGCAATTTCCTCGAGTTTGTTGTGAAATTGCACTTTTTGAAGGGGTATTGCAACTGTGAGTTGTGTAGAGTAATTAGCAATAAAAGAGACTAGTCATCGAAAAGAAAAAACTTTTTTTGGGGAATTTCTTGTCTATGACAACAAAGGTCAAGGAGTTTGCACTAATTGGCACTTAGTCTTCGATTTGTTGGAGAATTTGGTAAAAATTTTTAGCAAACTCAAAAAAAAATGTTTGTGTTAATTGTCAGCAAAATACAATCCACTGACTATAATTTAGACATTTATTAATTCCATATTATGATACTGAAAATAAGATCACCCGGATGAAGCACTCAAGACTGGCTTAAATTATTACATAGCAAAATCTCTGTAAAACAAAGAATCAAAGTCTTCAAGATGAAAAACTGGATTTCAACAAGGCGGTTTAGACCTCTGGCAGCTCTTTTAAGATCCACTTCTGTCGAATGTCGGTTAGATCGCAGGGCATGGCTTGAATTGAATAACTTTCCACTTGCACGCTGACCGAGGACTTCGGGATCAGCGCTAAACAACGCCCGTCGTTGGCGACACGTCCCGTTTGAGGGTTCAGCGTCCATTTCTTTGTGTTTGGCTGAAAATTTCAGTGAATTACAAGAGAATGGTGGAGTAAAATATTTGAATTCAATTTTTCCCGCCAAAAAATAAGTTTCTTGGCATTGTGTTGCAAGTGGATAAAATATTTTTGAGTGGCCATTATGTGATTATTTTTAGCTTAATTTTGGTAACTACGGTTCACATATCAGCTCAAAAATTTGAATTTGTATTTTCCCGCCAAAAAATACTTTTCTTGGCATTGTGTTTCAATCCGAAAAATCGGCGATAATGAGCCTTAAATACGAAAATTTCATTCACTTTTTGACACACATATACTAAATAAGAATAAAAAATTGAATTTGCATTTTCCCGCCAAATAAACGAATTTATTGGCATTCTGTTGCAAGTCGGAAAAAAGGGCAAGGACGGCGGTAAAATGAAAAACTAAGAAAAATATTCGGTATATCTGCTCAAAATAAGCCAGAAAAGATTATTCGAAAATTTTAATAAATGCTTTCCAACGGTACCCAAGTTTTAAAAAAAAATTGCTTAAAATTTTGAAAAATTCGTTTAAAATAGATAATAAAACCCCTACCATCTTGCAAGGCTTATTGACCAAGAACCCGTTTGGTGTGAGAGCAAGGCACATGAGTTGATTGGCGTGCGAGAGTTGGCCCTTCTCCTCCTTGAAAACCCATTCCTGATTCCCGCCCATGTAATGGCACTGCGCCATTCGCGGGGTCTCATCGATCTGAATTTTGTGCCAGGAATCCAGACACATGGAGCCTTGGCCAATGGAAAATCGACGAGTTGCCGAGGGGATTCTAAAGTTAAATATTTTTTGGTTCTATTAACAGGGGGGACCAAGGCAAAACTTCTCAAAAAAAAAAAAAAAAAAAAAAATTGTAGAACTCACTTTAATTCCGGATAAACGTTCTTCAAAAACCACGTAAAATCTTTGCATTGCAGTTGGTCACGGATTGCTCGGCGTTCGGAGAGGCTACAAAATACATTTTTTATCAAAAAAAATAGAAAAAAAAAATTGTCAGTCTGTCGGGAAAATAATGTGTACAACATCTCTGCGCCAATCGTGTCATTGAAAAAAGAAACTATTTGATTTTGCCACGACACAATTCATTTTCTCGGCGGCTATGCGATTTTTAATGTGGCATAGTGGTCATTATTTTCCCGACAAACTAGTAAAAAATACTTTTTTTGACCTACTCTCCGACATCGACAGTCCTGGCCGCCGGCACTTGCAGCAGATAGTACTTTTTGTATTCGTCCAGCCAGACCTCCGCCGCTCTTCTGGTGTTCCGCTGAAACACGTTCCCACTGCCGCCGGGGAAGGTGTACGGGTGCTGCTTGCGGAACACGTGCCCCACCCGGCTGCACGGAATGATCTCCAACGACCCGCCGCACTGCCACACCCGGAACGACATCTCCAGGTTTTCGCCGCCCCACACGTCCATCTGCAGGTCGTAGGCGCCCAGCTGGTCGAACCACCGCTTCCGGATCATGAACAGCCCGCCCGCCATGGCCGGCGTCCGCACCGGCGCCGTGGGGTGGGCTTTGCGGTGGAGGCGCTGCTCGCGCAGCATGAAATCCCATTTGAACACGAGGTTCCAGCCGAACCCGCCGCGAAGGTCCGCGCTGGCCGGCACGTAGTTGAACGAGTCCATGCTGATCACGTCGATGACGGGCGCCACAACGGCTTTGGGGTTCTGAAATTTTGGGAGAGGTATTTTATGGACTTGGAAAGCATACTGTAACGTAAAGGCGTCAATTTGAAAAATAAATTTTTTTTGAAAAATTGACAGGGGGGACCAAGCGAAAAAAATTTACGCTGGTAACGATCGCCACTACGGCTTTGGGGTTCTGAAATTTTGGGAGAGGTATTTTGAGGACATGGAAAGCATACTGTAACGAAAAAGGGTCAATTTGAAAAATAAATTTTTTTGAAAAAATTGACAGGGGGGACCAAGCGAAAACAATTTTGAAAATCTAATCGACGCTGGGAACGATCGCCACAACGGCTTTGGGGTTCTGAAAATTTGAGAGAGGTATTTTGAGGACATGATAAGTATACCGTAGCGTAAAAGGGTCAATTTGAAAAATAATTTTTTTTGAAAAATTGACAGGGGGGACCAAGCGAAAAAAATTTACGCTGGTAACGATCGCCACTACGGCTTTGGGGTTCTGAAATTTTGGGAGAGGTATTTTGAGGACATGGAAAGCATACTGTAACGAAAAAGGGTCAATTTGAAAAATAAATTTTTTTGAAAAAATTGACAGGGGGGACCAAGCGAACAAAAATTTGGAAATCGAATCGATGCTGATAAATCCACAACGGTTTTGGGGTTCTGAAAATTTGAGAGAGGTATTTTATGGACAGTCGAGGCATACTGTAACGAAAAAGGGTCAATTTGAAAAATAAATTTTTTTGAAAAAATTGACAGGGGGGACCAAGCGAACAAAAATTTGGAAATCGAATCGATGCTGATAAATCCACAACGGTTTTGGGGTTCTGAAAATTTGAGAGAGGTATTTTATGGACAGTCGAGGCATACTGTAACGTAAAAATTGGAATTTGAAAAATAAAAATTTTTTGAAAAATTCGACAGGGGGGACCAAGCGAAAAAAAAATTTGGAAATCTAATCGATGCCGATGACTGGCGCCACAACGGCTTTGGGGTTCTGAAAATTTGAGAGAGGTATTTTATGGACAGTCGAGGCATACTGTAACGCAAATATTGGAATTTGAGAAATAAAATTTTTTTGAAAAATTGACAGGGGGGACCAAGCAAAAAATTTTTTTTTGGATATCGAAAAATCGCGATTTTTCTTTTAGCTTGCCCGAGTTTCTGCGCAATATAACTGCATTAGAATTCAGTTGGAATTTTCATAAAGACACAGCAGACCAATGAAATAAAAATTTTAATTTCTGAAAAAACCGTTTTTTTTCAAATTTTCAAAAAATCGCAGAAAATTTTGCAAAATCTCAACACTGTGTAGACAACACTAGCCGCAACATAAAAAGTATCAGTTTGTCGGGAAAATAATGAGCACACTGTCGCTGCGCCGATCGCTAGGGAAAAGCAATTTGTTTTTGCCGCGACACAATTCATTTTATCGGCGGCTATGCGATTTTTGATGCGATATTGCTCATTATTTTCCCGACAGATAGGTAAAAAACGTCTAGCAAATTTTTTTGAAATTCCGAAAAAAATCAACAGGGGGGACCAAGGAAATCTTTTTCAAAAAAAACTAAAAAATACCAGTCGTAAATGTAAGAAAATTTATTCTAGAAATGTATCACCCACCTCAACGACACGTGCCAACAACGGCTCCAGCCAATTCACATTGCATTCCACATGGGAGTCGAGGAAAGTCAGCACCTCCGCTTCAGCCAGCGCCGCTCCTTTTACCCTCGACCGGATCAGTCCCTCGCGTTTCGTGTTCCTGATAACTTTGACCCATCGCATTTCGGCCAATTCCACACCAATGGAGGTGTCGTTGGAGAAGTCGTCGACCAAGATAATTTCTTTCAAAAATTTGGCAGGAGATCGGAGGAAAATGGAGTAGATCGTCCGTAGCAGCGTCGAACGCGCCTCGTTATGATAGGTGATGATGATGGAGGTGGCGGGAAGGTCGTTGGAGTAGTTGACGGACTTACAGCTGAAGTGGAAAGATTATTTTTTGTAATTTTTTTCAAAATATGTCTGATGACTTTCCAGAAGAGCTAGTCGCTTGATTTCCCCGACAATTTACTCTTCAACGCACCTGTTCTCTCTGGAATCTATGATTTCTCGATTCATCGGGATCGAATCCGATGCGGCTTGATTGAACTTGTTCTTTTCGTACCGATCCTCCCCTTCTTTTAGCCGTCCTTTGGCCAAGAATTTCTCCTGATCAAATTCCATCCAAGGCACTTGCTCTCCGCGGGGCTGATAGACCACCATGTCTGGTGGGATTTGAAGGTATTTGTACTTTTCTTCGGGCGTTGGGACTTGGATTGGCGGACGCGAAATAGCGTTGTAGGAATTGGGCTGAAAATTTGGATTTAAAGGCGTTTCTGGGGTCAAAGGCCAAGAATATTTGCATAAAATTGCATGCGGAGATGTTTTTGAGCCATTTTTGGCAAAATCAGCGCTTGAAACAGAATGCCAAGATTTTCAAATTTGGCGGGAAATTTGAACTTTTTTTGTTGGAAACGCGTTAAAATGACTGGTTTTTGCCAAAATAATGATGAAAAGCCTTTGGCTATTTGATTTTTAACTATATTCAAATTTTATGCAAATTTCAAAAATTTCAATAATTTGCATATTCAAAAAATTAAATCAGATTTAAAAAGAAAAAAAAATGGATTTTCAAAGCTCCGTCAACCTTCAAAAAAATCGAAATTAATTTTTGCAAATTTAAAAAATTTAAAAAAATTTGCATATACAAAAAAATTAAAATTACCGAAAATCTAGGTCCCTCCATTCCGACATCGCTCATAAAGTAGAAGAGCAAGATGGTCGCCGTCCAGAAGAACCCCACCAGGAGCAGCGTCTCCGGTCCATAACAAAACGGCCTCATTTGATAATCATTGGACGCAAGTGGGCGGAGCTAGCGATATTTGACACGAAACTTTTGGAGCCCAAATTTGAAAATCTGAAAAATTTTTGAAAAATTAATTCAAAATGCCCGTGATAATTGGCCACGAGGAACTCCGAAGGGACTTCGAAGCGATTATAAACTCGGTTATTATCACTGTCGGACGCGGAAAATGCAAATGACCGAATAAATTTACGAACATGAGTTAGTTGGGGGAGTACTATGCTTTTTCAAAAGTGCGTAGACTTTTTGTCGCATGTCCTTTCGCATTGTGAATTTCAGCTCTAGCACTGTGCTGGATAGGCGCGATAGACCATTGCAAAAAGAGGCAAGATGCCGTGCGCCGCGACAAAAAGTCTACTCATCGAAAGTCGGCGAAAATTTAGGACTTTTTGCCAAATTTCGGCACGAAAAATTTCATGCCTGTTTCTACCGTAAAGGATAATTTTTCTACAAAAAATCAAATTTTTCCGTACGAAACTGCCAAAGTTATGGCCAAAAAGGCGTCTTCTCTCTGACCGTTCTCGTCTAGCGTGCTCTCTCGGCGGCATAAATCGTCCGATACCTCGGCGGCGCCTGCAAAGCGCGAGCTAAAACTTTCAGGAATTGATATTTAGTCCATACCCGACGTGTGTGCAAAATTTAAAGGAAATCTGAGCGTCGTACTTGGAGTACTTCCCCTGTCAGTTTCGAAAAAGCGTAGTAATGTTACAAGAGGAAAATAATTTCATAGAAAAGAAGCTGCAAAAGTTTGATGATTTTTGGGTTTTCAAAATTTCCCAGAACTACTCAGTTTTATGATCGAAATTTGGCAGATTTTTTTTTGATTTTGACTGTCAAGAATTGGCATTTTGTTACACCTGGTGATTACAATGTTTCCACAAAACATCAAATTGTTTTCGCTTGGTCCCCCCTGTCAACTTTTTCAAAAAATTTTTATTTTTCAAATTCTCATTTTTGCTTTACAGCATGCCTCCAATGCCCGTAAAATACCTCTCTCAAATTTTCAGAACCCCCAAGCCGTTGTGGCGCCCATTATCAATATCGAATCGATTTCCAAAATTGTTTTCGCTTGGTCCCCCCCTGTCAATTTTTCAAAAAAATTTTATTTTTCAAATTCACATTTTTGCTTTACAGTATGCCTCGACTGTCCATAAAATGCCTTCTCTCAAATTTTCAGAACCCCAAAGCCGTTGTGGCGCCAGTCATCGGCATCGAATGGATTTCCAAATTTTTTTGCTTGGTCCCCCCTGTCAAATTTTTTCAAAAAAAAATTGCATTTAAAATTGACCTTTTTTCATTACAGTATGCTTTCCATGTCCTCAAAATACCTCTCTCAAATTTTCAGAACCCCCAAGCCGTTGTGGCGCCCATTATCAATATCGAATCGATTTCCAAAATTGTTTTCGCTTGGTCCGCTGTCAATTTTTTCAAAAAAATTTATTTTTCAAATTGTCCCTTTTACGTTACACCATGTCCATAAAATGCATCTCTCCGCTAGGAAGCCGCAAGGATATGACCAAAAAACGGTGTCCTTGCAAATTAGCTTACAAGGGAAGAACGCCAAGTGTAAGGCATGAGGACATCCGCGCGAGGACTGGTTTAAAGGATGTATGCAAGGAGGCAAAGAAGCGAAAATGGAAGTACATGGAGAAAATGCAGCTAAGACGCGAGGAAGGAAGATGGGATCAACGACTGATGGATTGGACGCCGCCCTACAAACGACCACTTGGACGCCTCAGACTCAGATGGACCGACGATTTTCGAAAGCACCATGGCCTGAGATGGAGAGACCTTATACTGACCAAACAATGGAATCCCGACTGATACACTCCATGATTTTACATGTGATTAGTGTGAATAAATTGAATTGAATTGAATTGAACGCCAAGTGCAACGCTCAGATTCTTTTTAAATTTTGCACACAAGTCGGGAATAGACTTAACTTTTTTTTTTCAAAAAAAAAATAATTTTTTCATTCTCTCCAAAAGTTTCCAGTCATTCCTCCAAGAAAAGTAATCCCAAAAACCGCCAGACATGTGCAGCCGATGAAGTGGTACAAGACAATTCGAAGGTGAGGGGTCCATGTTCGCCGCAAGGAGTGACCAGAAAAAGCGGGTCGAGAGTTTGCGCGCAACTTCCCACTTGTCCCACTTGATATTTTCGGGTAAAAACGGGGCGCGTTTTTAACGCCAAAAGCATAGTCTTGCGCGTCCATTGAATTATGAGTAATCCTGGGGTCAGCGAGTTGGGAAGCGGGCGCTAAAAGGGTAGAAAATCCAAAAGTTAAAATTTTGATGACGTATCAGGCTGTCGGGAAAATAATGAGGACCCTGTCGCATCCGAAAATCGCATAGCTGCCGAGAAAATAAATGACAGTGGGGAACTTGATCCGGTGGCAAAAAGCGTACCATTTTACATCCGGGAAGTATAAAAAATGTGGCAAAATGCTTCCCTCTCCAAGTGAAAAGAACTCATATTTCAAAAGCGCGCCCGCTCTTTTTGTGAGGCGCGCCCTTCAAAACGAAGTTTTTGTATTTGCAGAGGGAAGCATTTTGCCACATTTTTGATCTTTCCCGGACGCAAAATGGTACGTGTTTGGCCACTGGATTAGGTCCCCCACTGTATCTCGCGGTAAAATCAAACACCTTTCCCCTTCAGCGATGCGATCCCACATTATGCTCAATATTTTCCCGACAGGCTGGTAAAAGGCCCATAATATCCCATAAAATCATTCTGTCTGGAAAATAATGTTAATTTGTTGCAGCAGAATGCCTCGCCTCGACGCAGTCGCTCATGAAATTCCAACTTAGCCGTCGCAAAGCGGTGATGGACGATTCCAAGGCACGACGAATCCACATTACTTTCCCGACGGGCTGATAAAAAATCTAATCAAAATATCCATCGCGGAAAATGAATTATGCCGTGGCAAAACCAAATTTCTTCTCACTTCAGCGACGCAATTGTCGCAGCGACTTTTGTGCTCATTATTTTGCCGACAGACTGATAAGTGGACTGCCGAGTTTTGGCCAATAAAACAACAGGCTATTTGGTCGGAAAAACAGGAGGGGGGGCTTTACAAGTGTTTATCATTATTGTTCCAACAGATGCATTCCTCAAAATTTGTCCTACTACAGTTAGGGACCTGATCCAATGGCAAAAAACGTCTCCTTTTGCATCCCGGAAGGGACCAAAATGACTCCAACCCATTCCCTTCTCTGAGCTAAAAAACTCTGCTTTGAAAAGCGCGCCCTTTCCTTCAAGGCGGGCTCTTCAAAGCGGGGTTTTTTTAGCTCATGTTAGAAAAGGGAAGGGTTTGGAGACATTATGGTCCCTTCCGGGATGCAAAATGAGACGTTTTTTGCCATTGGATCCGGTCCCTCACTGTACTAGTCGTTTTCGAAAGTGCGTAGACTTCTCGTCACCAATTTTTCGAGTTTTTTCGCGGCGCACAGTGCATTTGACTTTTTGCACCGTGCAAAAAAAAGTCGCAGCGAGAAGAAAAAATGCACTGTGCGGTGTAAAAAAAAGTCTCCGCACTTTATGGAAAGACTAGTAGCCCGTTCGCAAAGTCGCTGGGGTGATTTTGGCGACATGCACTTTGCAAAAACAAAAATTCCCTTTGCACCGTGCAATTTCTGGATCTTTGCACCGTGCAATAGACCTTTTTTAAGTCGCTGGCACCCTGACTTTCTTCGCACACTGCAATCGCTAAAAAAGTAAAAAAAAATTTGTTTTTGTCACGAGAAGCGCGAAAATAAACTATAAATTTCCGCGACTTCCGAGCCGCATCTTAACCCCAAATTCTATCTTTGTTTATAAGGCCAAAAATTCTTCCTTTTGAAAAAAAATCCAAAAATTTTTGTGGCCAAGTGTCCTCGAAAGGGGATCTTTTTCGAGTGTCAAAGCCAATTCCCAGCGGATCGTTTTACGGCGTTCCAATTTTATTCGTCCAATTAAATGGAATAAACGGAGAAATGATAAGTATGGGCTCTTCAGGGAAGTAATTCATATCGGAAATTGAATGAAAATACATATGAATGTAGGAGAATCCACAAATATATATAGCGATATACATAAGAGTGCAGGGAAAGATCGGCTGTGCGAAAATAAAGGTTAACTTTTTACAATGCTATTTCTTGCTTTTTGCGCAATACAAGCGCCAAAAATCAGTCCAGCGATTTTCCGGAAGGACAACTATCAGTCTGTCGGGAAAATAACGGCGGGTGGTCGCGCCTTGGAAAACTGCAACCTTTTTTTCGACAACCAGCCACGATTTTACCGAGGGACTGATAATGAGTCAAAATCTAGTAAGGAAAGTACTTTTATGGGGCATTGTTACAGGTCGAGATATACCAACAAAAGTCGCAAAACCTTTCTGATTCAGAATATGTAAAAATTAGCGGCCTAATTTTGTTTTGTAAGCGTGGAAAACTCCTCACAAGGGAAGTCACTTTTTTTCGCAGACGATTTTCTCGCAACACCATGGAATAATTTAAAAATTGCAACTATTGTTGAGATGTGGGGATAATCAAATTTGATATCGGTCTGTCGGGAAAATAACGGCGGATCGTCGCGCCTCGGAATCGCCGATCATCGCTCTGCGACTGCAAGCCGCGGCTTGGGATTTGGAGCGCGATAGCGGCGAGGCGAGACATTTTGTTGCGACGATCCGCCGTTATTTTTCCGACAGACTGAGAGTTAAAGGCTAGTCAAGATGTCAGGATTTACTATAGCTCAAAACAAAGCTTTTGAATTGGTAAAAACTCGGTCAAAGAGACATTTGCGTGGTGTTTCGCAAAACGTTCTGAGGGTTTTTTTTCGCCCTTACAGACCAAAATTTCGCGGCTAATTTTTGCATATTCTGGATCTGAAAAATTCTGCGATTTTTTTGGTATAACTCGACCTGTGACTTCATACCCCATAGACGTATTTTCTTAAAAAAATTGCTTCAAAGATCTTCTGAAATACCGTTAAAAACCCCAAATTTAGCGAAGCTAGCCCTCAAAATGTTCCAATCCCTCTTTTCGCTGTCGAAAAGATCCTTCACTTGAAAGAGAGCCGGCTTTCCGGGAGATCCAGAAAAGCCCATTCGGCTCAATCTTCGCGAGAAAAACGGCGGGGTTTGCCCCTTGAAACTGGGGCCATAAGTATTTGCCAGCGGGCGAAAAACGGGCGGAAACCAATACTTTTCGGATAATATTCAAATACGTTTTGTTTGGGCCGGGAAATAACAGGATGAAAACTGATCCTGTTTATGACATTTTGCGGCGGGCACACGGACACAACTTCTTTTGTCACAAGTTTGATGAAAGGATGTTTACACAAGGGTCAATATAAAATAATGGGGGTGTAGGTGGAGCTATTTAGAGGGACGTAAGGCTACTTTTGAATTGCGACTTTTATTAATCGCGACAAAATTGGTATCAGTCTGTCGGGAAAATCACGGCGAGTCGTCGCAGCAAAATGTCTCGTCTCGCCGCGATTTTTTGCATCTAAGAAGTGTCAAAAGTGTGGCAAAACGCTTCCGAAGTGAAAATGCTCGGATTTCAAAAGCGCGGCGCTCTTTTTGTGAGGGAAAGGGCGCGCCCTACAAAACGAAGTTTTTTCACTTGGAAAGGGAAGCATTTTGCCACGTTATTGATGCTTCCCGGATGCAAAACGGAATGCTTTTTTGTCACTGGATCAGGGCCCATATTCAAGGTGTAGGTGAGAAAAAACGCGGCATTTTTTTGCGCATTTTTACGACAAGCAATTGCACAATGCAAAAAGTGGCAAAATGCACTAGCAGCAAAAAAATTCTATGCGCTTTTGAAAAGGCGTTGTAGTATTAGCATTTTCACAAAGTGCCTGGACATTTCTCCTGGTCCGCACCGTGCACAAAAATCCCCGAGTTTTTGCACCGCACAGCATTCTGAGGTTTTTTGCCGCCACCGATCGGTGCCGATTTTCGCTCAAAATGACAACAGGGCTGCGCGCCTCGGCTGATAACTAGCTAGCCCAAAAATGAAAAAGAGTAAAAAAACCTCGGAATGCTGTGCACCGTGCAATCACTTTTTTTTGGTTTTGCACTGTGCATTTGAAATATCGCTGCGACGTAAGCTTTTCTCAACTGCGCCGCTGCGGGTTTGCTCAAAGATGTGCTCAGCGCAATCGGCTTTTTTTGAGGTTTGCACGGTGCGCAAGGGCAAAAATCCACAGTGCGTTGGCGACGAAAATTCAAGATGCACTGTGCAAAAACAAAAAAAATGTCCACATACTTTGTGAAAATGCTAATATAGTAGCGATGTGCAAAACCTTCAATTTTTACAACAGTCACTTGTTCGCGAGCGCACCGACGGCGGTAAAAAATCCTACGAGCGCTCGCGAGCTCTATGAAGCAAGTAGTGTTGACAATGCCCCGGTAATACAAAAGCCCTTTTCGTTAACGCAGAGCATAATTAAAATCACGCCTTTAGCTCAACTTGCCCTAGCGTTACATACGAAATTATGCATCGCGCTTTGTTCCCCTGATTCTCTCCCACCTCAAATAACTCGGTTCCAACAACAACTCTGTTGAGCGTGTGAACAACACGGCAATATCCCAAAGGGTAATCTTGATGACCTCTTCTCGGAAAACAACTAAAAAAGAACCCTGCTTTACCAACCTTCTCCCATAGTTACGTATGAGGTAAGGTGGCGTTATAAACATCAAATTTTACTGCCCCAGACCACATAATTTACTTGTTTAAACTGACCTATGGTAGCTGTTGGGGCCTTCATTAGTTATAAATTACTGTTATAACGAGTTTATTTTACTATGCCTAGACATTACTGCGATTAACGTAAACATAGCCGCTTTTTCATTTTAACCATATTTTGAAAAAAAACTGCCATAACTTTGAAAGCGGTGGATAAATTCAACAAATTCTGTACTTATCTGTAACGAGACTTGACAATGTATTATAAAATTTCAATACTACGGAGATTACGGTAGAAAAATCTTTATTCTAATCGGTAAATGTCGGGTGCCCGCAAAATCCTCGCAATTATCGCCACGCCTAAAATTTGCATGTAACATAACGCGATTTTTAAATAAATGGACATAGTAAAGTGGACCCAATGAAACATGCCCTAAGGCATCATGAAAAACGGCCAAATCCCGTGGCCGTTTTCCCTCTAAAAGTAAGGAATCCACATTTTCGACGTTTGGAAATTGGATATCCATACTCAAATAACATCAGCCCGTTTAAAAACTCCTTCGCACGGCATCTCTTGGAATGGCCCTCTTTTTTTGGCTTCTCCGCGTTTTTTCAGGTCCGAAAAAAGAAGTTTTTGGGGAAAGATTGGCGCAAGTGCCGATAAGGTTGGCTGACAGGGGAAGTACCCCAAGTGCGACGCTCAGATTTCGATGAAACTTGGCAAAGATTTAGATTAGTATTTTTCAAGGCGTATGGGAGCCTCTAGCTCGCGTTTTACAGAAACCACCGTGACTTTTGTGGAAAAAAAGTTGGAAAAATGTGACAGCTTTTTTGCAAATTTTGGCATAAAAAGTTTCACGCTTATTTCTACCTTAGCTAGTAATCCTTCCACAAAAAAATCTAACTTTTCCGCACAAAATTACCAAAAAGATGGGCAAAAAATGTTTTTTTTCTCTGACCACTCTCAGCGTTTTGTACGCTCTCTCCGCCACAAAAATTGTTGAACGGCCGTTCCTGCAAGGTTTACTCCTTTTGGTTGACCCAAAAACACCTTTTGCACGATGCATGTTCATTTTTGCCTTACGTCGCGCGCGATTCCCATTTTTTGCAGCGAAAAATCATTTTTTACAGAGTGTGGCAGAAAACGCGCAAAACCCGCATGGCGTAAAATTACCATAATCTTTTTGTTTTGGGTATATATGGCTTTTACCCGACGCATTTGTGATAGTGAAAGAAAAGCTGAACGGCGCACGTCAAACTGAGGAGTCCGGTGACCGGAATAGACTCTTCGCTATCGGTTTTTTACATTTCGTCTTGATTTCGCAGAGAAAGAGAGAAAAAAGACACGCAAAAACGTACTCTCTCGCCCAAAAAAATCCCCATTTCTCCCCCGACAAAACGTTTTTTCGCGTCTTTCTTTGGCAAATTGCCAATCCATTCACCGGACTCTTTTAGCTTATCTCAGTTTGACGTGCGGCGCTCTTGAGAGCAACTTTTTAAAATTTTTTTTGCATTTACAAAAACTTATAGTCAAAAAAACTTTTTTTTTGTAAAATACATATCAGTATGTCGGGAAAATAATGAACACACTGTCGCTGCACCGATCCCGTCGCTGAAGTGAAAAGCAATTCGATTTTGTCGCGAAACAATTCATTTTGGCCGTATGATTTTCAATGCCACAGAATGCCCACTATTTCCCCGACAGCACAAAATTAAACAGAGAAGAAAAGAGCATTTTCAAAACAACGATGCGTATCATCAAAAATGATCTGAATGTCAGCCCCGAATAAAGCGCCGATCGCCCGAGAGATTCCCTCTGTTTGTACGGCGAACAGATGTTCGAAGGTTCGTTTAGATGGGGGATGGGCGAGCCGACGATCATCTCATTGGGAGTTCGAAATGACAAAAACAGAATATCAGAAAAAGCAAAAAATTTGGGTCTAATGTCACAGCATAAGACAGAGATCTGTATGGGCAATTGTAGGGAGCAAACCACTATCGTTTCAATTTAGCGACAAAAAACGGAAAGTCTAAACCAGAATGTCCTTAAAAATCAGCCTGTCGGGAAAGTAATGAGGACTCTGTTGCGTCGAAAATTGCATCGCCGCCGAGAAAATGAATTGTGTCGCGGAGATAATCAAATTGCTTTTTATTCATGTCAGCGAAATAATCAGCGATAGTGTGCTCATTATTTCCCCGACAGACTGATACAACAAGAGGAAAGCGAAATTTTACATATACTGGTCAACAAAATTTTCTTTAAACCTCGTATCTCGGGAACCGCTGAGCCTAGAAGCCTAAAATGTCCCACCAGTCTGTCGGGAAAATAATGTGGATTCGTCAAGATTTGGTGCGCGGCTTCAATGAGGCGAGAAATTTTGCTGCTACAGGGCCTCATTATTTTCCCGACAGGCTGATAAATATTATATTATGGGCCTTTCAGCAGTCTGTCGGGAAAATAATGAGGACAATGTCGCTGCGCCGTCTACGTCGCTGAAGTGAAAAGCATTTGAATTTTGTAATGACACAATTCATTTTCTCTGCGGCGATGCCATTTTTGATGCGAAAAAATGCTCAATATTTTCCCGACAGACTGATACTACCCCTTCCGGAGCGTCGCCGGACTAAAATCCGCAACACAATGCAAAAACAAAATTTTTCTTTGCATTTTGCAATTCCTGGCTTTTTGCACCGTGCAATAGGCTTTTTTCGGCTGTCGCTTGCACCCTGAATTTTTTGAATTTTTTCGCACAGTGCAAACGCCAAAAAAAGTCCGGCGACTTTCCGGAAGCGCTAGTCATCGAAGGCCATTAAAATTGAACCCCTCAAGACTTCAAAGACCGCAAAACAAGGGAAGAACGTTCGAAAAATAAACGAAAATTTGGGCCAAAAATCTCCAACTGGTCAAATTACAGACAATAAAAAGAAGGGCAGGGGAGGAATTAAAAGAGCGGAATGGGGGGAGATTGCCGGCCAGTTGGCCGATCGAAATTCCGAAAAGCATCCGTCTCACATTCCTTTTCGGCCCGCCCGAAAAGAGTTTCACTCCGGTATTCGTGGGCCAAAAAGAGGGGCAAAAAAGTGGGTCTTATCTTTTCGCCCCTTTCAAGGAAAAGATAATTGAGGAGGGGGGAAATTAGGAAAAGTGTTGGAATCGGTCTTCCTCAGTGGTCGTGCTATAAAGTACGTAGAATTCTGCACAGAGCGATTTGGTTTTTCTTTCGCCCGTGCCGCTGCCGCTTCGCGTTTTTGAACTAGCGACATATCAGTCTGGAAAATAACGGCGGATCGTCGCGCCTCGGAATCGCTCATCATCGCTTTGCGACTGCAAGCCGCGACTTGGGATTTGGTGGGCGATAGCGGCGAGGCGAGACATTTTGCTGCGACGATCCGCCGTTATTTTCTCGACAGACTGATACACTTTTCTGCAAGCGACCCCCGCGACAACACCGACAAAATTCTACGGCTCGGGGTAAAATTTCCTTGGTCTCCACTATCACTTTTCGCCCCCGGCCTGGGAAGGGGTACCCACTAAGCATGGCCGTAAACCGGGCCAGCCCGGCCCGGCCCGGCCCGGGCCGCAGGCCCGGGCTTAAATCTCCAAGCCCGGCCCGGGCCCGGGCTTGGGAAATTTGGAAAGCCCGGCCCGGTTCGGCCCGGAAAATTTTATACTAGGTTGGAAAGAAAGAAAGCGGGAAATGAAAGGAAAATTATGGCAAATTTTCACAAGATGTAAAGAAAAATTTAGCAAAACCTAGGTACATAAGGTCACCTTACGTTCGCTATCAGCATTGTGTTCGAAAAAATGAAAAATCCTATCGTAAAAGCTTATTTTTTCCTTTTTTCCGGGCAAAACTCAAATTTAAAAAAACCCGGGCAGGCCCGGGCCGGGCCGGGCCTGAAAATCGAAGCCCGGAGTCGGGCCGAGAAATTAGTCGGCCCGGCCCGGGCCGGAAAATTTTGCAAGGCCCGGCCCGGAGCCATGCCTAGTACCCACCATCTCCCGCCCTCGGTTACAACCAGAGATTGCCACGGTCAAAATTTTGGCTCGCCTTGGCCAAATTTGCAGCTCCGGCTCTTGGCTCCGTGCAAAATTTAAAAAGGCCTTCGGCTCCGAATCCCGGCTCCTATGCAAAATGTTTTTTTAAAAATTTTTTTCCAAAAATAAAAGTTATTAGTGCCAGAGATCATACACCCAAGGTTTTTGCAGTCAAGTCACATCCTCCGCAGTGTTTTTCAGGCAATTTGGTTCAACAAGGTCACGAAATTTTTACTTTTCTGAACGCTGGGAAGCCTGGGTCCGACTTTGGGCTCGGGAGCCGGAGCCGACCCCCAAATTTCCGGCTCCGGCTCTGGCTCCCGGCTCGGAGCCGGAGCCGCTCAGAGCCGGAGCCAAGAGCCGGCTCCGGAGCCATGGCAATCTCTGGTTACAACCCAAAATTGGCCGAGAGATAATAACCGCAGTCTGTCGGAAAAATAATGTCGTTGCGCCAGTCACATCGCTGTAGCAAGAAACAATTTGATTTTGCCGCTACTCAATCCCGAAGGCGATGCGATTACGGACGCGACATTGTGCTCACTATTTTCCCAACAGACCGACACCAAAAAAATTCTCCTAATGCTTTTATTCTTTTTGTTTATGACCCGTTCCTCCCTTTGAGGGCTAATTATAAGATTGATCTCTTAGATCGCAGGAGGTTACACAGCGTCGAGCTTGCATAAATGCCGACCAGAACAAAAGGCTGTTCCAAGGGCTAACAGGAGAAGAATTCAAACGCAAAATTTATTCAGGTCAATCCAGAACTCTTAAAATTCAATTGTTAGCAGAGGGAAGATTTGATTGATTTTCCGACTGCGCAACATTCGATGTCGTATCCGGCTCCATTGCCTTAGTTTCGACGTCCGGTTGAGCTTCTCCGTCCGAGACGAACTCTCTGATCTGAAACAAAAGTAATAACGAAAGGTGTATAAATCCGTCGGGAAAATAATGAGCAAACTGTCGCATTGAAAATCGCGTCGCAAAATGAGTTATCTCGCGTCAAAATCGAATTGCTTTTCACTTCAACGGCACAATCGGCGCGGCGACATTGTGCTTATTATTTTCCCGACAGACTGCTGAGAGGCTATAAGTGATATTTATCAGTCTGTCGGGAAAATAATGTGGATTTGTCGGGGCAAAATTTCACGCTTCGTCGCAGTCTCGGCCCAGATCTCGACGAATCCGCATTATTTTCCCGACAGACCGATAGGACATTTTGGGTTACTACGCTTATTGAATCTGGAGATACGAGGTAGAAAGAAAGTTTTGTTGATCACTATATGTAAAATTTCGCCTTCCTCTTGTTGTATCAGGCTGTCGGGAAAATAATGAGCACACTGTCGCTGATTATTTCGCTGACATAAAAAGCAATTTGATTATCCAAAGTGATACTTGGATTTCTAATTCATTGGGGGACCTCATCCAGTGACAAAAAACGTACCATTTTGTGTCCGGGAAGTATCAAAAATGTGGCAAAATGCTTCCCTCTTCAAGCGAAAAAATTTCGTTTTGAAGGGCGCGCTTTTGAAGTCGGAGTTTTTTCACTTAGAAAGGGAAGCATTTTGCCACTTTTTGATACTTCCCGGATGCAAAATAGTACGTGTTTTTTGCCACTGGATCAGTTCCCTTACTGTATAAAGGAGCATCTACTTACATCCTGCCTGATATGGATCTCATCCTTTTTGAGTTTGCCTTTACGGAACTTCTTCAGCCTCTCCGCATCCTCCTCTTTGCCGCGTTCCTCGAGCTTCTTGAGGTACTCTTCAGCTAAAATTGAAAGTAAAATACGATCAGTGACCAAATAAAATGCTAAGTATAGGCTAAGCATAACCATAAAATCCAAAATTTCCACTCACAAGGCACGGAACTTCGTTTCATAATCGAGAAAACGATGAGAAGCACGGCCACGAGCGCATTCACAGCCACAATCAGACAGATCAGGCCAATGACGACGAAATGCGAGTGCTGTCGAAGTTCTTGCGGCAGCAGGAAAAACAGCTGGACATGTTCGAACTCCTCATCCGCCGTGTACACCGACATCCTTGGGAATGGCAGAGCGACCGGTCGGAAAGGCAGATACAAATTTCAAATGAAGATTTTGCTTTTTGAGGGTGAATTTGATGATATTTTTTACAAGGAAGGTACTCCTTGTAATGGGGTATGGAGTTACGGATCGAGATATAATATACAGGGTGGGCTACTTGGAGCTTCCGTCCTCTTTCTTTAGATTTCTCCGCGGAGACTCCGCCGATTTTCACAAAATTTAGATTTTTCTGGAGCTGAGATTTGCCATTTTCAGCCGACTGAACTTCAGGAAAAAATATTCTGAATTGACATTATTATGCCTTCTCGAAGTTTTTGAAAATTATTTTCAAGCCGAAATCGCTAAAATGTTGAAAATTTTTGGAATCATTTTCAATTGACTTTTTCGGGCTTGGAAAATTTCTGTTTTTTTTTGGAAACTTCCTTATTCTGGCCACAACTTACAATTTTGCGGAAACTGTTCAGAATTAGCCCAAATTTGGCGTGCAGGCTCAATTCATCGTTGTCAATGCCAGTGGATTTAGTTAGTGAGGTAGCTTCTGTTTTACGTACCACCTTACCCTTCAAAAACGGCTGCAGCCTGCGATTTTACACTTTATACGATGAAATCTGTCCGGAACTAAACTTATTGCCTCCGTGTAGAACGAAATGAGCCGTCATAGCCTTAGTAGGTACCCTTGAAACTATAGAGCTACTATAGTAATTCAGTGTCAGTTAGGTCGAAGCCTTTGTTCCTAACTTTAGTTCCCAAGCTTGGGCGCAGTTCGCAGAGTACCTTTGTTGTGGCCAGAATAAGGAACTTCCCCCATTTTTTTGGTAACATCGTGAAGTAAAAAGTTCCGTATCAAAATAGAACGCAACATTTTCTTGATTCCCAATATGTAAAAATGGTCTGTAAGGGTGAAAAAAATTCTCAGAACTTTTCTCGCAACATGCTTTTTTGACCAAGTTTTTACCAATTCAAAAGTTTTCTTTTGAGCTAAAACAAACTGTGGTGGCTTGACAAGCCTGAGAATACCAATACAAAAAATTAGCCTTTTGCGCTTTTTTTGTATCCCGCATCTAAAACTACAAATCGATTCAATTAAAAATTGCGCCTGGAGCGATAAACTAGACCGCACCTTTTTGTCTCTTGTCTCAATGCAAACAATTTGAGGTTTAGCCGGCGAAACAGAGGAGAGATAACGAGAGAAAATGTTTAGCAAAAAAGCTTTTAATAAAGGGAAATATTGCTAGTGAAAAGCTAGGCTTTTTTTACTTTTACATGAGTCAGACAGTCAATTTTTTTAGCCCGTTCAGCAAGACCTTGCGCGTGTACTGCTTGATTAATGCGAACAAATTTTTGGAGGCCAATTTCTGATACTGGCTGTGATGTGATGATAAGGAAAACAAAGTCGATTTTATTGATTTCAGATTATTTGTCTTTGCAAGAGGTCTTAAGAGAAGAAACGCTCGTTAAGGATCTACGGAATTTCTTGCCTCGGCTTCTAAATATAACCTTTTTTTAACAAGGGTAGTACCCCAAGTGCGACGCTCGGATTTTGATGAAACTTGGCGCAAATTTAGAATATTTTTTTTTATAATATATGCGAGAATCCTAGCTCGCGCTTTGCAGGTACCGCTGAGATTTTTTGGTCGAAAGGCCGCGAAATTTTTAGACTTCGCTCAGATTTTCTTTAAATTTTGCTCATACGTCGGGCATGAACTATGCATAAATTCCTGGAAGTTTTAGCTCGCGCTTTGCAAGCCTCTTCCGAGATATTGAATCATTTTGCCGCCGAGAGAGAACGCTAAATGCGGAGAGAGGACAGAGAGAAAAACGCTTTTTTGCTATAACCTTCGTGCGGAAAACTTTGATTTTTTGTGGAAATGCTACCCTTGACGGTAAAAACAGGCATGAAACTTTTCGTGTCGAAACTCGGCATAAAGTCTTAAATTTTCGCCCACTTTCGATCTAAAAATCTCGGTTGTTTCTGAAAAGCGCGGGCTAGAGTTCTCGCATATATTTTCGAAAAAATTATTCTAAATTTGTGCCAAGCTTCATCAGAATCTGAGCGTCGCACTTGGGGTACTTTCCCTATAAGTAAACTGCCTCAAACAGCAGTTTTCTGCTATTTTTAATTCGCGATTATAATGTTGTCTTTACTTATTTTCTTTCCCGACGTACTCATTGATCGATGAATTTGTTTTAAACCCTTTTTTCTTCATGTTTCAGAAGAAAACTTCGACAAAAAATACCCTACATAAAGCCCCCTCACTATGGAAAAGAAGGATTTCCCTCCGCCCCCGGCATACGACGATGTGATGTGAGTGCGCCACCTCTTGTTTACGTGCAGTTTCTCGATTCTTTAGAACAGAGCAGCCTCAGCCCAGTTGCCCATCCGTCAGCCCATCGCCTCCAGTCTACGCAAAAGACCCGCAAAGCTCGTCAGATGGCGGTATCTTCACGGTCCTGCCGCAGCTCCAAGACAACAATTTTATGGCGCGGCCGGAAATCCGAGAGTATGGAGAGCCGAAAAAAGATGAAGACGAGAACAAGAATGGCAGAGGATGCTGTTGCGACGATGGCAAAACCAATCGCAACGACTGCTGCATGGATGCTTGCGAGTGCTGTTTTTGCTGTTGTCAGGTATTCTACATATGTGCCATCTGTTTCCAAGCCTGTGCACATTGATTTTTTAAACTTTAAAGAATGACTTGAAGCTTTTTTGAATGAGATATCTTGTTTGGGTCTGATTTTTCAGCCATCTGAAAATATAATACGGCAAAAGGGGACCAATCCGGATTTTTTGCAAAATATTATATCAGTCTGTCGGGAAAATAACAGAGGGTCGTTGCAACTTGGAATCGAAATCATCGCTTTGCGACAGCAACCGCAGCTGGACACTTTGCGTGCGACTGCACCTTTTTTTCATCGTATAAGATGTCACACCGAATTTTTCTGAATTTGAAAAAAATTTTCATCGTATAAGATGTCACACCTCATTTTTTTCAATTTGAAAAAAAATTTCACCGTATAAGATGTCACACCTAACTTTTCTCGATTTGAAAAAAATTTTCATCGTATAAGATGTCACACCTCATTTTTCTCAATTTGAAAAAAATTTTCATCATATAAGATGTCACACTTCATTTTTTTCAATTTGAAAAAATTTTTCATCGTATAAGATGTCACACTTCATTTTTTTCAATTTGAAAATTTTTTTCATCGTATAAGATGTCACACTTCATTTTTTTTCAATTTGAAAAAAATTTTCATCGTATAAGATGTCACACTTCATTTTTTTCAAATTGAAAAACACTTGCTTCGACGACCCGCCGTTATTTTCCCGACAGACTGATATAACCAAATTTTACTGCACGTCAATCGGTGTATCTCATTGACTTGGACACCCGCCGGCTCAGAGAAAATTTTTCTAGTCTTCAGAGGCGCAGCACCCTTTAGCAAACTTAGCAAGAAGACGCAGCAGGAAAAGAGAGTTTTAGGTTTAGCATTTGCATGAAATGTCTTTCAAAATACGCGTGGCGTTGCTTGAAATCTTAAAAGTGATTCACCGCGTCCCTCAAGACCCGAGATGATTGTTATTTCCTGCAGAAGTGTTTGATTTCTCATTTATTCCGATGTAAAAAATAAATTAATACTTGTGTTAATGAGCTCCGAAGAAGCAGCGATTGAAGAAAACGTGATGTAAGTTTTGTGCATCACCTAGTTTTGTAGCAGCCCATTCGCAAAGTCGCTGGAGTAATTTTTGGCGTTTGTGCAAGGTCAGGGGACTAGCGACGGCCCGAAAAAAGCGCATGGTGCAAATAGGAAAAAACTGCACAGTGCAATGTGCACTTTTATAATACATATTAATAGTTGAACAGTACAACGAAACTTCCGTTTTTGCACAGCGCATGTCACCAAAATCACTTCAGCGACTGTGTGAACGCACCAGCAACGGTAAAATGCATTAATATCAGTCTGTCGGGAAAATAACGGCGGGCCGTCGCGTCTCGGAGTCGCTCATCATCGCTTTACGAGGGAAAGCCACAGCTGGAGATTCGGTGCGCGATAGCGGCGAGGCAAGGCATTTTGCTTCGACGACCCGTCGTTATTTTCCCGACAGTCTGATCAAATGTCAGTCTGTCGGGAAAATAACGGCGGATCGTCGCAGCAAAATGTCTCGCCTCGCCGCTATCCCGCACCAAATCCCAAGCCGCGGCTTGCAGTCGCAAAGCGATGACGGGCGATTCGGAGGCGCGACGATCCGCCGTTTTTTTCCCGACAGACCGATATTTTCCCGACAGACTGATAGTATGCTTCTAATTTTAAGCGATACACAGCCGGAACCTACTAAAGCTGCGTCGGAAAAGCCGGATGGACCATCACAACCGAAAAGCTCGTCATTAACGGTGCCGAAAGATGCCGACAGAAAGTGGTCGACAGCAAGTCGAGTTGCACAAGAAAACCAAGTAACTTGTTGTGAATCATGCCTTTGCTGCGTTGAATGTACGAGATCTTGTGGCCCTTTCGTGGCTTGTTGGTTGGCTTTTTGTCCTGTGTGAAATTACAGGGCACATATCAGATATTAGTTGCAATAAAGACTTTTTATGAGGTTGGAAATGTTTTCAAAATAAGTGAACATCTTTTTCTGGGTGATCAAAGCGTGGTTTTAGATGGAAAAAACAGAGAACAAGCCGGAATATCAGTCTGTCGGGCAAATAATGTGGAAATATACAGAGTGGGGCATCTTTGTGGCCCGATTTGAATTGGCTATAACTTCTTTTGTTTTTGGCCAAATCTTAAAATTCTTTTTTTCCCTGAATCCCTAGACAACCCCATTTTGTTTGATATCAAATATGGTATACATAGGCAAGTGTCATCTACAGTTATTGGATTTATTCTTGAAGTTCATTTTTTTGGTCGTTTTCCGGTGCGTCTGAAAATGGAGTATTTTGCGGTTTACGTTAGACGAAATCTCACGGAGTTTCAGTATTTTTAAAATATTTCTAGTTTGTGTCAAGGGCGTGGAAAGATAAAAAAAATGCGACATTTTGTCATCCAAGCCGTAAAACCTATTAAGCTGTTAATTGTATCTAAAAACATCAAAAACAGATGATAATAAATTCTTGCCCCGCCATTTTTGTGACTCATTAATCCCCACAAGATTGTAAAAAACAAGCGAGGAATGCGGACGTCACTAAAGAGATGCTACGCAAACATTTGATAACATTGAGAACCTTATAAGAAATACAGCCTCGTTTGATTCACTCGAATTCACAATGAAAGAGATGGAGGACCGACCGCCGCCTACGTACGAGGAAGCAGTGTGAGTCTGAGATTTTTCAGTTTTCAGTCTGTCGGGAAAATAATGAGCCCTCTGTCGCAGCGGAAATCGCATCGCCGGCTGAGAAAATGAATTGTGTCGCGGCAAAATCAAATTGCTTTTCACTTCAGCGACGCGATTGACATAGCGAGATTGCCGTCATTATTTTCCCGACAGACTGATTCGACTTTTGCCTTGCGATTTTCGGGATGAATTTCCAATTTTTTTTTTGAAATTTCGTAGTCTGCTGTTACAGTGAGGGACCTGATACAGTGGCAAAAAACGTACCATTTTGCATCCAGGAAGGCTCGTTTTCGCTCTTTTCCTCTAAAAAAGATCGGGTGCGCTTTTAAAATCGGAGTTTTTTCACTTGGAGAGGGAGGTATTTTGCTGCATTTTTGATACTTCCCGGATCCAAAATGATACGTTTTTTGCCAATGGACCAGGTCCCCCATTCTATTTTACAGGCTGCAATTTTAATAACATTGTTTTTGCGGATATTTTTTCTAACATTTCGTTTCCCATACTGTAAAAAACGCGATGCAAAAAGGTTCGTGTATAAAATTAAAGTGTCCAATTCCGACGATAAGAACACCTTTCTTGGCGGGGAAAAATTGATTTCTCATGGAAAAAATACCGTTCAAAGAGGAAGAAACATTTTTCTTTTGCTTTCAGGACATCCCAGCCGCAGTCCAGCTATCCTACTCCATTGATCTCACCGTCCAGTCAAGCTGAAATCTCAGACCCTTCCGAAACTCAAGGAATCTCAAAAGACACCAACTGCAACTACACCGATTCCCAACCACAATGTTATATTCCACAAGAGATCTCGGATATAGAAAAGAGAAAGCGTGAGGGCCGTCAGGCCTGCCTGGAATGTTGCGATTACTGTTCTTCATTGCTGTTGTGCTGTGCAATTTTTGAGTGCTGTAAATACACATAAATATCGCTGATATGAAGGTTTAAATTGTGAGGAAAGCCGATTAATTTTTAATTCTTTTGTCAGAAGATACCACAAAATTTTCAATTTGGTCGATTAGACTCGAAAATTTTAGGCTAACAAGGGAAGTACCCCAAGTGCAACGCTCTGGTTTTCTTTAGATCTTGCACACATGTCAGGCATGAAATAAATATCAATTTCTGAAAGTTTTAGCTCGCGCTTTGCGGGCGCCGCCGAGATATCGAACGATTTTTGCCGCCGAGAGAGCACACTAAACGTGGAGAGCGGTTAGAGAGAAAAACGCTTTTTGGCCATAACTTTGGCAGTTTCGTGCGGAAAAATTTGATTTTTTGTAGAAATATTATCCTTTACGGTGGAAGTAGGCATGAAATTTTTTGTGCCGAAATTCGGTAAAAAGTATCAAACTTTCGCCGACTTTCGGTCTAAAAATCTCGGCTGTTTCTGCAAAGCGCGAGCTAGGATTTTCGCATATATTAAAAGAAAACAATTGTTCTAAACGTGCGCCAGGTTTCATCAAAATCTACGCGTCGCACTTGGGGTACTTCCCCTGAAAATTAAATATAAAAAATTAAAGATATGAAATTTCACCAAAAATGAAGTCGATGACTAAAGCCCAAAAAAAGTTGAACGCATGAGAAGTCAAGCTACTTTTAACAACCGCGATACCTGACTCATTTGTTTATCAGTTCTTGTGACGTAATCTCTCAGATTTTAAAAGTTGTTACTCTTATAAAAGGAACTGAAAGCTGAATAAAGTGCAACGAAGCTAAAAGGAACCTCAAAGTCCCTCGGTTATTTTTTAATTTCTTAATTTTTATTTTATTTTTTTCAACAGCGCTTTCACCAGGGAAGTACCTCAAGTGCGACGCTCAGATTTCGATGAAACTTGTCGCAACAATCATTTTTTTGTAAGACATACTTACTGCCATTTATAGGGATGTTTCCGGTGCTGCAATCAGAAGAGTACGTCGATTCCCAACCACAATCGCACAACGAAGCCACATCGAACAAATGGGAGGAAAGGGCCATTCGGTGTGGCGATTGCATACATGACACGCAGTTCACACAAGAATGCTGCGAAGCTTTATGCATGCTTCTTTGTTGTTGTCTAGGGCTGAAGAATGATTCCGATTGAATTTCTGCGAAATTGTCAGTCAATAAACATGTATGTAGTACAAAGCACTTTCTTTTTTAAAAAATAGTCTTACAAGGGAAGTACCCCAAGTGCGACGCTCAGATTTTAATGAAACTTGGCGCCTTTGTTCGCACCCTGCCGATTTGTACATAATCACCGGATTAAAATATGCCTTTTAGGCACTTGGTACTTCTGCGACCGTTACTTTTTTTAAAAATTTTCGTCGAATTTAGCAACTTTGTTTTTGCCGAGAATCCAAAAGTTTTCCAAGCCCGAGAAACTCATCTGAAAGTAATTGCAAAAATTTTCTAACATGGGAAGAGCACTCCAAGTGCGACGCTCAGATTTTCTTTAAATTTTGCACACACGTCGGGAGACTAAATATCAATTCCTGAAAGTTTTAGCTCGCGCTTTGCGGGCGCCGCCGAGATATCGAACGATTTTTGCCGCCGAGAGGGAACGCTAAACGTGGAGAGCGGTCAGAGAGAAAAGCGCTTTTTGGCCATAACTTTGGCAGTTTATGAGCGGAAAATTTTGATTTTTTGTAGAAATATTATCCTTTACGGTGGAAATGGGCATGAAACTTTTCGTGCCAAAATTCGGCAAAAAAGTCCTAAATTTTGGCCGACTTTCGATCTAAAAATCTCGGTTGTTTCTGCAAAGCGCGAGCTAGAATTCTCGCATATACCTTAGAAAAAATTGTTCTAAATTTGTGCCAAGTTTCATCAAAATCTTAGCGTCGCACTTGGAGTACTTCCCCTGTAAGTTTAACCGATTTTGGGTTCCAAAATTTCAAATCAAAATGTCGAGAGTCAGTACAGGGCCCTCCGTAAACTTGGCCCTGTCATATTTTCTGGACAAAAAAAGGGATACCGCAGCTTCAATTTGAAAGAAAGTTTATAGAATTGGTGCATTATTGGCGGAGAAATACTTGAATTAAGGATGGAAGCTTCGGCTTAACCACCCTGTATAAGGCTTCGGTTCAATCGATCAACTAAAACGATGTAATTAGCTGACTAATTTTTAAATTTTCTTCGCAACGAAAAACGGAAATGTGACAAAAAGTTGTTGTTGTAATAAATCACAGCTCTTCTTACTTTATTCATCAGTCAAATATATTTTTTGTTGTTTTGGACTACCTATATATTTTTTATTAACAAATTTTTTAAATGGGCTACTGTTATAAGCCAAGTGGAAGGTAATTTTTTCTAGCCAAAGAAGAATCCCAAAATCCTAAAATATCACCACAATTTTGACTTTTAAGTGTTATTTTCGAAAATTTCAGCGAAAAACAAATGCAAACCGACCAATTATTGGCAAGAAATCAAAAACTAGAGCCTAAAGACGACGAAGCCGAATGCTGTTCACGCCGATGGTGGAAATATTGTTGCATCGAGTCGTGCATGGATTGTCTTTTAAGTGTCTGCGTGGAACTCTGCTTTGCTGCATGTCACAGGGATGACTAATGCCTACTACAATATAATTTGATCAATTTGATTGGCGTAACCTTAATTTTCCTCTCAAAAAGCACCAAATAGACGAACTCGGTTCTCATTCTGGCGTTATTTTGTTTTTTCCTGGCAGAAATACCTTTTTTTAATAAAATACGAGCCCCTTTTCTCGTCCCACCACGAAAACATTCCGCCGCGCACTCGGAATTTCAAACGCTCTGGCATTCTGTTGCAACCGAATTTATTCCGTTTTTTGGCGAGAAAAATTCAAGTCGGCCGTTTCGTCGATTGCAAGTTCCCAAGATGCCCAACAGCACCGGCGCACCGCCCTCTCCTAACCATAACTGGAAATTGACTGACTTCCAAGTTGGCAGACCGTTGGGGAAAGGCAAGTTTGGTAGTGTCTACCTGGCCCGAGACGTTTATTCTCACATACCAGTGGCGTTGAAAGTAAGTCCGGTCCTTATTAGGCTTTTTTCTGGCTTTAGAGACATGAATTACCTCTTATTTTCATTAAATGACGTTATTTTAGATATTGTTCAAGTCCCAATTGACGAAACACAATGTAGAGCATCAGCTGGTCAGAGAGATTGAGATACAGGCTCATTTACGGTAAGTGCAGGCTTTCTCTTTCTTCTTTATTTCGATTTTTAGGCATCCGAACATCCTCCGATTGTACAACTACTTCTCTGATGAAAAACGGGTCTTTTTGATCTTGGAGTACGCGTTGCATGGAGAATTGTACAAGGAATTGCAGAAGAAGGGCCGATTGTCAGAAAGGAGGACAGCAAAGGTGAGGATAATCATGCTTTTGCATTTATAGCTTTTTTCTTCAAGTTTTCTTGTTATACTTGGTATCTTGTATAATATAGGAATTCAATATTACTTTTTAGGTATAGATTGAAGAATCGTAGCTCGTGAAAAGTGTAGCTTCTGTATGTTTGTCTAAATTCTCGTTTCTTTCGCTCGTTTTAGGCAAAAAATTTTTGATTTGGATTTGAGGTCCGTACCTAAAATAATTCTGATATTTTCAGTACATTTACCAAGTATCTGACGCTTTGGACTACTGTCACAGCAAGAACGTTATCCACAGAGATATAAAACCGGAGAATATTCTGATCGACGAAGAGGGTAATCTGAAAATTGCCGATTTTGGGTGGTCGGTGCACTCGGCTTCAAACCGGTAAGATTTTTGCTTTTTTTGTTAAAATTTAGATAAAATACGATCTGAAACGCCTTTCCATCGATTTATGGGGCTTTATAGGATATGAAGAAAGCCCCATAAAGTGATGTTCATCGCCTTTTCGCCAATATTTTTATCAAAAACACCATTTTGGTCATGATGAAGATAAAAAAGTTCTAAAACCGACTGTTTTAGAAAGACGCTATGCGGCACACTCGACTACCTTCCTCCAGAGATGGTCTGCTCCAATCCTCACGACAAACGAGTGGATTATTGGGCGGTTGGAGTGCTGTGTTACGAGCTGCTTTGCGGGAAACCGGCGTTCGAAAGCGCCACGGACCAGGACACTTATCGGCTGATCAGGAAAGGCGAATACTCGTTCCCGGCCACCTTCTCAGAGCCCGTCCGCGATTTGATCAGCAGGTTGTTGGTGGTGGACCCGGAAAGGCGTCTGACCCTCAGGCAAGTCATGGAGCACGAATGGGTCCGAAGTCACTATCGCCCAATCAAACAGGAAATCGTGTGACATTTTGGTTTATTTTTGGCGTCGTTGAAGAACATTAATCTTGCTATTGAGGGCCATTCGACCTCGATATAACCAGTTTTGTATGATATATTATACTTGAATGATAAATAACTGACTGTTGATGTATTCTTCAATTTTTTAATACCTTTGTAATTTATATATGTTAATAAATTCTTTTCTGAGCTTCACTAGGGCTTGTGTTACACAAAAGTATCCAATTTACTCGAAATTGCAATTGCGCTCCGAAAATTTTGAGTCCCACCACGAAGCTCAGGCAACTCTGGCATTATGTCGCACGCTCAGAAAGACACGATAAAAGTTCTGGAAAGTGAAAGTCGATAGCTTGTACTGTATTTTGTCATTTGTGAGGCAGATTTTCAGTTGATCTAGAGTGCTAAAAATATTATTATGTTCAACTGGAGCAGCAAACATGGAGAATGAGTCACAAGGTAAGGACTTTTGATTGTTTTTGAAGATTTTAGATAACAAATACAAGAGAATGACTGGCGAACTTGTGATTTTCAGCAAGCTATATTAGCGGTTATGGGTTATTTTCGATGTTACACTAGAGCTGATCGTTTACTAAAGCAAAAATTATTTCTTTTGCCGATAACGAGTTGAGAATGATGTAAAACGTTTTTCAGCCCTCAACGACAGTGTGCACCGTCTTTTAACAACGTCTTTGGACGATTCTTGTCGAATCCCCGTTCTTTCTTCTTCTCAACCAGAATGCTCGGGATTTCAAAGCCAAGAAAAGGCTGCAAACCTGCTTTCGTCCGGAGGCTCGACTCCCGAACTTTCCGAGGACGAGGAGGAATATGAAGAAGAGGAGGGAGACGAACTAACCCACGCTGAGAACATTGATGTCCTAGCGGAAAGCTTGAAAATGATGTTAGGAGTAACCGAAAATGGAGAGTATCGAAAAGAGGCTTATCGTTTAATGGGAGATGCTGTCAGCTTGGAGCAATTTAAAGAGCGAGTCAAGGAGAAGATTACGGAGTTTATGAACAAAGCCGAGGAGCGAATGAAGCAGAAGGAAGTCTTGGTGAACTTGAAAGAAAAGGGAGTCCGAACTAAAGTCCGAGGTGTCAAAAAAACTATTGTAAGTTTTTACTTTGTTTTTTTACATTGATGTTTAGAAAAAAGCGAAAGCAGCTCACAAGTCACATCTTAATCCCGTCGATCTCATCAATGCCATCCGATCTCATCAAGAAAATTCCCATCTAGACCAAGCAGTCTGTGATCTACTAAGTTCCTCGCAAAACTCGAAATTCGATCTACTTGAAGCGATGGTTACAACGGAAAACGAAGACGATTTGCTCGAGACGTCCATGGAGAACGTGGGAGACTTATCGACAATCTCTTCGTTGGCGTTTGGCCCATCGTTGAGTACAACATTACCTTCGTTTAGCGAAACGGAAGAAGATCAATTGGATGTGGATTTTAGCTCCTCACCCAATTTCTTGTAGACGTCTGTGGGGTTTTGAATAGTGGTATATTAACGTGTAAATATTATTCACGATATAAAGTTCTATCCGGAACGTTTGTAGAGGGAATTATATTGTCCTTCATGTCCTCTTGGGTAAATTTTTCAAAGTTTGATTTTTTTCAAATTTTTTATTCAATATTACAAACAACACTGATATATGACACGAAAAAGCTTTGAAATACGAGGGAGGAATACGATATTGACTAGGTTTCTTATACTTTTGGAGTAATGACATCAAATGTGATTAAACAGGAGTGCTCCGTTTTGGCTGCGGATCCAAATCTGGCCAGCTTTTCGAGCTCGGCCAGAGGTGTGGATTCGATCACTGGGCCCTGTTTCGAGTCTATGTCCACCCAAGCTCGGATATGATTCGCTTGCACAGCCCGTAGTCGAAGATTATAACCGGGTGGCCGGGTTGAAGGTCGCTGAATATAGGATAATAGGTCTGCTGGAGAAGCTTCTATTCTGCCGAATGACCAGTCGATTGACGACTTCATTTTTTGCTGTTGATAGGCCAGGATTAGCTTCTGAAAAAAAACTTGCAAAAATTTGATGTTATACATGGTGACTGTTAAAAATATGAAAATTTTCGATGAGTCTCACCTGAATCAGCTTGAAAATTCCATCCACAGTGAAGCCAGTGGTCGAATTATCAAGTTTGATTCGGGTCGGGAGTTCGTCTTGATCGGTCCATCGATCTAGACTTGAATTTGTCAGATAAACCAATCTGACTGGCTCGGCAAGGACAATATTGAGGCTTTCGAGGGTCTGAATTGATTTAAACAGCTGAAAAAAGGCTTTGTAAGATTGTGTTACAATGATTATAGGTGTGATGAATTGATTTTGAGATTATTGAAAATTTTTTGGCCCCAAAAATTACAGTAACCCAAGTAAAGAAAATTTTCCCAGTTTTAAAATTCTGGGTCTACAAATTATCCCTCAACAAGTTTTATGTATGTACATGTCATAAAAGTGGATTACCCGGGGAGATCAAACAAATTCGCCGCCCAATTCCCAGCAACAATAAAAACTCGAGATTTTTGCCGGGATTCCGAGGTGATTCGGCGATTTTATTGCCATCGATTTTATTGCGCAATCAGAGAGGGGTAAAATACGAAAACTTTTTGGCCGTTGTGAGCCTAGTAAACACGTGTTTTGGGGGAAAAAGTTGATAAAAATTTTTTCATTTTTTGGCAAAATTTTCAAAAATAAACCAAAAATGAATAGGATTTAAGCGATTTTTTCATGTGCCTACCGTATCATTGATCACGTTCTGGACATCACTGCAAAATTCAAAGCTCAAATTCCGGCAATTGGTCCCTTCCAAAAGCCTCTCCAACAGATGATTGGTCTGTTTGAAGCAGGCCAAAACAAAATTTACGTTCTCAACGTTTCTGAAAAGAAAAATGTTAAGGGTTTAACGTGACTTACAGTTCGCATAGAACCTCTAATAAAAGCTTGCATATTCAATCTGTCGGGAAAATAATGAGCGCAATGTCGCATTGAAAATCTCATCGCCACCGAGAAAATGAATTTTGCCGCGGCAAAATGAGATTAATTTTCTCAGTGGCGATGCGATTTTCGATGCGACATTATGCTCATTATTTTCCCGACGCACTGATGGTTTGCATAAAAAATAATAAAAATTACCGAAAATCCGAGGTTGGCCGGATAAATTCGCTCAAAACTTGAGCGTTGATTTCAATCCCATCCAAAGTGATGGTTTTGGAGATCGAATATGATTTGAGCGCCGTTTCCAGCCCGTTTAGAAAGTCTTCATTCTTTATGTTGAGGTATTTCCGACTTTTGGAATGTTGCATTTTTTTGCGAAGCTGAATACAATGATGTCGAGAGGTCTTGACAACTTTCCCAGTTTTTGTGGAACGGAGCTCGGCTTCGCGCATTTGAACGCTAAAAATTTGTTTTTGGATGAGTATTATGAACTATGTCAAATTTTTGCAAACTTCCGGCTTTATAATCTTGCTGGTTTCTGCAAAGCGCTGGCTAAAATTTTTATAAATATACGCAAAAAAATTCAAACAATTTTTTTCTGGTTTTTATCAAAATCTAGCTAAAAATTGCTAAAATCTGGAATATTTTTTGATAAAAGGGTTTTATAGAAGAGTAAAAAGTCAAAGTCAAACTTACAACAGCTCCGAAACCACCGGTCTAGCCAAAAAGGCGGCATTGTGGCGAATGATGCGTTGAAAGCGGCGCGAGATCAGCTTACATTTGAGCAGATCGGTTCGTCCCATTTCCCGCAAAATCAAATAAATTATGTTGTCCGGAGTGTGGTGCAGGCCGGCCGACGTCGACGGCTCCATTCCTGTAATGCGAAAAAGTGAAACAATTCTAATTTAGCGCGGATTCCCATAAAAACCCGTCGTTAGAACATGCGCGTCATAAAACACGAATTATTCGAATTAAAAATCCGAATGGGATCACGGATATGCGATTCTAATTACGATCGCAAGAGGGGGATCGTGTTTTGAAAGGGAAATTTACATGAATTAGAGGGATTTGGAAGTCTGATTTGTTGTTGGGGAACCTAAAACAATAAATTGAAAAATATGCGGATTTTTCCCAGTAGGTCCAAAAAGGTCTCTACAGAAAAAAAATTAAAGCTAACGAGCCAAAAACCATATTGGACATTAAAGTTTCCTAAATATACCATCACAGACAATTGCACAGTGCGAAGTGGTTCGAAATGGCCCGTGAACCATGCGAAAACCCGCAAAATGCCCTGTGCGGAGCGATAGAAATTCTACGCATTTTTGAAAAGCCTATCGGTTTCTCGGGAAAATAATGTGGACTTGTCGCAGTAAGAAGTCTCTCCTCGCCGCGCCCAATCTTAGCTGCGGCTAGCCGTCGCTAAGCCGTGGTGGACGATTTCAAGACGCGATGAGTCCACATTATTTTCCCGACAGACTGGTACGCTTTTTCAAAGGTGCGTAGACATGTCGCGCCGCACAGTGCATTTTGCGGGGTTTTGCATGGTTCACCGGTCATTTCGAACCATTTCGCACTGTGCAATTGTCTGTCGCGCACACAAAATTTGCGACAACGAAGCTTAAAAAGGCTTGCCAGAGGCGATATGTCGATTGCACGGTGTAAAATGTGAGATGCACAGTGCAAAGCAACCTCCCGTCAAAAAGACTACGCACTTTTGAAAAAAAACCTAGCATAAGCTCCCTTGATGGAGGATGCCCCAAGAACCTCGCGGTATGGACAAAAGACCACTTCATTAAGACAAACCCTTTTCTGAATTGTCCCCGCAGTAATATGCGTCTCGAATTTCACGGACGGTTAATAACGGAAGGCTTTTTGTGAAGGGGGATTTTTGAGGGGTAAAGGTTTTTTGGTGATGACAGCTGGATTAGGGAAAGTTTGTTAAAGAAGGGCTTCGTTGGATGGAAAATTCCAAGAATAAGGAATGAAAATTGCAATTGATTTTGTAAAGTTTTGGTCCGACTGGCGTTACCATACAATCTTAAAATTGCGCCTAGTATCTGCTGAAAGACCACGGTTTCTCCCAGAAATTTGACTAATTTTCTCCCTCTTCCCTTTATTTCCCCCCACCAAAATCCTAATTTGCCAATTTTTTCTCGGGACTACACCCCTTCTATTTTCGGTTTTATAACCCTTCAAATCGCACCATAATCCGATCAAAGCCCGTACAAAAGTAATGGGCAGCTGAGAGCGCAGAACCGGGGTTTTGTTGGGAGCGCAAAAGAATTCGCTTTGAGCCGGATTAATCCCGAAAATTTGCATGGACAGGTGACAAGGGCAGAAGGGAGGGGAGGAGGGAAGTGGTAAAAGCGAAATCATACAAGGAAACTCTAACAAATTGGTACAAAAATTTGCAAATTGCTTAAAACAGGTTATGCCAGAGCGTCGAGCTAGCTGTGCAAAAAACAAGGTGTTATAGTAGGGATGTGAGATATATGGTAGTGAAATACCTACCATAGATAGGTAGTTAGTCGTATATTAAAATGGGCAGGTCAAATTTCAAATTTTAGGGTTACTGTAGGTGTACTGTAACGTTTTCGCATTTTTCGTTTCTCCTCGATTAGCTGTCCGATTGACTCCGGACCTAAAATAAGGTCCTGTTCAAGAAAATTATGCTTGTAAATATATACCATATCAGTCCGTCGGGAAAATATTGAGCGCTCTGTCGCATCGAAAACCGCAACCACGCCGAGAAAATTAATTGTGTCGCGGCGCGATTGGCACTGCAAAATTTTACTCATTATGCACAAAGAACGCCCCGTTTTGCACTATGAATTTCAAAATATCGCTGCTACATACGCAGGTTTCAACGACGTCGCTGAATTTGCGCAGTTCAAGCGGCTTTTCTTGAGGCTTACACTGTGCAAAAAGATAAAATCCACTGTGCGTTGGCGACAAGCATGGGAAGAAGTTCAAAATGAACTGTGCGCGAGCAAATTTTTCATGGACTTTATGAAAACGCTAATAAATGAAACCGTCCAGAAAAAATCAAAAACGTTTTTTTTGTTTTGCATTGAACCCTTGTCGCGTTGCGCAGCAGGTAACACCGTAATTACATTGCGTTATCCAAAAACGCAGGCAATTTGGCACATTTTACATAAATCCCATTGTTTGCCGATCGCATAACCTTCAAGGGTATCTTGAAGGCATTTCCAGGAAAAAATGGGGAATCGAAAATTTAGGCAATGATTGGAAAAAAAACTATTAATAAAAGCTTCCTTCTGTAGGAAAGTTTCCAAGGCAGCAAAAAAATTAGCCAGGCAAAAAGAAGCTGCTCCACGGGAATTTCTTAGCCCAATAAAAAATGGGCGGATCAATCAAAGGCCACAAATTGTTTTACGAAGCCGCGGAAGTCGCGTTATAAAAGCCTCGGCCCGGTTTTATTATTATTTTTATGTATGCAGATGTCAGCATCTGCATAAAAAAATAATTGAAGATGTGTTGAGAAGACATATGAGAGGGAAATAAAAGTTTTGGAAAAGCTGCTTTTTTCGGTACCTTAAAAAAGGCGCTGCGAGTCTGTCGGGAAAATAATGGGCACTCGGTCGCATCGAAAATCGTACCGCCGACGAGAAAATGAACTGTGCCGCGGCAAAATCAAATTTCTTCAGCCACGCGATTGGCGTAGCGAAACTTTGTTCATTATTTTCCCGACAGACTGAAATTAACAAAGATAAAAAAATAAAAAAAAAATCCGCGAGAAACAAGGTTTTTTTGAGTTCTCGACTCATTTTAGGGCTTTTCCTTGTGAGAAAGATCCTTATCTCAAGTCCATAAAACTGTTCGAGGGGACGGTTCCGTTTTTATTGATGTCTATTTGTATCTATCTGTTTTTGCGAGGGAATCGGGGAAGAATGGAGGTAAAGTGGCGAGAATAAGGAGGTAAACGGGGAATTGGAACAGATTTGAGTAACAGAAAAATAAAAAATAAAAGAATTGAAAGGTAAAGCTGACAGGGCGGATTTTATTAGTTTCTATTAGTATTTTCATAAAGTGCATGGACATTTTTTCGCTTTTGCACATGCGTTTTGACTTTCCCACGCTTGTCGCCAACGCACAGTGCATTTTGAACTTTTCCCCACACATGTCACTAACGCACAGTGCATTTTCTCTTTTGCACAGTGCGTTTTGAATGCTTCCCACGCTTGTCGCTAACGCACAGTGCATTTTGAATTTTTTCCCACACATGTCGCTAACGCACAGTGCATTTTGAATTTTTCCCACGCTTGTCGCTAACGCACAGTGCGTTTTCTCTTTTTGCACAGTGCAATCCTAAAAAATTGCCGTTTGCACTGTGCAAATTCCTGGCGCCGCCGAGCGACAAAAGTTGAAACTTGCTTTTGTCGCAGCGATATTTCGCTGCACAATGCGAAAACCACACAAAACTGGAATGCACGGTGCAAAATGGGACGTTTTTTGTGCACAGTGCGGGCGGCAAATGTCCATGCACTTTATGAAAATCCTAATAAATCGCACTCCTAACAAATCCCCAATAAAAAAAAACTCGAAATTGCGCAACCCCGACGCCCTCGAAATCAAAAATGACCCAGGATGTCTGCAAAATCTCTAAAAAAAGAGCCCACCGTCGTCGCGGAGGGTTCGCCGGCGACACTCCGCTCTGCCTTATCTGATTAGCCGCAGAATACCTGGGCTAATTAGCGAATTAATCTTTGCCAATCACTTGCTCGCTGACCGAAAACATCGTCGCGGGTTGCCGGAGCGGAAATGAGGCTTCTTGTGGGCACTCCAGTAATTTGCACTTTTGAGTGCGATAATTGGAGTGCAGGTTCGCACCTTTATGCAATCCGCCGATGATGGATTTCGAGAGGGGGTTTGGGGAAAGGGAGGGCGAGTTTGTCGGATGAAACGGTCAAATAATTGCCATGGATTCTGATAAAATTGGGCAAAACAAAAATTGTAATTTTTTCTACTAGTCTGTCGGGAAAATAATGAACACAATGTCGCTGCGCAGATCGCGTCGCTGAAGTGAAACCGATTTAATTTGCCGCGACAAAATTTATTTTCTCGGCGGCGCTGCGATTTTCCATGGAATGGAGTGCACATTATTTTTCCGACAGACCGATATGCTTGCTAGATTTCTCACCCCAGTTGGCAAAAACTTGAGATTTTTGAGGCGAAAAAATGTCAAAAATTGGACGTTTTCTGTCGAGCCTTGCCCAAAGAAAAATTGACGAGTTGCTGAGTGGACTCATCGCCAGAAAAAAAGTTGTTGAGGTTTTGCAAGCATATCAGTCTGTCCGGAAAATAGTGATTCCTTAGCGGCATCGCCGCTAAGAAAATGAAATTGTGTCGCGGCAAAACCAAATTGCTTTTCACTTCAGCGACACAATCGGCGCCGCGATATTATGCTCATTATTTTCCCGACAGAATGATACGTGCAACTCTGTGATATAAAAACTCCAAAATTCCAACGAAACCATCCACCGTACCCACTCTACCAATCCCATTGCCCGCCGGCGTTCCGACCGCAGCTGTTGTCAGCGCTTTCCCCAACCCGTCTGACTAACTTAATTCCAATTCGAAGAGAACTTATCCCCAAAGATTTCGCTCAATTTCAGTTCGCTTCCCGAGCCCATCTCATTAGTGTTTTCTTGATTAATTTTTGAATGGGGTTCTTGAAGCGAAGGGCTCTCCCATTTTGGGGCTTCAGTGCGAGTAATCAGACTATCATAAAACGACTAATTATGTGGGAGGGATGGGACTTTGGGGAGTTTGGAAAGGAGGGAGAGTCAAACTTGAAGTGCCGATCCAGAGAAAATGGAAATTTATCGGGTTGCGATGCGCGGAATTTTTG